TCTAATTACACTGTCAAAGTTTGGCTTAAATCAGGCATCTCATTTAAGTCCTAATTAAAGATGAATAGATTCAAATTATAAATTTGGTTTTGAATTAAAACTATTTAACCCGGTCTTTCCTTTTATGGGTGCTTTTTTTAATTTTGTCGTCTTCCAATCGCATGTATATAATATTACTCTGACCTCCATCTCCCTTTGTCCTACCCCCTTCCCTACAGATCCAATTCCCACATCATGTCTTTTCTTTAAAGGATAGCAAATAGAGATTTATTCAGGCAAAGGGTGAAGCAAATACTAAGAGCAAGGAAGGCTCCAAGGAAAACTATCCCTACCTGTTAATGTTGTCAATTAAAAAAAAAAAGAGTTCAGTCTTTTTGAGTCTTAAATGACCTTTTATCATAAACAAAGTAAGATTTTAGGTTCTAAAGATTAAAAAAAAACAAAGCAAAACAAAAAAAGATTAAAGAATACAGAGTATAAAGTGTCAGTTTAAGAAAGTGGGATAGATCCATGGCATCTATATAGTTAGGTATGATTATGGCACTTTGCCAGGCGGTGATGGCCTATGCTTGTAATTCCAGCACTCTGGAAGCAGAGACAGGTGGATCTCTGTGAGTTAGAGGCCAGCCTGATCTACAACGCAAGTTTCTAGGACAGCCAGAGCTGTTACACAGAGAAACCCAATCTTGGATGTGTGTTAGGGGGAATATGGCACTTTTAAGCTACAGAAGTTCCATTTAGTAATCATAATGTTCAGTTCTAATGTAAGCACCAAAACTCTGGAACTTAACTCTGAGAACTGTCCTCTCACCCTCCAAGCTTAGGGTCCCTATAAATGAGATATAATCTGTATGTTGATATGGTACTTCATATATTTGTTACACACACACTGAATATGATCTGCACTCCCCTCATGTAGATATGGTAATTCATATTCTTGTTACACACACACTAATTTTAAGGTAGAATAAAGAGACAAGGAGAACAAAAAGCTGCTTACTTGACCTCTATATTCAGACTCTCATGTGGGTGTCTGAGGGTTTTCTGAAGACCAAAACCCCATATAAGGGCAGGGAATGTAGTTCAGTAGTAGAGTGCTTTGTTAGCATATACTATGTTTTGTTTGTGTGCGCATGTCTGTGTAGCTTAAAAGCTCTTATTATGTAACCCAGTCTATTCAACTCTTCTGCTTCAGCTTCTTGTCTGGGATTACCATTATGTCTATCTTTGTTGCTACTTAAAAGAAAAATTATTATTTTTCATCAAGTGAGATCTCTAATAAATTCAGGGTAATTACAAAGGGACTAGAACATGGGTTTTAAAGACTTCCCAGAGGTGTGTGCCAAGAAAGGGAAAAATTAGTCCTAGTATAGGTCCTGAGTGCAGCTGTGGCTTTGTTCAGGTTTTCTGCAGGATAGAGCTGATGAGGAAGTGCTTACATAGTACTCCTTACTAGACAAGATTCATTGTGGCTATTAGCATATATACACATGCATGCAGCAGTAAGCACCTAACTTGTGTGCTTACAAAAAAATTATCAGCATACCTGCATGTAAAATCCAACTGTAATTAAAGGTCACCCATGAGCTATATTTAAATTCAATTCCTTCAACAAAATTACAAAAGTTCTTCTTGGGGTAATAATCTAATGATATATCTGGGGAAAAAGACAACGCTATAGGGCACACCTAATTCCTTCCAGTTGTTTCTTGGGAAATCAACAAAACCATTCAGACCTTCTCTATGGCCTCCTCTATTACCATCTTGAAGTCTACGAAGTGTGTATGCAAAGTGTGTGTTCACACTGAATCATACTTATCCTTCTGGCTACCGTTTGCTGAAGAGAGACAAGTGTCTGCTTGTTATAATACATTCCTTTACCTGAACATGAAGTTCCTTCTGGAAAATAAAAATCCTGAAAAACACCTTCACCATAAAAGGCATTAGTTAATAAATTCTGTATGGTCATGTATTATTTTACAAACTAAAGTAGTAAGTGAGCAATAGAAAGGACACAAATTTAAGTCCACTGGTACAGAAGACAGAGGTAACAATTACAGAGGGCAAGGCTTTCTCACAAAGTGATTTTGCTTAGATAAAACTGTTGATACAAGCCCAGGTTAGACAGAACACAGGTCGAGGCAAGCCCCTCCTGCAACAAGGCTATTTACAAAACTCTCCCACAAAACTAGCTCTGGAAAAATAAAGAAATACTGATGGGAAAAGTATGTTAGCTATTTAAAACTTACTCTGTCAAGCTGCAAGCTTCAGACCTTCAGTAAACGACCTGACTCACAGTTATGTACAATATATAAAGACCTAGATCACAAACTAATTTGTTTCCTGCTATACTCTTAAGTCAAGCACAGTGTATTAGCTCAAAATACTGTTGAGATAAATAGACAATGGAATTTAAGAAAACATACTTCAGTTATGATTGTCACTGAGATCAACAATCTTAGCCTCGTGCCAGTTACTAATTAACTACTTCTATGACCTTATTCTCACTTCTGAAGAGAATAAAATTTATCAATCGACTATGAACCTTTGAAGATATGACAAATATGAACAAGAAAAGAGGGAAACAGGGGCAGAAAGACCAATACAAACAACCCAAAACTAGTAATGGAAAATAAAGTATGTATTAAAAATCAGAGAAAATATCAAGGTGTTGTGATCAAAAACAAATTATTAATATATTAGTTTATGTGCTCAATAAATACTGTTTGCATCTCAATATTTTTGACAAAAAAAAACTGAACATGAAAATACTCCATACTCTTTGGAGTAAACAAAGCTATAAAATTAAAGTGTGCAAAACACAATTCAAATTTAACATTAAAGTTTAAAACAGTAAGACTGCAGTGCAACTATTTCACCTATTTCACAAACACCAGCTTCTACAGTGGCTGAGTGACGTGTCTACATTAAATGAGGAAACTTTTCCAAGTGCCAATCTCTTAGATGGAGAAGGAGGACAAGGTGTGGCACTCATTCTGCTGTGCCTCTATCAAGAATAAGCCAGAAATCGAACAGTATTTGGGGGAAAAGCAGACATGGTAATCAGTCCTACAAATCCGACGTGTTTAATATTTATTCCAAATAACAACCCCCCCAGCTTTTCCTTGTTTTCCTCAACCGCACAGAATTTTTTTTCCCCCCAAAAGTAAAAATGTATTTGTCTACAGTTTTTCTTCTAATTACTCTGTGTGTGCGCCCGTGTAAATGAGACACACTGTTTCAAATAGCCTGGAGCTTCCTAAGTTACCTGCTGGAGTGTAGCAGCTATGAAGTGGGCAAAAGATGCCCGGGTAAGATGGCACACACCCAAGAAGGCGCCTTCACCTACGACTCCACCCCCCCAGTGGTACCCAGCAAAGGACAGCGGAATGCCTGAAGTTGGCGCGGGCCCCCCACTCTCCGCTCCGCAGGGCTCCCGTTCTCCGGCCTTCACTCCCACACTTTTCACAACCGAATACGCTAAATCCTGCAATGCTGCAGGGGGCAGGCGGGCGGGCCGATCACCCCCACCCAGTGAACTCGGGGTGGGTGTGGGGAAGCAAGCGGGGGCAGCTCCACTTCCCCCCAAAGCTCAGGTGAGATCCCAGGGAAGCAGGAAACTTTCTGTTTCCACTTCCTCCCTCGGAAGCCAGTGAGAGGGGAGGGAGGCACCCCCCGGGCAGCAGCGGGAGCCCTGCCCTCCTCTGCAGCCCCCGGCGGCCCCGCCTGCAGCCCCGGCGGCCCCGCCTGCAGCCCCCGGCCGGGTCGTCCCGGGAGCGCTGACCCCGACCTCACCTGAAGGCGGGTCCGCCGGGCGGTGGTTCAGGGACGCCTCCGGGGGACTCCCGCGGAGGAGCACTGTCATAGTGGGCCGCGCCAGCGCCCCGGGGTGGCCGCACCTCCTCCTCCTCCGCCGCCGCCGCCGCTCCTTCCCCAGCCCCGCCGCCGCGGCCGCAGCTGCCCGCACGGCACGCCGGGAACTCGCCGCTCTCCTCTCTCCCCCGCCCCACCAAAACTTCTAGTCCCAGAATGCACAGCCCCACGGCCGAACTGCACTCCGGGATGTAGAGTCCTCCGCCCTGACTCCTCCCCCTCCTGATCCCGTCATCCGCAAGAAGGCCCCGGCGGGCGGGGAAGTGCAGCCGTAAAGCGCTTCCCGTCGTCGTGAAATGTAGTCGCCCGCGGTATCCGGGGACCCTACTTCCGGCCTCGGCTGGGCGGGGCAGCGGCGTCGCCCTAGCAGCGGCCGCCGCTTCGGCGTGGGGCCCGGGAGGCAGAAGCGGGTGGCGGGGAGCGGGAGAGCGCGAGGACATCTCTGGGAAGGGGCGTCCCAGCGACGGCCCGAGCCGGGGCGGTGCTGCCCGCTGACGAGCGGCTGCCGCGGGTGTCAAGGCTCGGGTTAGGTCGGGTTAGGTGGGTGCACTCCCGGCGAGCCTGGAGCCGGCCAGCCTGGAGCAGCTTAGTGGCTTCCATTCCACAGCACAGGTGCCTAATCCCGTGTGTGTGTGTGTGTGTGCGTGTGTGTGTGCGTGTGCGTGTGTGTGTAGTTTGCTGTGTGCGTGCGTGTGTGTGCAGTCTGCTGTGTGTGTGCGTGTGTGTGTGCGTGTGTGTGTGTAGTTTGCTGTGGCGTGCGTGTGTGTGCAGTCTGCCGTGTGTGTGCGTGGGTGTACAGTCAGCTGTGAGTGCGCGTGTGTGTGCAGTCTGCTGTGTGTGTGTGTGTGTGTGTGTGTGTGTGTGGACTCGGGATCTTGGGACTTCGTTTTAGCATAGAAGTAATAATGCAGTGTGTACATTATCGGATAATCTGCTGCCGGGTGGATTAAGTCTCAACGAGGCTTCATTGCCCGAGCAGCTGTTTTGCTGTCCAGGAGCACATAGCTCTTTGCCAGCACAGAGAGTTAGAATGATAATGTAAACACTGTAATGCCATTTTCCTTGAAAATGCTAAAAAAAATAAAATAAAATCCATCTGTCTCGTTATATTATTATAGGAGCTGAAAACCAGTGAAAGAATTCAAGATGCCACCTAGCATAAACTGGAAAGAATTAATCAAAATTGATCCAGATGACCTACCACGCCAAGAAGAGCTGGCAGATAATTTATTGGTTTCCTTATCCAAGGTGCTTTAATAAGTAATTTGTAGCACAGACACAATATAACAAAGTGAAATTGCTTCCCTAATGTCACAAGTGGAAGAGTGCTTGTATTTAAGCACAGGGTGTGAACTAGTCCATTTTGTGTCTCCTTAGGTAGAAGTCAATGAACTAAAAGATGAACATCAGGAAAATGTGATACATCTGTTCAGAATTACTCAGTCACTAATGAAGGTTTGTAGTGCAGGAGATATTTAGCAGTACAGGAAATGTAAGAATGTATCCCTGTGTAAACTAACCTTTATGGAAATGTTTGGCATGCCGGTATCACCCCTTAAAAATGTGTTAAGTGTAGATTTAAAAGCTGGGGTTGTAGTATGCATAGCAAATATAGTTCCTATTCTAAAAGTTCTTAAAGAGTGTATGGGGGGAAGGGTGCCTTTTTAAAACATAACATAGATGTAACCCGACATTCAAGCAAAAAAATGCACATAGAAGCTAATGGTGAAATGGAAAGAGGATTCTAGAGTCTTCATAAATGAATACTGAGGAAGGATATGTACTTTTTACATTAGGATGAATTCATGTAGCAAATATTTTGCATGCTGTAGATATTCCAATATTGGGTTAGTAGATATACTACTATCTGGGGCTTTGAGGCTGAATTTTTGGTTATTAGCAGTTTAGGATCAAATAAAGGTTTTTGAATCATAATTGAAGTTCCAATTATAACAAGGACTTAATAAATAAAATTATGTACCAGAAAAATAACAATTGTAATGGGAAAACAATAATGAAAAATATTTAAAATATTGGATATAAAATTTAAAGGAAAAAATCAGGGGATGATTTTCAAAGTCTTGTTATTCCAGAATTTATAGGTTAAGCATTCAGCAAATATTTACTGAGTGTCTCTGCGTGCGAACTGTTGCACACACGAGAGACTGAAATAGCAAATGAAGTAGAATTTGCATTTTCACTGTTTGTATTATAAGGTAAGCAACACAGATTTTTCTCACTCATCTTCATATTTAGATGAAAGCCCAGGAAGTAGAGCTGGCGTTGGAAGAAGTAGAAAAGGCTGGAGAAGAACAAGCAAAATTTGGTATGTGTCCTAGAAAAAAAAAAAAAAACTGTCCTGATTCTATTATTTATTAATTGGTACAAAATTAATTTCATATGCTATGAAATACATATTCAATTCAGATTTAAAGATGCTGCATCCTCGCACAGTTTCAGGGGCTGACCTGACTGATGTGACAAGAGGGTGAGGAAAAACAGCACAAAGACAAGTTGGGTTGGGGTGGACGAGACTCTCCGATGGAGAATCTGCAGCACCCAGAGGCTGTGTCTTTGTTATATACACTTGAAGAGAGGCAGGGTTGTTGCGTGTAGCCACACGTGAAGTCAGATAAAAAGGGAGGCAGGGTTCTGGTACACAGTTGAACAAGGAGGCAGATTGAGCTAATCTCCATAGGAGTAGACTCTGCTGGGGAGTCATGAGTGTCGGGAAGAAAGCTATGGTGGACGTTTTCTGCGCACTCTCAACAACCACACTCAGGCGTGGGAAGGCTCTGTCATCTCCCATAGTTCTGAGGCTTGGGAGTTCCTGCCCACTGACTCAAGACTTCCACTCACTCAGGTCAAGACATTTCTAGAATGCCTGTTTCCTGGATTTGATATATTGTACTATTTTATTGATGTTCACTTAGAATCTGATTACTGGAAATTTAACCAATTGAAACATTTTTTTTTTTTTTTAAATAGAAAATCAATTAAAGACCAAAGTAATGAAACTGGAAAATGAACTGGAGGTATGTCCTTCTGTATTTCCTTGCGTGTGACTGTTATTACTTGCATCATCTTATATTATTTTCAGATGTTTCTATTACAGGATTGGAAAAGACAGGGAAAATTTTGTGCTCGAGAGTTTGCCCATTGTACACCATGTGTTTTTATAAAAAATGACCAATGAGGTTATTATGCCCACCGCCCAGCTCCCAAGCAAATCACAATTTAGTAATGAATGCCAGGCCTTCACTTGGCTTGTTTCTAGCCGGCTTTTCCTAACTTATTCCATCTAGCTTTTCCGCTGGGCTGTTATCTTTAGTTTTTCTGTGTATCTTACTTCCCTTCCCTAACTAACCCATGGCTGGCTGGGTGGCTGACGCCTGAAGGTCTCCTCTTCTTGTTCTCTCCTTCCTTCTCCTTCATCTCCCCTTTCTTGTTTCTATTTATCCTCTCCACCTGCCAGCCCCGCCTAGCCTTGCTCCTGCCTGGCAGTTGACCGTTCAGCTCTTTATTAGGACCACCGGGTGTTTTAGAGGGAAAGAATCACAGCATCACAGAGTTAAACATGTGCAGCATAAACAGAAGTCACACGCCTGAAAATAATATTCTACCACACACAGAGTCTATCTTGGTTTTCTTATGATGTACTAACTAGTCACAGTTCTTTACATTTGAATGTGTTAAAGTTCAGTTCTTTAGTTGCACTTGGCACAATCCAATTGTACTCTTAGGTTCTGAACTAGGCAGGGATGGACACTACAGAGAGTATTTCTGCTATGCTACAAAGTACCATCGGTTCTAAGTAGTTTGTGGTACCAGGGCAAGGGAAAATAAGAGCACCAAGGTGGTTTCTAAGACTCAGGTGCAGTCTTAATAATTCACAGCCCTTAGTCTCTAAGCCTTTAGTCTGTACCTCTGCCTGCATGACTGTAACAGAGCCTGCAGCCAGTTTTTCATGATTCTTTTGGTGGCTTAGGAAAGCGCAAGGATGTTTGACTTATAATTTTAAAGCCCAAATAAATTCAGGTTTGTTTGTTTTGTATTATATTTTTTATTATGTAAAACTTTCAAATTTAAATGTATTTTTATTTTATTCTTCCCCTCCCCCAAGGCCTTCCAAATCATTTTTACCTTGTAAAAAAGGAGGTTTCTCTTCCACCTTCCAGTTTCCAAGTAAACATTCAGAGGCTTAATATTAGCTATAATTTGTTTGGCCAATCAATGGCTCGGGCATATTACTGAGTAACTCGCACAATTAAATTAACCCATTTTTACTAATCTATGTATCACCACATGGCCATGGGTTACCTGTAATGTTCTGGCATCGAACTCCTTCAGTGGCTACCTGCTCTCTCCCCGACTCTGCCTTCTCTCCATATCTTGTTTTGGCTTCCCGCCTGGCTCTATTCTGCCTGGCCATCGACCAAAACAGCTGTATTCATTAAATGATAAAAGCAACACATACAGAAGGACATCCCACTTCACCACCGCCTCCACCCACCCAACTTTAAGTTCTTTCTAAATGGTGTTTACATGTTTATGATTTTAAATACCCTGACATTGAAGCTCAATAAAAATTTAAAGTCTAGTTCTTGTTTGTTGATTCATTTGAACCTTCATCTAAAAAAAGGAATTGCTTATGTTTGGAAGAATTAATCCTTGGCTTATGACTTTCAGATGGCTCAACAGTCTGCAGGCGGCCGTGATACTCGGTTTTTACGTGATGAGATTCGCCAGCTTGAAAAGCAATTGGAACAAAAAGATAGAGAATTAGAGGATATGGAAAAAGAGTTGGATAAAGAAAAGAAAGTTAATGAGCAAGTAAGACATATTTATCTCAGTGAATCGTAATTGCTTAAGATAATCCTACATGGCTAATCTTTTTATAACTACCTTTGATATCGATTCTTGATTTTATGTTATAGTTGAGAAATAATGTACACTTAGCTAATTGTTGTAGCAGTGTTCATTTTGTCATCACATTTTAAAAATATAATGGAATGGTTCAACTTGGAAAGTAATTCTTTAATTTTGTGGCATGATTTTCTGAGGATATTAGAATAATAACAAAGTTACCTTTGGTCTTGAACTTTGGTGTGCAGCAGTGTATTTCATGTTCTTAAATAAGCAAGTGGTTTTTCTTACTGTCAGTTTCTTTGATGAGCTTTATACAAATTAATGAATTTGATGTGGTAAAATTGGAAACCATGAATGCATGGTCTCTATACTTCTTCAGCTGCTAGGGTATAAATTCCTTTTTTCACCTTTAACCTATGGTAATTACAGTACAACCAAAATTTGCTGTATAGTATGAATTTCTGATTCTAAGATACTCACAATTTATAATAGGAATAACGTAGGAAATTATCATACTTTATGGGTGCATCAGGATGGAAGATTATTTTGAGATATGCTGTGGAGGGCTATTTAAACCATTCTGGGTGTTCAGCATTTGATACATAAACTGAGTCTGGAAGTAGAGCTGAGTATGGCAACAGAAACTAAAATGAATATAGTGTCAGAGAAGAGAGCACTCTGGATAGAAGGCACATCATTTCCTAAGACCAGAAGTAAGAAATATTCAAGAACTGCAATTGCTCATTCGACTGAAATGTACAATAAGATGAGTCTTTGTCATTTGTCAGGTACTTTGTATGTATTGACTCATCATTTCTTATTTGATACTTATCGTATGTGAGATAGGAATCATTTCTGATACATGAAGAAATGAAGGGATACAGAAAGAATAAACAAGTGCCCATGCTCGAGCTATTGAATGATGAGTGAGGATTTGAGTGCCAGTCCCAGTTGAGAATGTGTTGATGACCATCCTCCCATGCCACAGTCTCAGCTCTAATACCTCTGGGAAAGGCCAGGTCCCACGCTCTTCTAAAATGTTAGAAGAGAATGTTTGAACACAGGGTAGGTCAGACCAATGCTTGTGAAGCTTACTCTGCTCTATGGAGAGTGGATTGAAGACGACATTTGTATTAATTCTGACGGGTTCTAATGGTGGCCTCATTGAGGGAATAACTGATGGGATTAAGAGGCAAAGGGTTACTTAAGAGAAAGAGATGTAATTGGATGTGGAGAATGATCAGTGATAGAGAGGAATGGATAGTCTGCCTATTTATTTTTGTTGTTGTTTTGTTTTATTTATTTATTTATTTTTGGTATGGGCATGGATAAATATCATGGTACTGTTTGCGATACAAAGTAGTTTAGGGTCTGAGACTATTATTTCTGTTTTATACACTTGAATTTAAGGTTCTTGCAGACATAGTCAAAGAAGAAATATTTGAATCTCATATTCAAAGTAGACACTGAACAGATGTGAGAATGTATTGGGTTTTAGTACAGATATTAGTGAAGCCAGAACAGTGATTGTAAGATGTATCTCTGGCAAATATTTAATAAAATGATGAAGTAGGTACTCCGAAACTCTGAAAAAAAAGCCTTCAAAAGTGTGGAGTTTGAGAAGCCAAAGGAAAACAATAGAGTAACACTGAATGTTGAGCATTAAATTCCTAACTTTCTAATTCAGATTAGAAAATTAGTCTAGATAGTATTATTAGTCATCATTTAATTGGCATCAAACTTTTAAAATTTGCATCATGCCTTGCATGTTACTATAAGCTTTCTTTAAATATTTTATTTTGGAAAATATATTTTCATAAAAGTTGTTAGAAAAACAATAAATATTTATATTTTCATGTATATGCATGAGTTCAGATTTCTGTCATATCTTTGTATACATCTTCATCTCTCACGCACTCATTTTTCTTTTATTGAGCTATTTGAAACTTAATTTTAGACCTAAAATTTAAGTGTAGACCTCTACACTTAAATATGTGTCCAAAGTGAGTATTGTCTTACACAACCCAATATATAGTCTTGATGCTGAGGAAATGTAATACTGATTCAGTAGTCTTACCTAATCCATAATTAGAGTCCCTGCTAACCGAATGGAATATTTTGTTTCCTACCTGCTGCCCCCTAGCGTCATCATGTGCCTCCTTATGGTTTTCTTTTGCCTCTGGATAGTATTTTAATGGGCAAACTGGTTGCATGCTATTGTGAATGGATCTTTTTGCTTGAGGAAGGCAGAAAACAGAAAAGTAAAAGGCCATCAAAAGAATATTTTATGGAGACTAGGTATTAGAAAGCCATCATATTGGATATATATATATATATATATATATATATATATATATATATTTATATTTTCTGTCCAGAATAAAAAAGAAACTGCCACAAATAAACAGTCTTGGGTGAAGAAAAGATTTGACATTTTCTGCTGTTCTGTTCACTGAATATGGTGTTAAGGACTTCACGTACATCATATTTCTCGTGTCAACAGAGGGATGAAATGAATTTAAGAGATAGCAAATGGCCTGTCAAACTTAAGTAGGATTGATAATCAAAGGCTGTAAACCCAGACCAGTATGATTTCAGATTGCTTCCATTAACAAGTATTCTGCACTGTCATTTTCTAGGTATTTGAGAGTTTCTAAAGAGCAAAGAGTGTTTTTTCTTTGGCATAAAGAAAAAGGAGAATGATCTTAAACATGTAAAAAGAATGGGCTGTATAACTTTAAGATGTTTCTCTTTTTTAGTCTTTCATTTGGTTTTGGTACTTACAGTTTTTATTGCTATCATAATTAATCTTTAAAATTGAGCCATTCTGTGTACCTTTTAAAATCCTTAGTTTAAAATTCTGTCTTATTTGTGTCCTAGTGTGATACGAAGTCCATAGTAGTCCTTAGTAGTTCAATGTTCTCTTCTTTATTAGAAAGGGTTTAGAATTTAAATCAGCAAGCAATTATGGGATGCAGATTGAATTAGTTTGGAGTTTTATCTTATTTTTCTTTTTTACTGTTTTAGTTGGCTCTTCGAAATGAGGAGGCAGAAAACGAAAACAGCAAACTAAGAAGAGAGGTTAGTAGAAAATTTCAGTCTATGTGGTGGGTCAAAAAAGACTTAGACCTGTTTAAAATGTTCACTTAAAATTTGTGTTTTAACCTGAATGTAATCTGTGTAACCGATAATGATACTAGCTGATTTTTAGGATGCCTTTGTCTCAGGGAAGTACAAGGTCAACCAAAATAGGAGGCCGTTAGGTAGTTTATCCCCTTTCTTGGGTCTCTGTGGGTCCGTCTTGTTTTCTGGTACATAGCATGCTTCCTAATCAACTAATTGAACATTTGACTCAATTTCTCTTCTTATGACTCTTTGCCTAGCACTCTCATAATTTTGTTTTTCATGAAATCTTGTAAGTAGTATTGTTATTTTTGTATATGTGCTAAATAATTTTCTGTCTTGTAACAAATATTTTAATTAAAGTGTGACCACATCATTTTACGCATCTCTTCTTCCTCCAACCCCCATCTACCATGCCCTCTTCTTTTAATTGCTTTATCTAAAATTTCCTTTTAACCTAGTCCAAATGTTCTTTCTTTTGACTCATACTTAATATTTTAATTTCTTTGGCTATTTAAAATAATTTATTCTATTGTCCAAAAAGCCCTTTATTCCTGTTTTCATTTTAATTATGTGTTGCCTTTCTCATTTCTGATTCTCCTCTTCCTGTCCTCCTACTGAAGAACAAACGTCTAAAGAAAAAGGTGAGGCTGCAGGGTAGTGACACCTTGGGAACTTAGAGATGTGCTCCGGGGAGCATTAGTTAAAAGAGATTTTTGTCATTGCCAGTAGTATTGTCCTGTGGTTTTCTTTTGCCTCTGGATCGTATTTTAATGGGCAATCGCTGTGTTTGCTCTAACGTCAGAACGAACAGCTTCGTCAGGACATTGTTGACTACCAGAAGCAAATAGACTCACAAAAAGAATCACTTCTGTCAAGGAGAGGAGAAGACAGCGACTACCGATCACAGTTGTCTAAAAAGAACTATGAACTTGTTCAATATCTGGATGAAATTCAGGTAAAATGAGTCAGTCAGTTCAGAGCAATGGTTTTACAAACTTGAGTGTCAGGGTGGTGAAAATCTAGTACCTACTTCTCTTGGTGACTTTTGATAGAGTGCTTCCTGCTGAAATGCTTTGGTGTGTGTGTGCACAGTGCTGTCTGTCCGTCCGTCTGTGTGTGAGTGGGTGCCTTCACATTGTGGAGCTCAGGGGATAGCCTCGGCTATCTGTTCTAGCATCCGCCCCGTTTGGGTAGGGTCTCTTTGTTCACTACCCAGTATTCCAGGCTGTCTCCGTCAGCAAATTCAGGACTCAGTTGTTTTCCCCCTCCCACCTCACAGTAGGAACTCTGGGAATAAAAACAAATAGTATTGCATTTCGCTTTATGTGCATTCCAGTGACTCAAGCTGAGTTTCGCATGTTTACACGCAAGTCTTTTACCCCGGCGCATCTCTGCCTATACTATGTACTTTTAAAGCAGGAGGTAAATTGTGTCTCTGAATTTGCAGTTACTTATTTACTCCTTACATTAGTCTGTATTAGACACCAAGAACAATCCTCTAGACATTTAATCTGACTTAATTGGCTGGTGCCACAGTAATCCCAATAGTCTATGAAGAAACATTTTTTTTTTTTTTTTTTTTTTCTCTAGAGGGCCCTATGGCTCTATTTAATTTATCTTACAATCAATTTCAGTTTCTTATAAAACTGTTTTAAAGTAATAGTATAGTTAACATTTTTAGACTTTCAGTTTCTTGTAAAAACTCTTTTAAAGTAATAGTATATTTAACATTTTTAGACCTTAACAGAAGCTAATGAGAAAATTGAAGTTCAGAACCAAGAAATGAGAAAAAATCTAGAAGAGTCTGTACAGGAAATGGAGAAGATGACTGATGAATATAACAGGATGAAGGCTGTTGTGCATCAGACAGATACTGTTATGGACCAGATAAAAAAGAGAATGAGCATTATCGACTTCAAGTAAGAGTTCCTGTTTGAACCCAGGCTTATTCGCATATGCGTCATATGGAGTCATTGCTGATTATTTGAAACTAGAAATACTTTAATTTTCTAACGTGGGTTTTGTTTTGTTTTGTTTTGTTTTAAATATAGTAACATGTTGTCATCCTGATAATTTTGTCCCAAAGGGTTCTATAGTCCTCTTATGCCCTGTAATTCTTGACATTTAAGGAATGTAGACGATGCCTGCATGAGCTAGAAATAATTGTGGGGAATGAAGACTAGCTGCTAAAGACTTAAAAATCCAGTAGCTGTAACATTTAATTTTATGTCTTAAAACCAGTGAAAATACATTAAAGATCAATACATTGTTTATTATTTATATGGGATAAACTTATTTAAAAAGTTAAAGAATGTTTAAAAAATATGATTCTCTAGTATTGAAATAAGTACTCAACAGTATGCTGAGTATAATTTATCCGAAATGCTGGGATCAGAAATTTTCCTGATTGTGAATTTATGTACATGAGCTATCTTAAGGTTTAAACACTAAATTCATGTGTGCTTCATATGTATACCATGAATACAGCGTTCATATACTTTTCTTCTGACTAAAACGGAGCACATGAAATGTGATATGTATTTTCCAGTTGTACCATAAAGAGTATCCAATTTGGGGGGCATTTCAGATGTGAGTTTTTTCCAGTATTCTACAGCCATTAAATGTCACCTTTAACTATAGGACTATGCCACTAATAAACAGCATGTGAAATATAAGGCATCTGCACGCACATGCTTGCGCATTATAAGTATGCAAGTATGATAACATTGAATTGCACTGATTTGCACATTTCTTGACCTGACCACTACTCTTAGGTACGAGAGCTCACAGATCTTCTGAAAGCAAAAGATGAAGAGGATGACCCAGTCATGATGGCTGTCAGTGCAAAAGTGGAAGAATGGAAGGTGCTTCTCGATCGATAACAACTTTTCCTCGTTTTACTTGAAATCTGATTTTTAAGGACTCAGACCAGAGAATGGCATTTATGTTGCTTTTTAAAAAGCTTATTCTGTGTTCTGGCTAGAAAAGCTTCTATATGAAGTGCTTGGACTCATTTATGTATCAGATAAGTGCTTTAAGGGCAAGATTAATCAGGAAGGGGAATAGGGAAAGGATTTATCAGAATCATTCAGGAAGCCTTTTCAGAGTACCCCCTTGTGTGCCTGATTTCTACTTTCCAGTCACACCTAATCCCAGAGCTCTACCCCTATCAAGAAGCTAGGACTATGATGCTTGCTATTTGTGAGCAATCTGAGATGACTGAATTTGTAACTCTTATTGTAAAAGCTGCCACACTTCCATTGCCTCTGTTTCCAGCCATGCTTACATAAACAGTATTGGCAATTAGGAATTGTTGGTTATCTGGGTAGCTGAGATAATCTATAGTCTAATAAACAAATGCAGTTGCAGTGGGGGTGAAGTTGAATGAATTGCAGAGCGCTCAGTTAATTTGGGAAGCACTAGAAAGTAAATGTCTTAGCTATTCAGTTCTGTTGTAACCCCTCAGCTGCCCTTTGAACACGAACACAGCAACGGCCCGATGATCCTTAAGTGAATAAGCATGGCTGTTTTCCAGAGTTTTTCAACTGTTGAATCTAATTTTCCAACCTTTGGAAAGAAACAGTTGTTTGAATCACATTTAGTCATTTAATTTTTGTGTATGTAATGAATTAGTCCCCTAGTATGACATCTAGGAGGCTTCCAGTTCTTCTTTTGAAAGTATTGTTTTAATGAGAGGTAGGTAGGTAGGTAGGTAGGTAGATAGATAGATAGATAGATAGATAGATAGATAGATAGATAGATAAAAGCAGTTGCTGTAAATGTGATTGTTACTTAAATTGCAACCATGTCTACTTATCTCTGGCTCTCATGATTTTTGATGTGAAGTACTTGTTTTTTAATATTATATAATTAAATTTAGCATATGTTAATGCTTTTTGACCACTCATTATAATTAAATACTCTTAATATTGCTGGGCCAGAGGGTATATGTCTAACTCAGAAGGTTGAGGGTTCTGGATTGAAGACTGGCCTGGACTCCTGAATAATGAGACTTTACCACCATATAAATAGATAAATGAATGAATGTTTATATTGGCTAATATGCTTTACAAAAGGAAAAAAAATTCTCCTCTTATTCCTAGTATCTTCTGGTCTTATACTTTATAAAGCATGTATATTTATTTTTTTAAAGTGTAATGGTGCCCCTGAATGACTTCTATTGAAGTAATATTTCTTGAATAGTTCATAAATCACATACTGAAATATCATCCTCTGTTTATTACATAAAAAGTTGTGTTGAATTTGAGTATTTTGTACCCCCTTTTACTCATTTGAGCCATTTTCTAGCCCCATACACTTTTCTTCTACATACACTTTTAATTGTTGCATGTCTGAAAACTTGTTCTTATTTTGGTTTTGATTTTTAGACTCTTATGAATAATTTTTTGATTTTCATGAACATCTTTATGATGATTTTGTTCCCTGTAACTAAGAACACAAAATACTCTTCTATCCATTCAAGGTATTTTGTCCTTTCTTTTCTGTGACATTTTAATGTTTACTTAATGTACAAAACATTTTGCGGTTATATAACTTTTCTTTTAGAAGTGAGGTCTGAGACCCAGAGAGTTTTCTTTAAGGGTTGAATTGCAAGTTTCAAACTGTATGTATAGTAGTTGTAGTTACTGACATTGTTCTTATTAAATGAATTTTACCCTGGGTTGGGGAGATGACAAAATTAATACAGTTTCTGCTGTGGTGGTCTCAGAACAGAAGTTTGGATCCCTGGTCCCTTGTGGGAACACGCTGGGGAGGCAGAGACAGGCAGATTCATCTGCCAGTGAGTTTCGTTAACCTGCAAGGTCTGAGCTTAGTGGAAGACTCCTTTTCAAGAGAGTGGTACCCCATGTCAACCCCTGATCAGACAGACAGACACATTATACGCCACACCTGAAAAAATTTTAAAAAGAATTTCATTTTTTGTATTGTTTTAAATGTACTAAATGTACTTAAGTTTTCTTGTTTTGTTTATAGTTAATTTTGTCTTCTAAAGATGATGAAATCATTGAATATCAGCAAATGTTACATGATCTGAGAGAGAAACTTAAAAATGTGCAACTTGATGCTGATAAAAGTAACATTATGGCTCTGAAACAGGTAAAACCATCTCAGATTCTCAGTATCAGCAAGTTATGTTAATGTCGAACCTATCCTGTCTGTTGATCACTGTGCCTAATTGGTGGCTTCCATTACTGTGTGTGTGAACAAACTGAAATTTCTCGTACAATCCTGAATAGGGGGTGGTGAAGCTAGAATTAAGTTTAGAGTGAGAGCTATACTTCAGAATAGAATTATTTTGCTTTCTTATATTACTGTATATTATCAGTCAGGAATTACTTACTAAGAATCTACTAAAAACCTACAGATTTTAAAATACCTTACCATGTTCTTACTAGCATTTATTATCATATATTTCATGTCTGTACCGAGTAAAGTAAGTGTGGTTATATTGTTAGTGTGCTACCCAAAGGTTTTGTTTTTAGCAAAACAAACTCATTCAGAAAAACAACCAAAACAAGAAACAACAAAAACAAACAAACAAAATATATCCTTTCCCTCCTCTTATGCATGTTCTTTCCAGTTAAAGTCTAAAGGCAGACTAGAATTTAAGATGTATTTGATGACTGAGGATAATGATGAGGAAGTTGTTTCTAAATGGAGTGCAAAAGGCATGAAAGCTAAATTGGATGAAAATCACAGAGTACACAAACATATGAAGTGGTAAAGATAAGTAAGAGTCAATGGATGATGAGGAAAATATGTAAGAAGTTATAAAAGTCACAAATATTAGGGAGTTCTGAAATACATTTTTCCTTCCTTATAGCATGACAACAGTTGGGTAGAATTATACGTTGGGTGGAATAGATAAGAAACATACTTTTCTGGGCCTGGTGCTACTTACCAAGGTGGCACAGAGGGTAAAGACAGTTGGTGTATTGCCTGACAACCTCAGTTTAGTTCCTGGCATGGATGTCAAGAGAAAAAAGAGAAATGACTCTTAAAAGTTGTCACCTGACCTCCACACTCCTGCCTACGTCCTTACACACGCAAAATAAATAAATGTAATTAAAAAAAATAATTGTTTAAATGAAACATAGTTTGGCCACAAGCAAATATATTTTCTCATTTCTTGAAAAAAAATGTGTGTTCATAACAATGAAGGTTTATTTGATACTTCAAAATATTTCCTAGGGCATCCAGGAACGAGATAGTCAAATTAAGATGCTTACTGAACAAGTAGAACAGTACACGAAAGAAATGGAAAAAAACACTTTTATTATTGAAGATTTGAAAAATGAGCTCAAGAAAGACAAAGGTAATTTAATATTTTATACGTATATGACTTTCATATGTCATTGTATCTCAAAAGTCTGCTTTTATCAAAATAGAATTGTGTTATTCCACTAAAGGATTTTAAAAATAAAATTATGAATATTATGAAAAATATTAATTATAGCACATATTCCTAGTGTTTAAACTCAAAATTCATGCTTTTCTCCCATCTTTCTCGTGAGGAAAATTATTTAGCCATTAAAATTAGATTGCATAAGAAGTTAAAATGGTAATGTAAATTGTCTTTATTTTATATCTTTTATAATTAATGAAGATGCTTTGGTGGATGTGTTACCTGTAGTCAGTTATTTTCAGAAGTAATTTTGTATGTTGACAGTTGAAATAATTCTACAGAAAATCTCTCATCTCATTCTTTGACTGTTATACTGTTTTGCCTATCACATCAAATTATATGAATTTAAACCCTTGAAATAGCAGTATTTCTATAAAACTACATCTTGTAAATATACTGAAGTATGGTACTTCCAATGGATTCACAGTTCATTCACAGGCATACTTATAATTGCTGAAGGTAAAAACAGGGATGATGTATACATTGTAATTAAGGCAGTGAAGCAAAAGTCTCTCTGGACATGATAGAAAAAAGTCTTAAAGGCGGTGAAGGAGTAAGCAGACTGTGTGACTGAAACACTAAGAAACAACGAGTCAATGGTTTGTAAATGTTGGTAGTTGAGAGTGAACAATGAAAAATAGCAGAAAAATAAAAAGTCAAAGATGATCCTAAAGGCCCTGTTATTAAATCTTTAGTTTATTGTAAAGGCTTTGATTTTTATTTTTGGTAAAAGTGATGGGAATGATTTAACCTCACCTAGACTGTGTCTGCAGTAGACTGTAGCTATTGTAAGGCAGGGCACAGGGAGAGGGAAAGGTGTGACCAGGGGATAACATCATAGACTGAGAGGGGCAGGTTTAGAGATGATGAGGTACTGATTTGAGCATGTTAAATTTGAGGTGTTTATTAGGCATCCAGCTGAAGGTGTTAAGTAGATATTTGTATATGGCTTCTAAAGTTCTTAAGCACAGTTTAGGCTGAAGATAAAAGTTTGGCATCCATCTCCATAAAGACTCAGTTTGAAGTTAAGAGAGTAGGTCATTAGGGCAAGAAGTATAGGTTATGGAAAAAAAAAAAATCTCAAAATGAATCTCTGGGAACACTTCTAATTTGGAGGCTAATGAGATGAAATGAAATAACCAACAAAGACTAAAAAAGCAGTGTGTAGAGAGATGGAACACCATAAGATCCCTTCAAGATAAGCACTGAAAAGGATCATGCTTGAATACAAGAAAAACAGAAAAGAAGAGAAAAAAATGTAGGAAATCTTTTCAGGCTATGTATTTATTTATTTGGTAAAAGGATAAGAAAGAAGGTATAGCCTGAGGAGAAAGGAACATTGAAAAAGTTTTTAAGTTTAGAAGAAATAACTAATTTTGTAGATTAATGGAAAGACTTTATTGATGAAGAGGAAGAGAAAGAGGAATTCTAGAGCTTGAGGTTGGCCATTTGTCCAGCTCACAAACCTATTCTGCTGTTAACGGTGGTCAAAAGAATCTTGATTACCATTTAACATCTTTTGTCATAGTAATACAATTTTTACAACCGTTCTTATAATCCACATCGTTCTACTTCGAGCAATTGTGCTCAATTCTACTTTTTACTTGGTCTCATTAATAAAATCCAAACAGTACCTGGGTCCTTGGTTATACAAATATAAATTGGAACATGTAAGAAGCTTTTGTGCTGTACAGCTTCTGCCCCTGTTTGGGAACACCTGATTCGTAGGAAGGAATCCTCAGCTGAGTTCATTTCATGATTTCTGTTTTCGCATGGTAGGTTCTACAGACTTTCATCACCAGACTCATTATATGAAAATTCACTCCAAAGTACAACTTTTAGAAGAGAAAACAAAAGAGGCCGAGAGGACAGCTGAACTGGCCGAGGCCGATGCCAGGGAGAAGGATAAAGAGCTGGTAGAGGCCCTGAAGAGATTAAAAGATTATGAGTCTGTAAGTACTTTTATCTTGTCAGCCCAAGAGCTTGAGATTGCTCTCCACACCAAGGCTGCTCTGTGGCTTGTATTGTGTTCCAAATGGAAAGCATGCTACATCTCCATTGGTTTTAAACTTCAAACTTTAGGACATTTGCTTTATGTCGAGAGAATTGTTTCCAAACATTTTCTTTTTTAAAGTGTATTTTTATTATTCTTTTCTTTTATGTTTGAGATTATAGTTAGATCATTTCTCCTCATTCCTCCCCTCCAAAACCCCTCCACATATCCCTCCTTATTCTCACTGCTTCTTCTTTCATTAATTGTTGTTACACATGCACACACACACACACACACACACACACATGCACATGCACACACACCTGTGTACATATACATAAATATATATGAATGTATAAATTCCTAAATATAACTTGATCAGCCTGTATAATTAATGGTATGTGTGTATTTGGTATTAGATAACCAAGTGTTGTGCTTTTCGCTGGAGAAGACTATTTTTCCTGCTCAGCACTTGTTTAATTGCTGGTAGTTCTTTGTGTAGGGTTGAGGCCTGGTGGACCTCCCTCATCTACTCTGGCATATCTCTTGTCTGTTTGGGCAGGTATGTTGATGAGACTTCATGGCTCAGCTTCTAACATTTATTAGGGTATACTATCTCATAGCAATCCTTAAAATCATGATTATGTCACTCTTAATATTATGCCCTCTTTTCTGCAATGAGCCCTGAGCCTGACTGGCCTTCCCTCCTCTGCATTTTGATTGGCTGTGGTTTTCGGTAATGGTCTCCTTCTGCAAAGAGATTGTTGTTTTGTAAAGTGGTGGTTCTGGGTTCTCCACAGAACACATGATGTTATTAGCACTGAGTAGTTCCCGTTAGGGTTACTGTGCCTTGCTGGTCGTTGTGGCTCATAAGCAGCAGAGCTGGGTAGGTCTGTTAGTTGCTTCCCACTTTTCAAGCTCGCATGGTGCCCTTTGGTATCGTGAAAGCTAGTCCTTAGGGAAGAGGCTAAAAAAATGAGTTCCAGGTAGGGGTCTCTAGCCTGTTCCTGAAATGCATGGTGTCTTCAGTAATTGGGACATAACTTCTACCTCTGGGGGACAACCAAGGGCAATAGCAACAGGCTGTACATTTTGAGAGTCTCTTAGACAACCTTGACCAACAACTCAAAAGAAGGTATCTATCTCCTGTCTGTTGTCAGGGTTTTTGTTAGGTCATCTTTGGCTCTTCGAGAGAGTGCTATCAGCACTGATGAGAAAAACTCATTTAAACATATATGTATATTTATATACAGAATTACATTTGTTGTAGAGTTGTCTGTTTTTGTTTTTAGATAAACAGTTGATAGTATGATTCCGTGTGTGTGTGTGTGTGTGTGTGTGTGTGTGTGTGTGTGTGTGTGTGTGTGTGTTTCCAGACATCCTTATTGGTATTTTGCCCTCCCTCATCCTCCTGTATTTACCTTCCTTCCAGATTTTTTGATGAAGTGCTGTGTTTAGATAAGCAGCTCTGGTGAGGTAGCAGGATTAGATCCCTTGTTACCTGTGTCCCTTGTCCATCTTGGAGGCATGGCACTGACTAGCTTGATGAACTTGGAATGGGATGGCTTTGGTGGCTTCTGTATCAACTGAATACTTGCACTGTTCATGTTTTTAAACTTGATTTGTTATATAATTAATTATATACTCTGATTGGCATGCCTAATTTTATCTTTATGTTATTATCTGTACCTTTATATGTATTTCTATTACTCAGGGTTTCATATGTAATATTCTGAGGCAAATTGCCTAAGTGTGAGATGTTCATATTCTGCCCTCACTACCAGATTTGGTTTATAGAAGCATGGTAAAAGACCTCATTAATGTGTACTATTTTTACTTTCATGTATCAATTATAAAATATCTGCTATATAAAATACAGGTATAGGTAAGTTTACCTATCCACTTAATAGAAAAAGTAAATTCATACATTTGATTTATTTGCTCAAATAAATTAATGCTATTTTTAAGTTAGATGGGGTATTTTTCAGGGTGTGTATGGCTTAGAAGATGCCGTTATTGAAATAAAGAATTGTAAAGCCCAAATTAAAATAAGAGACGGAGAGATTGAAGTATTGACCAAAGAAATCAATAAACTTGAGATGAAGATCAATGATGTTCTTGATGAAAATGAAGCCCTTAGAGAGCGTGCTGGTAAGCTAATTTGTAAGACATTCCTTTCTCCTATACCCTACTTTTCACCTATTCCTTGTTTATCTTTGCCTTCTTGACATTTTTGTAGGAGAAATGGCCCTGTTCACCAAACCAAAGCCCTCACATTCCACACATGTTCCCCCCCTCCCCCCCGCCCCTGTGCTTTGCCTCTAGCCTTTACTTTAGGTTTGTTTGCTTATTTCTCAGTAGTTGAAGGGATATTTACCCAAATAAATATTTCTGTAGAAACACTTAAACAAAAGTGGATTTGGAGGTAGCCTCACTGTGTTGGGATGGTTGACAAGGGACAAGGCTTTCGTTGGTCTGGTATGTCTTCAGTAATAACTGCTTATGGAAAGGGTTAGCGCATATATTACACTGCATACAAGAAGTCAACTGTGGCTTTGCAAATAAGAAACATCTGTGTGAAATGTTAGCTTACGAACTGATTTTATTTCAGATGAGGCCATTTAAAAGTACTTTGTAAATCTTTTAAGGATGCAGAAATAGAATTTAAATTGCTTATATTTTACTTGAGTATTTTAAAAGTCCCATTTAGTCTGTGATGTAATTTTCAAGTAGAACTTGGGAATTTATATACTTTTTAAAATAAGTGGTGAATTAGTTAGTATTGCTGATTTATATTGTAAGTTATAAATAAAGTGCACAATCTAAGTTGCTTTTTTAAAATTAATAAATATGATTTAAGTATGATTTCATTATACTTGCTGAACATCAATTGGTGCTTTCTTAGTGTTAAACTGACATTCTACAAAACATTTGTATAGAAGAAAAATTAATACTTTATATGGATTACTTATTTGTCGTGCATATCTAACTAGAATTTAGGACTGTATTAGATATGCAAGTTAGATTTCCAACTAACTTGACCAGTCAGGTCATAGCTAGGAATCTAGAAGGATGTGTGACTAACTTGTGGCCTATCTAGAGCACTGTCACAGAAGCCATGTTGTCTGTCTTTAGGACTTTAGCTTTTTCTTTTCTCCCAAAGACAGGGTTTCTCTGTGTAACCCTGGCTGTCCTGGAACTTGTGCTGCAGACCAGGCTAGCCTTGAACTCACAGATCTACCTGCTTCTGCCATCTTAGTACTGGATTTAAAGGTGTGTGCCCGCATTGCCCAGCCAGGGGTTTAGCAAGTCTGGTTTACAGTTATTTCATACTGTCACTGGATGTTAGGGGCACATGTCTTTAATCCCAGTTCTTGGGAGGCAGAGGCAGGAGGATCTCCGTGAGTTTGAGGTCAGGCTCGTCTACAGGATGAGTTCCAGGATAGCCATGGCAGTTACACAGAAAAACCCTGCCTTGCAAAAATTTTTTTAAAAAATGGGCGGGGGGAATTATTTTACACTGTCTTGATACCTGATTTTCACGTTAGTAATGGAGGCAAATTAAGAGAGGTTAGCAGAAAAGAATAAACCAATAATGACATCATAAATATTAATAATGACTGCTACCTTCCAAGCACTGCTCTAAGCATTATGTTTAGCCTAATCATATTATACTCTGGGCAGATTAAAATAATAAGTAATGTCATCTCTGTATCTAAGCTATGAATTTAAAGTGGGAATTGAACCAAATTTACCTGTGGACGGGTCCCTTCATTAATGAATTGTAGCACCTTTGCAACCACCCCCATATGTGTTTGTCAGCATTTGCACAACGAGTTAATATTTAACATTCTTTGTGCAAGAAATTTCCCTGTTTCAGATGATGCTGGCTGGCGAATAATCCTAGCTACTTGATGTTCTATGAAGAATTTGTCATTCATTTGCAGGGTTTTAAGTTGTAATTATATTGCTGTCTGTTTCAGGCCTTGAACCAAAGACAATGATTGATTTAAGTGAATTTAGAAGCAGTAAACGCTTAAAACAGCAGCAGTACAGAGCTGAAAACCAGATTCTTCTGAAAGAGGCAAGTGAAGCTCAATTGATGGTTTTCATGTCTGAACCAAGGACAACCACTAATAATTCATACTTTGCAGATCGAAACCCCTGGAGGAAGAACGACTTGATTTGAAAAGAAAAATTCGTCAAATGGCTCAAGAAAGAGGAAAAGAAATGCGGCTTCAGGTATTCCCCATCGTCATCGTGTACCTGTAAAAGCAGCACCATTCAGGACGGACTTACTTGCATCTGGGGTGTTCTTTGTTAAACAGATGATTTTACTCTATTGCGCTCTGTTGCCCTGCATCTGGTCCAAGTAATAGGATAAAATTACTAGGTGTAATTGGTGTGATCTACCCTGAAATAGTTAAATGAAGAAACAACCAAGTTTGGGAATGGTACACCGCACACTTTTGAAAACTTCAGGTCAGGGTACAGTCTGTTGGCTTTTAGACAGCTCCACTTTGTTGTGTTAAGCTTAAAACTAATTTTTATACTACTGCATGTCACTCTTAGAATGGTACTTTGTCTTAAAAGCTGTACATTGGAAGGGTTTATTATTATTATTTACTTAATGTTTTCATTAAACTTAATTTAACATGTATTTGCTTGTTTACCTTACTTTTAGAAACCTTACTTTGTAACAGCCATTGCATTTCATTTTTTTTTAAGACCATATAAACAGTGTTTCTTTGGTGCCTTGGGTTAAAGGAGAGTTATTTTTTGTTCATTTGTTTCTTACTTGTTAATTCCTTCACATTGTAGGATTAACGGTTGAGGACTTGAACCTAACTGAAAACTTTTCTCAGGAAAATAAAATGGGAGAAAGATACCTAAATTTTATGAGCCTCAAAAGTATGAATGAAACACAATCAAAGGTAAACAGTAACGCTTTGACAAAAAGAATAAAGGAAAATGCTAGCAGTACATTTTTTTCCTCACTTAATCTCATTTAGCATCTCTGCTCTTTTAGGTTATTAAATAAATACTAATTCTTGCTTGCTTAAATAACTTGGTGATCTCAAGGTGGATTAATGAGATATTATGTACTTTGAATACAGATTAAGAGTCCAGCTAAAATAGAGCTGCTTCATAGGAAACCATCATTCAGTATTCTGCAATCAGATCAGAATGAGACAGAGGAAAATATGAGTGTACGATCATTATCAAGAACGCTGTCTGGAATTCATCATAGTGTAGAAACTGCAGTGGATCCTGTTTTCTCTCTAACTAGATGGTCCTCATTTATGCAAGTAAAAGATGATGAAACAACTCCAGGAACCATTACAATAAGGGGAGATTTTTAAAGCACCATGTCTACAATCTTTGAAAGATCAAGAATCGTTAGTCAGTACCTTCCGTAAGGGGAGCAATGAAGAAATGAGTGATATGCTATGCTCTCTTTCTGATGAGTGTGTGAAGAAAGTGTCAGGGAGCCATCAAGCTCTAGAGAAAACCAGATTCTTACAGAAAAGCAGTTCATCAGTTCAAGCATCACCAACAGCTTCAGAACTAATGCAGATCTTATCACGTAGGCAAAAGTCTGCAGTATTTTGTCAACAACCGTATGACCACGATATTGATAAAGTAACATCAGCAGATGAACAGGTCCATTCTCAAATAAAGTGTGCTGATAAAAGACAGAGTGAGTCACCCTCACAAACTGAGATGTTGAGAAGTGTGATCGAAGCCAATCTTCCAGATCCTGTGCCTGTAACTGCACAGTCCAAATTATCTCAGATAGATCCCCTTGAAAATCTTACAGAACAGCTACAGAGAGAGATAGTATTCCTTAGATCGCAGGTGAGCTTTCTTCAAACATACTCGTGCAATCTGTCTTATTTTTATGTACTCATTAAAACTTATAACAAATCTGTACTTAAAAAAAAATCTAAAATTGCAATATATTTCAAAAACGTGTTTACTTGCCTAATATATTAAATGTTTCTTTAGCACGAAAACATAGCACAGGATTTATCGATCCAAGAAGAGCAGAGTAGACATGCAGAAATAAAGCTTGACCGTCAGAGAAGCCAGGCAGAACAGGTAGTGTAAAGACAGACCACCGAGTCTGCTGAGCGTCTCTGCCTCCTGCCTGCCGTAGGGAGTAGTAGGCAGATGCTCAGCTGGGTTTTGTTCTCGGGACGTTGTTGTATAACGTCTCTGTCTCTATAACCTCTTTTCTGTTGTGCCAAGCTTGAATGTATAAAGCATTGTTTTAACTTGAAACCTATTTTTTTTACGGTGATATTTTACGAAACATTTTTATTCTCTTTACTCAGAATGAATTTCTTTCAAGAGAACTAATTGAAAAGGAAAGAGATTTAGAAAGAAGCAGGGCAGTGATTGCTAAATTTCAGAGTAAATGTAAGTCACCATCATCTCTTCCTTTTTTATATACCCATTTTCCCTAACTAAAATTTAAACCTATAGGATTATAGTACATTAGTTATTTTTCATCTTTATAGTCAGTAGCTCAGTCCCCGATATATATTTGTGGTTTACATTGCTATTTTTATTGTTACAGAACATTAAGTCCAGTTTTTCATGAAAATTCATCACATATTTCATATGCTTAAGTGAAAATAAAGTTATAAAAATTTAAAGATTTTAGTATGACAGAGCTATGCCGTGTGTGTGTGTGTGTGTGTGTGTGTGTGTGTGTGTGTGTGTGCGCGCGCGCGCATGACTAAAACAGGTGTGTTTAATTCAGCTGTTCTTGTTTCATCTATAGTTGAATTTTTTATTTACATTTTTATTCTCCAATTTTTTTCTATGTGAAATATCTGTCACGTATATAGAAAATGTAAGTTGATCTGTTTATTCACTGTGAAACAAACTATAATTACAGTAAAAGAATTAGTTGAAGAAAATAAGCAACTTGAAGAAGGTATGAAGGAAATTTTGCAAGCTATTAAGGACATGCAGACAGATCCTGATGTGAAAGGAAATGAAACATCTCTCATTATCCCGAGTCTTGAAAGACTGGTTAACGTAAGTTACGCTTGTGTGTTAATGTCTGCCTGCAGCCTGCCCTTCCTGCTTTAGGGTTTCTTTTTTTGATGCTTGATAAAATGTTCCGATAAAAAAAAACAACTTAAGAAATAGGATGAATTACACGTCTCAGGCAGGAAGGTGTAAAGCATGAGGCAGCAGCAACAGCTCATCACACTGCATCCACAGCCTGGCAGAAGTAACACTTCTCCTGTGTAGATGCTGACGTGAGCGAGGATGTAAGGAACCTAAGTTACTTGCCCAGCTAACAAGAAACTGGCTCATATATGAATGCTGATTATCTTTTTACTGTTTCCTAGTTTACTAATTTCTTAATATTTACTCAATGTTATTTATCTTAGTGAAGTAGTCATCATGTATAGTAATGTAAGCCAACCTTAAATTTTATAAATATTTATAAATTTATAAAAATTTATAAAAATTGTTTCATAAATAAAAAATTTAAATAGCATCTTTATTAGCCATGCCAGTGAGTACAGAAAGATGATTAAATTACTTAAAGGCACTTTTTTCTTGTCTATGATTTTACTGTTTTCCATTGTATTTGTAATATCTAATATAAATATACTAGGCGATAGAATCGAAGAATGCAGAAGGAATCTTTGATGCCAGTTTGCATTTGAAAGCCCAAGTTGACCAACTTACGGGAAGGAATGAAGAATTAAGGCAAGAACTCAGGGAATCTCGGAAAGAGGCTATAAATTATTCACAGCAGTTGGTAAAAGCAAACTTAAAGGTGAGAATTTTATTAAATACAAGAAAATATTAAGCCTATGACTGTATGTTCATTGGGAAACTTTAGTTTTTCTTTGTTTGCCTGAGACAGTTTCTTTATATAACAGCTCTGGCTCTGGCTGTCCTGGAACTCGCTCTGTAGACCAGGCTGGCCTTGAACTCACAGAGATAAGCCTGCTTCTGAGATATGCACCATCACCACCTGGCTAGGAAACTTTTTAAAAGACTGCTTTATTAGAAGGAAATGTCCTTTGAGTTATTTCAATGCTAAAATCAGTTTGGAGACGTGAAAAACACTTTCATTTATTCTTTCGTAATTTCTTACATTTTGATCATATCCTACCCTCACACGCTCTGTTTAGATCCTCCCTAGCAACCATACTTTGTCTTCTTTCTCCCTCTTAAACGAAAAAAGAAACAAAACCATGGAGTCTGATCTGTGATAGTCAGCTAGCGACTCCTGAGCACGGAGATTCCGCTGAAGTACACTTGACACACTGTAGCTCTATGAGGAAATGGATTTCTGCCTCCCTGGGCAGTTATTACAAATGGCTTCGTGGCTAGGGGGAGGATTCTGTGAGCACTTCCTTTCCTCTGTGCTGGGATTTTGTCAGGCTCGATCTTGTGCAGGTACAGTGGGTGTTCTCCCAACAGTCTCCCTATGGGCATTTGCCCTGCTGGGGCTGAAGAATGAAATTTCCTCAGAGTGATCCCCAAGCTCCGATCTTGACCATCTATCTGCCCATCTTCCACAAATACCCTGGAACCCGATTTAGGCTGAACAATCCAAAGCCTCCAGTCCTGTGCACATTGTTGTTTTATAGATTCTTTACGAAGTTATGTAGAAAATAAGTTCCTATAAAAGAGAAGAGCCCTAAATCTTGTATAAGGCATTTCTAAGTAAAAAGTAAAGTTCAGTTTAACTAATTCTTGTCAAGTTGTTCCATCCATTTAAAAAGATAGAAAGCATGAAGTATAACTTGATGCTTTGTGGTTTTCCTAAATGTGCATATCTTTCCTGGGTTGTTTCCAGATTGATCATCTTGAGAAAGAAACTCATCTCCTACGTCAGTCTGCAGGGTCCAGTGTAGTTTACAAAGGTGTAGACTTGCCTGACGGAATAGCGCCATCTAGTGCCCACATCATCAATTCCCAGAATGAATATTTAATACATCTTTTGCAGGTACCGGTAATTTATATGTTAATGACAGACATTTTTGATAGTATGCTTCTTAATTTAGTCTATGAATTCCTTTGAGTTCTCAGAATAAACAAGTGTGCTATTAGTAGATTGTGAGTCAGCTGAGGTAATATAACTACAGGAAATTTATTCCATTTACCTACATGTAAAGCATGTTCAAGCGTGTTCATCTGTGTTCCTCATTTGAAATTTATAAGGACATTAAGAATTATAAGCAGATACTATCAAGTAGCATTGTATTGTGTCTATTGTTGGTTATAAAAGTAAGCGGATGGGATGCCAAAGCTTCTCAATGCCATTATTAGAATTAGCTCTTTTTATGCTAATCACAGAAAGCTTGCAAACACACCCGACTCACCTATTCTTTCCAATGCAAATGGTTGATCTACTGCAAACTCGGAAGGGCACTCTATTATATTATTTGCCCGTAATTCCTTTCTGTTTGCTGTCTACATAATAGGATTAAATATAGCCTGATTAAAAATAATTTTTCAAAATTTCACTTGAAGTTTAATATCTATACCTTCACATATGCTATAATTTACATATAAAAAATCTAGTAAAAAATGGATTTCGGATTGTAGGCACCATTGCTTCCCACTGCTGGATTGCCCATTGGTGTGATATTTGAGTTATAATCATCCAATCTTGGTTTTGTATTTGAACATAACTGTACTCTTGCCTTGCTGGGCGCTGGTGGCGCACGCCTTTAATCCCAGCACTCAGGAGGCAGAGGCAAGTGGATCTCTGTGAGTTTGAGGCCAGCCTTGTCTACAGAGCGAGTTCCAGGCTCCAAAGCAATACAAGAGAAACCCTGTCTTGAAAAACCAATAAATAAATAAATAAATAAATAAATAAATAAATAAAACATTACTCTTTATTTGAATTTGTATGCTAACCAAGTCAAGTAAGGGTAACTTGACAACATATCAAAACATTTCTTTAAAATTCATCCTATATCACTACTTTTAAATTGTGGCATTATTAGTGATTTATTTTTGTGCATTAGAGGGACCCCATCAATCAATAATGGCGACATGATTTGCTTTATCTAAGATTTGTGACTTTTTTGTTTTAATGGGGGCCCATCAAGCTGACTCAGTGGGTAAAGGCACTCGGTGCTGGCCCTGATGACCAGTGTTTGTGTTCAGTCACTGGACCCCACAGGGGAAGGAGAGAACAGACTCGCCAAGTTTTCCTCCAGCCTCCACACATGCATCGTGCACTCGCATGCATGCAAATAAATGCTTTCGTTAATTAACTGACTAGTGTAAAACTCAGTTTTCCCATATTTAAAAAGAAGTAGGCTAATTTTAGTCAAGGCACAAAATTGTATACTGGCAAGAGAATATGTGGCTAAGTAATTGGAGTTTTTAACTGCTCTGATTGGTGAACATTTACGCTTGAGGTGACTACTCGATCTGATAGTCCGTGTGCTTGCCGAAGCTACCGTATTTGAAAAGGGTAATTGTGCTTGCTATGTAGGACTTTTTATGGGTACTGCCCTCATTCTTTGTACTTCATATTAAAATGCTGAGAATATGAAGTTTTAGTAATCTTTTTGGAATGTGAATCTGTACCGTTGGATTCAAAATACAGTCTACTGCTATTTAAATTCTAATTTATAAACCAAATTTCAGGAACTAGACAATAAAGAAAAGAAGTTAAAGCATGTAGAAGAGTCTCTTGAAGATTATAACAGAAAGTTTGCAGTAATTCGTCATCAACAAAGTTTATTATATAAGGAATATCTAAGGTATTTATGTTTTGAAAACTTTATAAATGTAGTTGGATATAGTGCTGTTCTGACTGTCACAAAGGGAAGTATTGATCCCCTTCACGTAATTGCTGTCAAAACCATGTTTAAATGTGTTTCTGAACTAGTTTAGTGATCTCAGCCCTCATCATGTCTGGGATTGATAGGGTTAATGAAATTCTGTGATAGTTTTTTTTTTTTTTTTTTTTTTTTTTTTTTTTTTGTAAACCCCAGTAGGGTTGTAATGCAATCTAAGTGAATTTTTTCATGAAAACGTTCAAGTTAGTGCATAGAACAGTTTGGTACACTATAGGTATTTGCTGTTGTTAGCAGTATTCATAATTGTCATCACTATACAAACATGTTCACATGGAACTAACATGCCTCCCCTTATCTCTCTCGTCTCATCAATCCAATCATTTTCTTAATGGAAACTATGCTTCATAATCAAAGGTAATTTTACACATTTATGATAGCAGCTGATTGACAGGAAACCCATAGGTAGTTCGAGGATAAATCAATTTGTATGGCTTTTTGTTACCTACTATTGTTATAAAATAATCCTAGAAGTTCATACATCAGAGATTGAAGAAGAATAACATGATATTCATATTTTGACACATCACAAAATTGTCACGTGTTAATCAAAACCATTTAATGGCAAAAAAAAGTAATGATGCCACTAAAATTGGTGTATGCCAAGCATAAATTAACAGTTGTATGTCTTTCCAATTGGCAATAATGACTTATCTACCTGTAAAAATTATTAATTGGATTTCTTTCAGTCGATAAGTAAATCTATTATTTGTTTATGCCTATAAAATGTTTTTATTTGTGTAAGTCAACCTGTTGTAATGGGCTCATTACTCACTCATTGTCTTGTGGTGAGAACATAATAATCTACCATTCAACAAATGTTCAAGCATAATATATATCCTGGGATCCCAATAGGTACAGTAGATCTCTTGAACCTACTTTTGCTTGAGTCCTTTACATACCTTCTTTTAAAACTAAAAGATTTTTTTTATTTAAAAATTCTTCTCATAAAATGTATTTTGACTTTGTTTCCCCTCTTCCAACTCCTCCAAGACACATTCTTTCTTAACTACCCAAGTTTGTGTCTGTGTTTGTTCTCTTTCTCTCTTTATAAACAACCCCAAAAATGAAGTGGGCACAGGGTTCCTGAATTTGACACCCAGTGGTAAAGAGAAAACCCATTTTTTCCAAAGCCGGTGATTTCCAATATTTGCATTCTAAATATTTGAGCATATCCATTGCTCATATTTGAGAGTTGGGCCAGAATTTTGAGATTTGATTTTTTTCAGAATTTGTTTAGTATATTAATTATATTTATATTCCTAATCCTTTTCTCTTTACAATATTTTTATAAATTCTATATTCTAATTGTGTAGTTACTCAATTGAAGTTATATATACATATGTATATATGCATATATAATAAAATACAAATATATGTTTTAAACAAAACTTAATCCATTGGGTGCTCTGTAAAGGTAGCTTTTATGCTATTTTAGTGCTAAAATGATGTTTCAAAGAATCCTTCTCAAATGAAAATTTAAAGCTTGGAGTTTTCTTTTTTTACTGACACAAAATATTGCAGACTTGACTTATGTGTTTCATGTCTAGATGATAATTGGGGTATTAAGTTGCAAATATTTTAGAGAAATAGGGCAAATAAAAACGGAAATAACCTGATATAATTGTGATACTACCTTTAATTTATTAAAAAAAAATTGAGTTAAAATTTAACTCTTTCACGGTACATGTTAGGTACAGTGTCTTTTTTTCTGAGAAAACTTAAAGCTTATATAATCAAAATCCATCCCTTTTGTGGTTAAAAACTCTGTTTACTTTATTATCCTTTTAATGGTTATTGCATGATGTTATAGTGAAAAGGAGACTTGGAAAACAGAATCTGAGACAATAAAAGAGGAGAAGAGAAAACTTGAGGATCAAGCCCAGCAGGATGCTGTGAAAGTAAAAGAGTATAATGTAAGCACAACTTTAAATGTCACTCTGCCAGGCACAAATGAGGACTGCTAGAGTCACTTAGTAACGCCAGTGGTTTGTTTGTCCAGAATTTGCTCAGTGCTCTTCAGATGGATTCAAATGAAATGAAGAAAATGCTTTCAGAAGCCAGCAGGAAAATCACTGTTTTGCAAGTGAATGAAAAGTCCCTCATAAGGCAGTATACCACCTTAGTGGAAATGGAGAGGCAGCTCAGAAAAGAAAATGGGAAGCACAAGAATGAGTTAATATCAATGGAAGCCGGGTTACTGAAAAAATCGGAAGTTTGCAAAGATTTAAGGTATTTCTGCCCTTTGGGGGTGGAGGGGGGCTCAGGAACCTTTTGGGTCTGAAGACAGTAAGACTCATGCACATCCATCCCCAGGATTTATGGTTAATGCTTATTGACATTTGCTGTATTACTCCATCCATTTTTGTAGGAAGACTTAAATTGCAGACATTTTTCCATAAATATTTTTTAACATACATCTCTACAGTAGAAAGCTGTTGTTTATATAATTTTAATAATATTATTTCCCTAATTTTCCCACTGTGCATGCTATATTAAGTCTTCTTTAGTTGCTGTAGGCTTTGATCATGAGTAATGCACTTACTGGATTTGACAGTTATGTGTCCGAATTTCTGAAGGCAGCAACCTGTTTTGCTTTGATTGATTTGATTTTATCAAGTTTAGCTCTGAGGCCTTGATTTGACTCAACTTAAACAATTTTAGCCAGAATACATCTATGTTATTTTATTCCAAAAGAAAGCATATCTGTTTAGATGTTGTTTGGTGGGGAATTACATCATTTTTAATTGATGTCTACATTTTTAAGTGGTAACTGGTAAGATTTTTACCATGATATAAATAAAGGATCCTTTGCTATTTTTCCCAGTTAACTTTAGCATTTATGATGATTACCTGCTATGGGTTTTCATGTCTGTCTCATATTATTAGTGCTGCTACATTATTTTGAAAGTAGAGAAATTTTTGTCATTGGCCAGGGTACCAAGTTCTCCTGAAGTGTATTTCCCACCGTAAAGACAGTAGGAGTGCTTTGATCTTTCCTTCTCATCACGAATTTGTGTGACTTCAGGAAAATAAATAGAGCTAAGATGTACGGTTCCCTTAGTTCATGGTGATTTTGTCACAGTGTCAAATGTTTAATTGATTTTAATCTTCTAAAATTTAAAATAGGCAAGCATCCAAAGATGACTTCTGAATGATTGCAGTCTATTAATACTTTCTGAAATTAATTGTATTTCATTTACTGTGACAGTTTGTAAAAGAACTCATTTAAATTGATAATTAAAATTTTTCAAATATAATTTCCTATGTGAAAGAATAACATGAGAAATATGTTTTTCAAATGGCTTTAAAATACGTCTGCTTTCAGCGAAATTATCTTTCTTAAAAGATGCTTTACCAGAAAAGAAAAATGCACAAATTTAACTCTGTGTATCTTTTGTTTCAGGAAATGGCTACCTTCAAAATTGCAGCTCTCCAGAAAGTTGTAGATAATAGTGTTTCTTTGTCTGAACTAGAACTAGCCAATAGACAATACAATGAACTAACTACTAAGTACAGGGACATATTACAGAAAGATAACATGCTTGTTCAAAGAACAAGTAACTTAGAACACCTAGAGGTGAGTGTGGATGATCTTTGAACCTTGTTAACTACCCACTGTACACTGAAGGTACCCTGGGGTCCATAGGAATTTTACTGATTTCAAGTGATTAAAGTTGGCTCCTATGTTTTTAATTGTAATGGAGAAATGGTAATAGGTATAATCTAATTGTGGTTTGTCCAGCATATGAATGCATATACCTGTATGTAACTTACTATCTATTTATAATTGCAAATAACTTCAAAGGTGACTTTATCTAGGTCATCCTTTTATGTATCTTTTATGATTTAGCTGAGCCAAACTTTGTTCGTGGAACACGTGTAATTAAAGGGAGAAATGCTCTTCAGCACCCATTCCTTTCTTTTCTTACCCTGATCTCAGAGCCCTAGATTTGGTGTCTTATGATGGGTTTATTTGACTGTGGATGCATTATTAATGACATTTCCTAGACATGAGCTCTCCAAATCCCCGTTCTTTTATGGTTTAGAAATACTGACAATTAGGGTGGCGATGAAGGAGGTGGTTCTGTATGTAGAATCACTTTACCTGCAAGTAATTTGGATCCGTGGGACGCATATATTTTAGTTTCTTTTCTGTTTGTGTAATAAATCACGCAACAAAAGCAAGTTTAGAAAGAAGGGTTTATCTGACTCACAGTTCATGGTAGAGTATCACGGGAGGAAAATCAGCATAGCAGGAGTGTGAGGCAATTGGTCACATGTCTACAGTCAAGGCACAGGTGAATGAATGCTTCCTGTGTCTCAGCTTGCTTTCTCCATTTTATATAGTCATCTCCCCCAGTAAGGGAAGTAATCCTGTCCACAGTCAAGATGGGCTTTCCTACATTAGTTAATACAATACCGATAGCCCCCACAGGGACCATCCCCCGCCCAGCTGATTATAGATTCTGTCAAGTTGATAACTGCAACATTATGGAGGGAAAAAAAGCCTCTATGAACCCATAACACCATCTCTCTTATAGCCAGGAGGGAGATAGAGAGATGAAAATTGTCTTGCCGGGAAGCTGGTGTCCAGGTAGTCTGAAATACACAGCGCAGAGACAGAAACAATAAGAAAATGTCTTGCCTGTTGCAAAGGAAATGGCAGTGACAGACTTCCAGAAATTGTTCTTGGTTCTCTACATGTGTCATCACACGTGTGCCTACACTCACACACATCACACAGAGACTAGAGTGGTGGGAGGTCATAAGCGCCTTTAGACTATTCGTGTACATAGTCCAGATCTTTCATTCTTCTGTCTCCTGCTCCTTCCTTTGATTTCCTTGGTGGTGGTGGTGGTGGTGGTGGTGGTGGTGGTGGTGGTGGTGGTGGTGGTGGTGTGTGTGTGTGTGTGTGTGTGTGTGTGTGTGTGTGTGTGTGTGTGTGTTGGGGTGTATGTGTTTGCATGTAAATGGAATACTGGCTTGATGTTGGAGTTCTCACTTTTTATTTAGTAAAATGGGGCCTGAAGTTTTCCAGTTCTAGCTAGTTTCCCTAGCCTGCTTGCCCTGGGGCTCCTGTCTCTGCCTCCTGAGTGCTGAGACTGTTAGGTGCTGCCGTGCTTGCCAGGCCTTTACACGGATGTTTGGAATCCCAGGTCTAGTCCTCACCCTGCACAGCTGTTACAGCCACAGAGCTGTTTCCCTGGCTCAAGAGAGTTTTAAAATTTTATGTGTATGGGTGTTTTTCTTGAATGTATATCGATGCCTGCAGAGACCAGGAAGCTTATTGGATCCTTTGGAGCTGGAGTTACTGACAATTACAGCCAGTGCTCTTTACAGCCTAGCTCTCTACATTTTTTTGTTTTGTTTTGTTTTTAAATAAGCAATTTCCAGTTTTTGACATTCTCAGAAATTGGGGTATATGTCTGCAGCCTTCTCAGTAGAAACTGAGGTATATGTCTTCAGGCTTCTCAGAAATTGATATGTCTACAGGCTTCTCAGTAGAAGTTAAGTCTTTAGGCTTAATCTCCTTTAAGATCCCTTCCCACAGCATGGAATAGGAAATATTTGGTTAGTTTACAAGCTCTTACTTGCTTAGGGGAAAACACTGAGTAAATTAGATATTGCATTTCATTATGTATTAATACTGTCTAGAAATATTCATGATCCATTTACTTTTTACTGCTTTTGCTGAAAACCAAAGATGCTTATGTTACTATTTAAAGATAATTCTGCCTGTGTAGATGTAGTAATAATTTCCTTTTTCCATTCTCCATGTCCTTGTTCTATTTCTCTAGTATTAACAAAGCTCTCAATGACAAATCTGCAGTTAGCTACCAGTGAGCTGTTTTTTTCCTTATTTCATATTGCTAAAAATCAAACACAGGCAAGAACTGAATCTCTGAACTCCATCTTCAATCTTCAATACTAACTAGTTATCTAAATTTTATTTACTATTACTATTATTATTTGTGTGTGTGTGTGTGTGTGTGTGTGTGTGTGTGTGTGTGTATCTATGTGTGTTTGGTGTTAGTTTGCATGTGTGTTTATATCAAGTAATTTGCTCTAGTCAGTTTATGGTAGGTTCTGGGATAGAACACAGATTGTCAAGCTTGCATAGCAACAACTTTTACTTGCTGAGGATATTGTTTGCCTTCAATGAATAATGTTTAGTTTAATTCTTCTGTTTTCCCAAAGAACTTTTTTTTAACCATTCCTCAAAATTAGTAAATGTATATGAGATGTGGATATACGTAGGCTAGAGTTTCAGGTGCCCTTGAGAACTTGAGTGCAGATCCCAGCATTCATGGTCAGGTATCTCACAGCTGCCTATAACTCAAGCTCCAGGGGCTACTGCTACCTCTGTCCTCGGTAGGCACCTGCACTCACATGTGTACACCACAGAATACGTGTGTGTCTGTACATTTTATTTTTAATTATATATATATATATATATATATATATATATATATATAAAGAAAATAACATTTTCTTTAAAAGTTCATATACCTTGTAATTTAATATCCGTGTTTTAACTTAAATAGTATAATGGATTCATCTCAAAATGCTTGTTAAATGCCCATGCTCCCAAATTGCAGTGTAACAAAGCTGCCTGCAAAATTTAGCGAATAAAATAATCATTTTATTCTTGCCATAGCTTCTGGATATCAGAACTCAAAGTCACCCTGCTACAGATGGTTCTGAGAGACTAAGAACGACAGCTGGGGGAGGGGAGACTGTGATCTAAATGTATTGTATGAAAACATGATTTTTAACAAGAGTCCATTGTGGGGAAGGAAGACTGACTGAACAGGAGGGTAGTGGGACAGAGGTTAATTTCCAAATCCTTTCACTCACATAACTGGCACCTAACAGGGATGGCCTAAGACCGTTGGAAAACACAGGCGCTTGTGTTATGATTCATAACAGTAGCAAAACTGCAGTTATAAAGTAGCAACAAAAATAATGTTATGGTTGGGAGTCACCACAACATGAGGAACTGTATTAAAGGGTCGCAGCATTATGGAGGTCAAGAACACTGCTTTAAAGCAAGACAAGAGTTTAAAGGTTCGGAGAAGGAAAATGGGGCTGAATTGGGAAAAGATTGGGTGTAGGAAGACCTCAGCAACAATAAGCAAAATTAAAAGCCTAGCACTGTAGATTTTGGAATTTAGGGACTGTAAGTCTCAGTGAAGGATTATCAACGGTGAGCTGGCCTATGGGCATGTCTGTGGGGGAATTGTTTTAACTATCTTTATTAATATGGGCATATACTGCTTACTGTGGTGTAACCGCTACCTGTGAGGTGGGTTCTACCTATGCAAGAGCAGAGACATCAAGCTGAGATGAGCAAGCAAGGATGCATGCACTTAACTTGTGTTCTTGACTGGAGGTTGTGACTTCCTGCCTTGCATTCTCCTTAATGATAGAAGGTACCCTGTAATTACATGACTTCAGTAAGCTCACCCCTAATTGTTTTTATGATGGGCCATTTTACCACAGCAAAAAGAAGTTAGCACAGGAGATTCTACCACACTTGCATTCACACGGACCATAAATGGAGAAGCCTGTGAAGTGTGGGATTTGTGCTTATTGCTTTTTACTGTTGACATCTAGCACCTGTTGCAGATGTGTAGGGATGTGCACTTTAGTGCTTGTATGAATGAGGCAAATGAGCAATAATTTGTGAAAGTATTCCTTATTAGTTAAAATGAGCAGGTGTATCTTTAGTGGCAAAGGTTAATACTTTGAAGTCTAGAGCCAGATGTATTATATACACGAGTTTGAATATTATTTGTGTGTGTTATGTGAGAAATTATAATTTCTAAGAAAATATTTTTGGATCTAGTTAATTTCAGTGTGTGATTTTTGATTTGCCTCTTATAATAAAGCTTAAAATTTTAAATTAAAAAAGTAGGTTGTGACTTTTAAGAATTAATACATAAAGTCATCCTCATTGCCATGTAGTTCATCTATAATGTCTATATTTTATTAAGTGTGAAAATGCATCTTTAAAAGAACAAATGGATGTTATAAGTAAAGAACTAGAGATTACAAAGGAAAAACTCCATACCATTGAACAAGCCTGGGAACAAGAAACTAAATTAGGTAAGTCTTAAGACTCAGATAATTTCAAGTGATTAGTGTCTAACAGTGATTCTTTTACTGAAAATTCCTTTTCTATTGTATAATTTGGTATAGCTTGATTTAAAAAGATGAACTGTATCCTGGAGTTTAATATACTGATGATGATTAATATCCTGGGTGCTTGGTTTATAGTTCTCACATGAGATTTTTTTTTCCCTAGTAAAATTATATATTATAAATTTGTGGTTAGACACTAGTTATTTTGAAGTATTTTAACGACAAAACCAAGTGATAATTTTGAAATATGTGTTTTCCTGAGTGCAAAATTTATGTTATAATTTGATACCTGTAAATGAAAAGATCAGCATAAATTATCAAAGAAAATTTGAGAATTTTTATTGCCTACATTTGCAGTAATATATTGTCACATTTTTCTTATGTGTGTTTTATATTTTAATACTTTAAATAATAAATACTTTGTTATATACTATATCAATTTAATAAATTTTCAAAGTATTTCTGCATCTTAATCATTTATCTTATAAAAACTCATATAGTATCCTATTATTTGAATGATTATGAGTAAAGTGTTTTGATGGTATCTTGTTTATACTCTAACAAATAAAGCTTGCCTGATGATCAAATGGCAGAGTTAGCCACTAGCTAAACATTGCACTCAGGAGATCTGTACAGATAGACAGGAAGTGAGATGGCTTGAAGGAGATAGGAATTTAGGCAGATCGAGACAGGAACTCAGTCTCTTCGGTGGGAGGATTTTGTAGAGGTAGTGGCCGGATGCTTCTCTGATCTTTCAGCTTTCATCCCCTATTATCTGACTCTGGGCTTTTTTTATTAAGACCAATTGGAACTTGTGTTACAAAGTATTAGGGGTGTTTTGTTTTGTTTTTGCCATTATTTAGAATGCTACAAAGATTACCTTCATTTATATCTGACTTGCCATATTATTATATATAAAATTATTGTATAAAAATTACAGTTTGATAGTGTTTGATATTACATGTATATAAGGTCCAAAATAATGCTCCTGGTTTGAGATTATACTTGTAAAATCTATGAGTCATATAACTTCAGACTTTACTTTTGAACTTGGTGCTTGGTAACATTAAAAATCAAGTCATTGACCCTACATGTCCAAAGTGGCACTGCTATCTATCCTGTATTGCCCCCATGTAGTTAACATCCTTTCCATAACAGGCGGTTCGATCACCACTTGTTACACCCTCCAACCAATGACAGCTCTGCTCTGCACTGACCTTCACATTGGTGTTTCAGTAATCTCATAGTTGACGTTGGACTTCCTTTTGGCTGCCAGCTCCCACATATTGACATGGATACTTCTGATTAAGTATGGAAGCTTAGCCTTAGCTTAGGCTTGTTCTACTAGCTCTTAAAACTGAATCTGTTTATATTCATCTGTGTTCTGCCATGTGTCTTGTTACCTCTCCTCAGTACCTTACACCCGACTTCCTCCGTGTTGGCTGGCAAACCTCTGGCACCTTAGATTCCTTCTCTCTCTCTCTCTCTGGAAGTCCTACCTAGCCTCTCCTGACTTTCTGTTGGCCATTCAGCTCTTCTTAAACCAATCAGGAGGTGCCTTAACAGAGACACATTTTCACAGTACATAAAAAGATTATCTGACAACATAGAGTTTCTGTTGTCATTTGTTTATTCTAGGAAGATAAATGGGTAGGCATCAGACATGTAGGAATAAATAATGAGAAGAATGCAGACATGTCTTAATACAAAAAGTTCATTCCTTGCTATAGAACTATGCTACTTTTTTTTTAATACCTTTTCTGAATTCTCTTCTGTGTAATGTATTATCACATACAGGAAACGAATCAAACATGGATAAGGCAAGGAAATCAATGACAAATAGTGACATTGTTTCTATTTCAAAAAAAATCACTGTGTTGGAGATGAAGGAATTAAATGAAAGGCAGAGGGCTGAACACTGTCAGAAAATGTATGAACACGTAAGGACTTCATTAAAACACATGGAAGAACGTAATTTTGAATTGGAAACCAAATTCACTGAGGTTTGATATAATTTTTATCATATAACTAGACAGAATTGGTGATAGTAGATATTGGAGTATTAAGAACTTTGTCTCTGAGGTAGCATATGCATAAAGCATTTGTATTTCATGTAATGGATATACAGACAAATGTTTTAAAATCTGAATTGCTTTAGATTAAACCATTTGTTTCTATAAACAAATTCTTTCTTGCCAGTGTCATGGTATTAATTTTAATGAACAGAAGGATGTTGTTTATTAAAAAGCAAATTGTCTTCCAATCCCATCTCTTTGTTTAAAAAATACTCACTGTCTTTTACACTCTAGAACTTGTTTAGGAGCAAGACTATAGTATGCGGTAAAATAGTAAAAACAAAAATCTCTGCTTTCAAAAACATTCCACGTAGAGGGATACTCTCTCAGCCTAGACACATGGGGGAGGGCCTGGGCCCTGCTCTAGATGATGTGACAGACTTTGAAGACTCCTCATGGAATGCCTCACCCTCCCTGGGCAGCAGAAAGGAGATGGGATGGGGTTTGGAGGGGGGGAGGGCGGGAGGAGAGGAGGGTGAGGGAACTGGGACTGACATGTAAAACAAGCTTGTTTCAAGTGTCCTGAGGAATATTTTGTTGTTGCTTTTCCATAGCTTACCAAAATCAACCTGGATGCCCAGAAGGTGGAGCAGATGTTGAGGGATGAGTTAGCTGACAGTGTGAACAAGGCAGTGAGTGATGCTGACAGACAGCGGATTCTAGAGTTAGAGAAGAGTGAAGTGGAGCTCAGAGTCGAAGTGTCTAAGTAAGTGCACACAAACATTTCCAACATTTGATTGTTGTTAAAAGATCAATTATGGACGTATGTAGCTATATCTATACTGGTTTTTGATAAGAGGATTAATGTCAGGGCTGGTGTTTAACCAGGTGATATAATATTGACAATGTCTCCCCTACCCCGAATGTAGGGATGCAACTGTAGAAGACATTAAAGCTGGAACAAAAACCATAGGGCCCACATCTTATTCGTTGCCTAGTTTTACTATCTTTAAAAAAGAAAGGAATTTTGCCTTTTTATAAGGTTGATGTAAACATATAATTAATTCATATTTTGATTTAATTTTCATGTCTTAGAAACTAGCTCTGTGGTAGGTTTTGTGCAAGACATTAGACATTAATTCAGGAACTCTTGCCTACTGACACTGAGGTCAAAGTTTTTTTATTTGGCCATAGGAAATATGCCCAGCCCCTTTAAATCACTAAGTGTCTACTGAGCACTCTCTATTGGAGCACTAAGTGCCTGCTGAGCACTCACTCTCTATTAGAGCACTGTGTCTGCTGAGCACTCACTCTCTATTAGAGCACTAAGCCCACGTTTTCATTGGGCTTCGCTATGGAAATCATAAGGTAAATTAACTAATTACACCTTCCATATGTAACATAACTTTCTAGTATAAAATTCTGTGTGTGAAGCACATAATGGGAAAGTTAAAATGGGAATTTTACATTGAGTTTTAAATGTGCAGTAGCAACAGGTTAGCCTAGCTAGATTGACCAACCATTCCCTAAATATAATAAAAAGTGTCTTAGGACACTAGGAGCAAGTGTTTGCTGACCACCTGCATTTGGAAAACGACATAAGCCATCTTCTCAATTTGACTTAACAGATGGCATATCTTTCAAGTGACAGACTTCCCCGAGTAGGGGATGTTGTTATAGTATAGATCACTTTCTGGTCTCTTACAGAATTAGGTTTCATGAAATAGTTGAAGAGACCCTTGAACTCTTCGAACTTGATGCAAAGAAGAGACGCTATAAACCGATTGCTTTTCTAGAATGATGTCTCAAAATTAGGGCTTTTGGTGTTTGCTGAGTTGTTCCTTAAGTATTTTATCACTCTCTAGACTGAGAGAGATTTCTGATATTGCCAAAAGACAAGTCGATTTTTTGAACTCGCAACAACAGTCCAGGGAAAAGGAAGTGGAGTCCCTCAGAAAGCAGCTGCTGGACTACCAGGTATGCACTGGGCTGCCTTCTCCCTTTGCTCTGCTGTTGGCTAAGCTCACCCCAGACACTGAAGGAAGCACGCAAGGCTAAGCAGAAGTAGTTGCAGCAATAGAAACCTGTTTCTGTTAGAAAACCTCCTCATTTATTTATTTTTGCTTTTTTGAGACAGGGTTTCCTCTGTGCAACTGTCCTGGCTGTCCTGGAACTCGCATTGTAGACCAGGCTGGCTTTGAACTCATAAAGATCTTCCTGTCGCTACCTCCCGAGTGCTGGCATTAAAGGCGTTCTCCACCACCACCAGGCACTCGAAAACCTCTTTTATTTGAAATACAGATTAATTTGGCAGCTGCCAGTCACATTTAATGTACTAAGGAGAAATAACTAATGAGCCTTTAACACAGTAAGGAGGGATAATTATGAATATTTACTGACTGTATTTTCTCTTGTACATACTTGTAACTTTTTACATAATCCCATGTTGTTTTTAGAGAATTAAAAACCAGAATTGTAATGTTAACGTTGTCTGTGAACTAAAAAGCAAAACACTACCATTCCAACTATCATTTAATTCGAATTCTAAGAATGTATCATTCTGGATATATAGTTGGTGGCTATTATGTTAAAGAAAAATTGTTTGTTTAAAAAAAAAAAACTCCTTTGCAACAGTGTTTTAAATTTTTCTTTAGTAAACTTTGAGTTTGAACCCATGATGTATTTATTGAAAAACCTGAACTTAATAAATAAATGTGTATTTTTTTTACTGTTAGGCACAATCTGATGAAAAGGCACTAATTGCCAAGCTGCACCAACATGTTGTCTCTCTTCAAATTAGTGAGGCCACTGCTCTTGGTAAGTTGGAGTCAGTTACATCTAAACTGCAGAAGATGGAGGCCTACAGTTTGCGCCTAGAGCAGAAACTGGACGAAAAAGAGCAGACTCTGTACTATGCCCGCCTGGAAGGCCGAAACAGAGCAAAGCACCTACGCCAAACTATTCAGGCTCTGCGAAGACAGTTCAGTGGCGCCTTACCCTTGGCCCAGCAGGAAAAGTTCTCCAAAACAATGATTCAGCTGCAAAACGACAAACTTAAGATTATGCAAGAAATGAAAAACTCTCAACAAGAGCACAGAAATATGGAAAACAAAACACTGGAGATGGAATTAAAATTAAAAGGCTTAGAAGAGTTGATAAGCACCTTAAAGGACGCTAGGGGGCCCAAAAGGTAAAACTTGATCTGAAACTCATCATTCCTGTGCTACGTAGTAATATCGTTCTTCACACATAGCTGTGTGAGAAATGTTCAATGTGCATTTAAAATACTAGTTGTAATTAGCTTAGATTTAATAAATCGGGAATTTGGACTTTTCCTAAGTAAGAATCTTCAGCAAAAAATACGTTTTTTGTGTGTAATAGCACAGAATAGCAGGAAAGGTCAAATAAATATTAAGTACAATAATTTAAATGACTTAATAGTCATCAGTTGATTTCTATTCTGCACAAATATTTTCTCTTTGAATTATTTGTTTTTTTTTTTGTGTGTGTGTGTTTTTATTTGTCAATCTTCCTTGTATATACTTAGGGTTTTCATAGATGTTTACATTTATTTTTTAAAGATTCATTATTACCATCATTTGGGAAGAATTAAACAGTACCTAATATCTTGACGTTAAATCCTTTTCTCTATGCTAGACTTAGATTTTCTTTTTTTTTTTTTTTTAATTTTTATTTACTGGACAGATTTCTCAAAATGTTATTCTTTGACGGTTTTATGTGCATACCACAATAGATTCTGGTCACACTTATCTTCCCACTTTATTGTACCCTCCTCTTCCTCACCCCCACCACCTCATCCCATCTAATCCTTGTCCCGTGTTTCACGTGGTTTTGTCTTCATTTTGTTGCTGACCGAGCATGCACAGCACCGCTCCTGTGGGCATGAGTGTGAAACTGTACACAGGAACATGATTGTGCCACCAGTATCTACATCGTTGTAGACAAGGGAAAGAATTCTATTTTTCAGAGCAGTACCGATGTATCAATAATAAACAAGTGACACAGCATGAAAAGCTGAAAGGAAATGTTACTGATGTCTGTGTATTTGTAAATAATTTGAAGCAGGCAGTGGTGGCTCACGCCTTATTCCAGCACTCAGGAAGCAGAGGCAGGCGGATCTCTGAGTTTGAGGCCAGGCCTGATCTTCAAGAGCTAGTTCCAGGACAGCTTCCAAAGCCACAGAGAAACCCTGTCTCAAAAAACCAAAAAAATTAATAAATAAAATAATAATTTGAAGACTTATTTTAATATTGTACAGATTTTAGAATAATCTTTGGGAATTCTAAATAACTTTGCCATATATCTTGGCTAGGGGCCAATTTCAGTAAAACCATGATATAGCATTTATGTGTATATGTCATTTAGGTAATCAACTGGCATGTGAAAATAGAAGAACTCCGCCTTCAGGAACTTAAGCTAAATCGAGAACTAGTGAAGGGTAAAGAAGAAATCAAGTACTTGAATAATATCATCTCTGAATATGAGCAAACAATCAGCAGTCTCGAGGAAGAAATTGTTCAGCAGAACAAGGTTTCCTTTTCTGTTTACTCCTGTTCTTGTGTTAAGGCTATAAACATCAGGTCATTACCCTTTAATTGTATTATTATGATGAAATGTAGCTCCCATCATATTAAGAAACAAAATAGCCTGTTTCTTGCTTCTTAAACTCCAGTTGACTCATGTGTAACATAAGTCTTAAACTTAAAAAACAATATGTCAGCAAACGTACTAAGTGAATTTTTATTTTGATAAGTTATTTGACTTCAGGCAAGTTTCTGCTTGTTGTCATTGTTGATGTAGAACGCAGCATGGGGTAGGAAAAGCATGTGCTTGAGAGCCAGATGCCACTCAGAAAACACACACTTGCCATGGAGATTGTTCCCTGTGCTTAGGTCTTCCTTCTGTATCGTAGCTATTCATGCTCACGATTTCACTCCTGATGATCTTCACTCGCATACCTTTTCATGCCTATGCAACTGCAAAGGCTCCTTGGTATTGAATGGTCTATTGTGTCAGCAAGTCCCTACATGGGGAATCCTGCTTTCATTTTTCTAAATAGTGTTGGCCATCCCCTAGTGTCTTACGTAATTGTTATTGCCTGTTCCTTACTTCCTGGGATGTAAGCTCCTTGGGGACAGAGACTAGGTTTTGTTTATTGTTATGCTTGCATTGCCCCAAATAATGCTTGAAAAAAAACATGTTATTAGACGGGTTTGGAATGGATGGATGGATGAGTAGATTCATGACTAGGGTGAAATTCTGACTTCACACCTGCCTGCCTCTGTGGTCTTAGGCAAATTGGCTTGACCTCCTAAGTTTGTATTTCTTCCCATGTAATAAGAGTGATAGTAGTAACAGTAAAAGCTGAGGGTTAAATAAGGAAATGTGTAGATGCCTGTTATATGTTCAGTATTACTGTGCATGTGCCTAACATAAATGTCTTTTTTAGTTTCACGAAGAAAGACAAATGGCTTGGGATCAAAGAGAAGTTGAGCTAGAACGCCAACTAGACATTTTTGACCGTCAGCAAAATGAAATACTCAGTGCAGCGCAAAAGGTATAAAAAACTCACTAATTGTGTTTGCTACTTCCAGAATTAGGTATATTTTTAACTGTAAGGTGTATGCTTTGGGTGAATTGTCAGGAGTTTCTTTATTTAAAGAGAAGTGAATTTTGGCTCATGATTTTTTTCATGCATTTAAAAGATATAATATTGTTTTCTCAGTACTACACTGCTGTTTTTAAAGCATGTTATTTTTCAATAGTTTGAAGAGGCTACAGGATCAATGCCAGACCCCAGCTTGCCTCTTCCAAACCAACTTGAAATTGCTCTACAAAAAATTAAGGAGAATATTCGAACAATTCTTAAAACACAAGCCACTTGCAAGTCACTAGAAGAGGTAATTGGAAGGATTTGTATTTTGATTGGTATATTATTGGGTATGTTTATGGAATTTTCTAAATAATATGTTCAAATGGCAGTAAAGTATAAAATGGTAGATTTGTTCCTAGTTCCTCTCTTTTTCTATTCTTATATACTATTTCTAATAGCTGATAATGAATAGTCCATACAGTTAATTTGAACTTACCATTCATTTGTTTACTGTATTTTGCTTTTGGGAACACTAAACATAAAAGTAAGCATCAAGGGTAAATAAAAATTTTCTGAATTACCTTCCCTTAACTGCTGTTTTCATTATTATTTTTTACTTATTTTCTAGTTTATGTTATATACCCTTTAAGTAGTTTCTTTGTTCATTTTATTTCTGAGTAGGTAAAGTTGTAGCAAAATAAGTTATTTAATCTAGGTACAGAATTTGATTAATAGGTATCAAATCATCTCATTAAATCATTTATAAAATAATATGAACTGATTATTATTTAAATTTTAGTTTATATCCAAACATTAGTAAGTGCACTTAAGAAAATTTTATTGTGTAAAATCCTGCCTATATAATCAGTTTAGGAAAGAACTTAACATTTTTGGTTTATGGGAAGTTATTACTAACTTAATAGTTTTACAATATCTGCTATGATCTTACTGAAGATTAAAAGCTCTTCTCTGCTTTGGTGTGGCCAACAGAAGTGATTCACTTGCATGTTGAGGGAAACCCCAGCCTTGTGCTCGAGTAACTCCTCTGCATTAGTTTGCTATTGCCCTGTCGTTTCTCACATCAAACCAGTGGCTTCATTGCATTTTCCTTGTCCTAGTACTGTCACTCATTTCTAGTTCTCAATCGCAAGGTATAGGTACAGTTAATTAATTATACTTTGTGTTGAACCTAACAGTTTCTAACAAGTGATATCTTATAAGCAAATTAAAATATACATGTGAATAAATATACTGTCACATAAAAATGTAATAAATAGAATTTCATTGATGAGTGACTATTACAGGTATGTGAAGAATAAAGTGAAACTGCTTGCTTGCTTGTAATTCTAACTAAAATTCATGTGAAGCATTTTAAAGGGCAAGCTGTATGGTAATAATTTATTGTGACTTTGCTATAGAAACTAAAAGAAAAAGAATCTGCATTGCGGTCGGCAGAGCAAAACGTCCTGTCAAGAGACAAAGTAATCAATGAACTGAGGCTTCGATTGCCTGCCACAGCGGATCGAGAGAAACTTCTAGCTGAGCTAGACAGAAAAGAGCTGGAACCCAAATCTCACCACACAATGAAAATCGCCCATCAAACCATTGCTAACATGCAGGCCAGGTTAAATCAAAAGGAAGAAGTACTAAAGAAATACCAGCATCTTCTGGAAAAGGCCAGAGAGGTATTTTGTCGTTCTGTTTTTTTTTTTTTTTGTTTGTTTGTTTTGTTTTGTTTTTCTCTTAAAGTGGTAGTTTGTTTTTGCTTTCAGATGATTCTATTTAGGAATTGTTGTTTTCACATGATTGGGTTACAGATGTGTTAGTAGAACTGACAGTTTGTATACATGTATCTCCCTCCTATGGGCTGAGGTAAACAAGATTACTGTTACACTAAATGAAGCTGGATGGTTTAAGGAACTATCAGGTGCATTCATGACTAAAAATTGAAACAAGAAGGTAAATCATGTTGCCAGAGGGGTGATCTGTGGAGACCTAATTTTCTAGAACAGTAGGAGAGAGACTTAGTATTTTAAAATGTTTCCAGAAACAAATTAAGGCTGGTGGATGCCTGTTATTTTAATGTTAAGAATAAATTGTAATGTAAGACTTGGGTAGTCAACATGAGCACATGCTAGCAGACATGTAATAATGACCTAATATACATACATATGCATGAAGAGATTGTATCTTTTTTACTTGGAGGCTTTAGAAGATTAAAGAATAACTGAAATATTTTAGAATATGAATCTACTTCAGTTGTAATTTATAGTACAGCTCCCACTTCTTATGAACAGGAGCAAAGAGAAATTGTTAAGAAGCATGAGGAAGACCTCCAGGCTCTTCATCACAAACTAGAACTACAGGCTGATAGCTCACTCAATAAATTCAAGCAGACAGCCCAGGTAAGGTTCTGAGAACTTTGCTCTATTCTCCATTGAGATTTGAGATAGCTTAATTTAAAATTTACCTCTTCATATCTCACAGTAGAACATAGCCCACCTGAGTGCTGACAAAATAATCTCATGACAACATCTCTGATCATAAAAACATGATCATTTTTCTTAAACTCAAATCTAGTCCTCAGTAATTGTCACTGCTTGTAGAATCATATTTATATCCCTTTACCACGAATTCAAAGCCTCTGTTATGAGTCCACTCTCTGTTTTCAGATTCCATCCATAAATGTATTTGTATTTATTGTTCAACTTTTGGATTAACCTACTTGCCCCCTTTTGGTCATTCTGTCCTTTATGTGTGAAAAGTGGCCCTTCTCTTAACCCGTAAGATAACATGCGGCTCCTCAAGGCTCCCCTCATCACTTCATCATCACAGCCCTCCCTCTGTACTTCCATACTGGCTAAATTTTGGTATACAGAATACAGCCTACGTCCTTTCTTCCCCTACCCTTCTTTTCCTCTTAAAGTCATGGTCTCAGATTACAGCTATTCTCTACTACTAATTCATTCATATTTCGTAGGACTTAATAAAACAGTCTCCTGTCCCAGTGCCTACCAACAAGCATTTCATTCGTCTGGCCGAGATGGAGCAGGCAGTGGCAGAACAAGATGACTCTCTGGCCTCACTTCTGACCACACTGAAGAAAGTATCCAGAGATTTGGAAAGACAAAAAGAAATCACTGAGTTAAAAGTCAGAGAATTTGAAAGTATCAAGTTACGGTAAATCTTAGAAATCATTTATAGCAGAGCAAATGGTAATTAAGCCCTGAAGAAGCCTGTGTGAACACTGTCAAAAGACCATGGTATCTATCGTCCCATTCTGTCCGCCTGCGATCCATTGCTTCCCATTAGGAATAAGGCCCCAGGAAAACTCAGTAACGAGACTGATGTGGGAAAAAGCAGTTTGTAAATAGTCGGCCTTACTCAAAAGCCGACTTTTCTTCTCTAGAATCTTATTTGTAATCACTCCCACTGAGCACTTCATCCTCTGTAAGTGAAAACGGCAGTGTTTACCTTGTCTTCTTCAGAGTGGGTAGATGAAGTCCCTATCATACCATGTTCAAAAGTAACCTGAAAGTGATAAATTCACATGTAAGCTGCTTTTGTTTAAATGCCTAAGGGTATGTGATAAAACAGAGGCTCAAGAAATGTTTGTTAAAGAAAACTACAAAAAAACTACAATGTTAGTGTCCATAACATTCTGTATATTAAATATTGTAATTTAGCTGTGCAGTGGTTGCACATGCCTTTAATCCCAGCACTCGGGAAGCAGGGGTAGGTGGATCTCTGTGAGTTCAAGGCCAGCCTGGTCTACAGAGTGAGTTCCAGGATAATTAGCTAGGGCTGTTACATGGAGAAAACCTGACTCAAAAGACAAACAACAACAAAAACTATTGTAATCATTAATGAGCCAGTTTTTAGAAATAGACCTTTAAACCTAAAATTGGCATAAGGTTGTTCCGTTTCTAATCATAGAACTGGACCTCAGTTTATCTGATGAAAGTGAGAATGTTGGCCCACTAGGATTCTGTTCCTTTTCTGATGGCCTGTTAGAACTTTGACTGTTTACTCTTAGACCCAAGATACCTCTCAAAGCTACCACGTTTGTGAATATATGAGTAGTAGCCACTTGAAAGTTTTTCTCTGGAAAATAATATATTTTGTGTTGCCTTTGTCTCGGTTTGTCTCATTCTATTGAATATACAGGAGGATTTTTTTTGTATATTAATTAATCTCATGCCATGTACTAGATTATAAAGTTGCATTTTTTATGATCTTCTTTCATTTCTCTGTTGAGACATGTCTCAGTCTAACCCAGTCTGGCCTCGAACTCACCGGATAGTGTAAGCTACCCTCAAGTTTGTCATAGTCTTCTGTTTCAGCTGCCTCGGTGCAGAGATCATAGGCATAAACCACCATGTTGTACTGAAATTACTTAGACTTTTGCATCTAATTCCTGAATACAAAAAAAAAAATGTAATTTCTGAAAACCTTGCATGTAGTCTTTTACTATATAAAGTACTTGTAGTCATTGGACTTATACCTTTATAAGTTGCTTTGTTTTTTGTTTTTTGTTTTTCTTTAAATCAAAATAAAATGCCCAGTCTGGCAAATACATGTGCTTGTCTCTCTCAGGCTCCAGGAAAACCATTCAGGGGAGGTAAAGAAAGTAAAGGCAGAAGTGGAGGACTTAAGGCATGCTCTCGTCCACGCACAGAAGGAGTCTCAGAGTTTGAAGTCTGAGCTCCAGGCTCAGAAAGAAGCCAACTCAAGAGCTCCGACGACCACAATGAGGAATCTGGTGGACAGGCTAAAGAGCCAACTGGCCCTGAAAGAGAAGCAGCAAAAGGTGAGTGGCAGACGGCCACTCAAGAGAAAAGACGGCCTAGAGAAGGCCTGGCATCTGCCCAGGACAGGCCAGCTCTGTCTGACACCCGTTGTAAAGGACAGTTCTTTCCCGGCAGGGCTCTGCAGTGGGAGTGCTATTTTAAAATGCAGATGAAGAACCGTTTTTTGTTTTTTGTTTTTTTTTTTTTTTTTTTTTTAATGTATGGTGATTTGTTGAGCATCTGTAAGGAAGGAAATCTTAATTTCATTATTTTCTCATTTCCCATTGGATTTCCATGTAGCTGAAACAGTTTTGAACAATTTAGGGGATTTCGGAGTGATACAGTGGTAAGGGGAAGAAGGGTTTAAGAAGGTGGCCACAATGGTGTTGAGGGCAGATTTAATCCCAGGTAGTAGTTTTGCTGTTTTTTTTTTTTTTTTTTTTTTTTTATCTGATACTTGGTAAATGGTTTAGAAGATGCTACATTTTCCCACCTTAGTTCATGGATTTCATGGCAAATATTTTAAATGATGTCCTATAACATTACTCATCTGCCTACATTCAGTAAATTTCACATGAATGGATGCACAAAGTGAGTATTTTTCTAAGTGAAGGACTCATTGCTAATATATAACCTTGGGAATTTTCAAACATAACATGCTTTGTTTTATAATATGAATTGCTTGGTATAATGCTTAGTTCTGAAAATAACTGTCAGGGTTTTGAACTATTTGTGAAAAATTGAGTAAAATTACAAAGGAAATTCATTGTGAATTATATTTAATTAAATTCTTTTTGTTAAACACTTTCATTTCTTTGTTGAGATATGTCTTACTCTCACCAGGCTGGCCTAGAACTCACTAGATACAAGCTGTCCTCAAGCTCGCCATTATCATCTGTCTTAGCCACCTTGGTGCTGATGCGATCATAGGCATGGGCTACAGTGCCATACTTAAAACCACTTAGCATTTTGCATCTAATAGAAAAGTAATAGAAAGTAGTGCTGCCTATTTTGTATTTTATTTTGCTCATATACAATGTTAAATAAAAATGCTTGTGTATTGTAATTTTTAGGCACTTAGTCGAGCTCTGTTGGAACTCCGGGCAGAAATGACAGCAGCGGCTGAAGAACGTATTATTGCGGTAACTTCTCAAAGAGAGGCAAATCTCAATGTCCAACAAGTTATTGATCGACATACCAGAGAGCTAAAGGTGAGCATCAACATGGGGTTAATGTGGCCAGATGTGTGATCAGTTCAGAGAATGCTTTTTAATTGTTCTCTAATTAGACAAATAATGCACACAGTTTTAAACAGTACGTATATTTATGTTACTCATATGTTGACTATCATCTTGAGGATTCTGAAAGACAGGCCACTATGAGTTATGCTTACTAATAGAAATCATCTCATAAGCATTTTACTTAGAAAATTTAAAGCATTTTTAGTATACCTTAAGTATTCCCAGGAATCAGATCCAACATAGGCAAACACTCCATGACTGAGCTAAACTTCTAGCCCTCAGAACTCTTTTAAGGCTGCTTTGTTGGGATGATTTCAGATCTCACAAATACACCAGGTGTATATAACTTCTTCCATAACTGCCATTCCCCAACCAGTATGGCACAGTATAAGACATTTTCTCTGTAGAGCTGCCTGGCTCTGAAGCCTTTTCTTCCAAATAAATTTTTTTTCTTCCTTTTTCTGCCAAATTAATTTTAACAACATACTTCATTGTTTTCTTATCTGGTCATTATGCTTAGTGATTTAAACTTTTTCCTAAATATATATTTCATAAAAATTCTCAATATCTCTTTTTCCCTGAAAATTTTCTTTACAGAAAATTTCATATATATTGTGACAAAATGAAAAATCTAATATTTCTTTTAGTTTTATTTACTTTTCATTTTTTTCATATATGCCTTTTACTGCCAATAAATACTTCGGGAAGTAGATTTTTCAAAATTTTTAAAAATAGCTTATACTTTTCAATCTTGTGGTCATAGTTAATAGTTAAAAAAGTCTATTACTAAATAAATGTATTAAAAGAAGAGTCCTTTACTGGAATAGTTGTAATATTTTTCTATTCATATGAAATGCTGTTTCTGAATGTTTCATTTTTTCAAATCTTTCTCCAAGATATATTTTTCTTTTAAACACATTATAATAATACTAATTAATATTACTAATAATTTATTCAATAAAACACTCATGCCAGGTAGTGGTGGCCCACATAAACAAGGGGATCTCTGTGAGTTCGAGGCCAGCCTGGTCCACAGAGAGAGTTCCAGAACAAAAAATCCAACAAAACAAAGAAACAAACCCACTTACTTAGTTGAATAAGCCATTACAGAGCCAATAATAACGTTTCTACCGCTGTCTTTGCTCAGGGCACCTAAGAACTCCTGTTTGTAGTCATGGCTGTTCTCAGGCTGAACCCATGTTTTCTCATCACAAAGTGCTTGAAGTCAGAGGTGTATGTTATGCTAATCTTATGTTTTAGGATCTTTAAAGCATTGCTGTATATTTGGAAGTCACTGGGTTTTTATTATTTTACCGATAACGAAATATTTTTTAAAAAATAAGTTTTGTCTTGGCTACTTGTTGAAAATGATTGCTTGATGCTTGAATTTTTTTTTTTTTTTTTTTTTTTTTTGTTAGTAAGTTGTTTTATTTGACATGAAGGGGAAATTATCTGCAGTTTCTAGTTTTCCCTTCTGTGCTATATTTAAAAATTTATATTGGAATTACATTTCTAATGTTTATTAATAGTATAACTTCAGTTTCCTCTTGCTTTCTCATTAATACTCGAAGATTTGTGAATAACACCTTTATCTCTTATTAGTCACAAATTGAAGATTTAAATGAAAATCTTTTAAAATTGAAAGAAGCTCTTAAAACAAGTAAAAACAAAGAAAATTCTCTAGCTGATGACTTAAATGATTTAAATAATCAACTGCAAAAAAAGCAAAAAGCTTATAATAAAATCCTTAGAGAGAAAGATGGGATTGATCAAGAAAATGAAGAACTGAGAAGACAGATTAAAAGACTGTCCAGTGGACTACAGGTAATATTGCATTTAATTCAGATAATATGTTTGATCTGTATATACAAGGCATGATTCTTACTCATTTATTGTGTGTGCTAAAACTGCCTTTCAGTTTCTTATTTCATGAGATGTCTACTCTTTTTATTAATTTTTTTTCATTTTACATATTAACCCCAGTTCCTGCTCCCTCCCCTTCTCCTGCTCACTCCCCTTCCCATCTCCCATCTTCTCTTCACACTGGGTAAGGCCTTCCTTGGGGAGTCAACAAAGTCTGGTGTACCAAGTTGAAGCAGGACCAAGCCCCCCCTCCCCCTATCAAGTCTGAGCAAGGTATCCCATCATAGGGATTGGGCTCCAAAAAGCCAGTTTATACACCTGGAATTGATCCTGGTCCCACTGTGAGTCAATCCCCCAACAAAGTCCAAGTCACATAACTGTCACCCACATTCAGAACCCACATTCGGCAGGCTCCCCAGCTGTCAGTCCAAAGTCTGTGAGCTCCCACGAGCTTGGGTCAGCTGTCTCTGTGGTTTTCCCCATCATGCTCTTGACCTCCCTTGTTCATATGATCCCTCCTCCCTCTCTTTAACTGAACTCCAGGATCTCTCAGCCTAGTGACTGGCTGTTGGTCACTGCATCTTCCATCAGGTACTGGATGTAGGTTCTATGATGACAATTAGAGTAGTCACTGTTTGATTAAAGGGGAAGGTCCATTCGGATACCCTCTCCACTATTGTTAGGAGTCTTAACAGAAGTCATTCTTGTAGATTCCTGAGAATTTTTCTAGCACCAGATTTCTCCCCTAACACCATAATGGCTCCCTCTGTCAAGATATCTGTCATTGTTCTCTCTCTTCATCCCTTCCCCCAACTCATTCTTCATGATCTCTCGTTTCCCCCTTCCTCCACCCCCTTCCAGTTTACCTAGTAGATCTTAACTATTTTCTCTTCCTGGGGCCCTCCATGTGTGTCCCCCTTAGGGTCCTCCTTTTTGCCTCGCTTCTCTGGGGGCTGTGGATTGTAGCCTGGTTATCCTTTGCTTTACGCCTAATATCCACTTATGAGTGGGTACATAGCATGTTTGTCTTTCTGTCTGGGTTACCTCACTATGTTTGTTTGTTTTGTTTTTCTAGTTTCATCCATTTGCCTGCAAATTTCAAAGTGTCATTGTTTGTTTGTTTCTTTTTGGTTTTTCAAAATAGGGTTTCCCTATGCAGACCTGGCTGTTTGAAATTCACTTTGTAGACCAGGCTGTCCTTGAACTTGAAGATCCATCCACCTGCCTCTGCCTCTTATGTTCTGGGATTAAAGGCGTGTGTCGCCACCTCCCAACTCTTTGATTAGTTCCTTGAGTGACCTCTGCTATAGTTCTTGTCTACAGTGGTAGCTTCCTTATTATACTGATAATCAGAATCATGTAGAAAACATGATTAATATTAGGCTCCCCAAAATTTCTATAATTGAAATAGTTACTATGCCCTTTGATGTGTATTTGTCATGTAACATATCTTAATGTTTTCAGAACAAACCTCTGCTAGATAATAAGCAAAGTTTAATTGATGAACTTCAAAAGAAAGTTAAAAAACTTGAAAGCCAACTGGAAAGAAAGGTGGACGACATAGACATAAAACCTGTGAAGGAAAAGGTATGTGAAATGTCCTCATTAATAGTTTTAAACTAAATGAAACATGTTGATAGAGAATTTCCTCTAATAGTCTAAGGGCTTCAGGCACATTGTTTATGGCCCTAAATAAAGTCGACATGTCTAAGGCCGGTTTCTGACCTGTAGGCAGTTCACTCCACTTGAGGACACACCCGCAGTGCACCTTGGTGGCATTTCCCAATATTAGATATTATCTATCTCTTCACACACTTTGTAACCCATGAGTTTACCATTCCTCCCCATCCTCTCATCTCCTTGCTCAGTCCCGATGAAGGGTTCCATTTATGCTGCAGAATTATTTATGTACCTCATACTTCATTCTCCCACATAGTATTTATATTTCTGGAGGTCAGAGTATTGTTTGATCAGGGAAGATTTTGTAGTTTTAAAAGGATACATATTAGCTGATTTAAATAAATAAGGCTATAAACTAATTTGGAGGAAGCATATTGAAGGGTCTCTAGTATTGGATACTAGTCTATAGTATTGGAGGAGATTGTTTGAATTTGACTTCAAACCACAACTCCCGGCCTTTTTAGACAAGACATCCCATTTATAGTAAACATAATGTTTCATAATATTTCCTGTAGTATTCTAAATTAAATTTAAAGTCAATGTAAGCCTCTATAATTTTAATGTTGTAAATGTACTAAATGTAATTAGTAGAAGTATAAAAATAATTTATGAAAGAATGAACACGATAATACATTATTCATATGTCAACATGTATATGATCTACACTAGAAAAATAAGGTAACCATGTATTTGTACCTTATGCAATATCAATGTGAATTTTGAGCTCCAAATATACTCTGATGTATACCTTGTAAAATGTGTTCTAATGGCAGTGCATATTGCTGCTTGTAATTTGATTTCCAACATGATAAGTAGTTGTTGCTAGTATTGTCAGTAAAATAATATCTAGCCTTTATTTTTAAAAGGCAATTGTATTCTTAATAAATTCAATGCATAGGGAGAACATAAAAATACTTGGTGTTAATATGGTGAAATGGAATTAAATTCTTAGTTCATACAGTTGTGAGAACAGCTTTAACTATATAAGCATCCAGCAGGACTTGTTCAGAACACGGGACTATTGTGTATCACACAACTTTGTTTTGTACCTTTTATTGTAATACTAGCGACGTAACACTACCATCACTGTTACCAGATAGTGTGCTCCTGTAAGACCCGATATCCATCTTTTCCATTACTTAATAGCAATTATCACAAGTTAACTTACTCAGTATATTTATATCATTTGCTTGTGTATATTGGCACCACTCAAGTTTGTTCACAAATAAAAAGTGTCAGATTTGCAAGCGTCTACTCTTTTTTCTGGTTTACACATGCTTTCTGCTCTCCGTTTCTAGAGGAGAGGCAACACTAAATAAATACAGGTGGGATGGTAACATACTGTTCATATAGACCAGAGTGAGTTACAGTATTGGGAAGTTGTCATGCTATAACAGGACTGCAGTGGTCAGTCACACAGAATTATTTTTTAGAAGCTTAAGTAAATCATGTATCTTTCACTTAATTTCTGAAGGATATTGGCATTAGTCAGAATCTTCTCTGAGACTTATCTGTTGAGGAATGCATAAAGCCTACTTAAATTGAAGGTCTTTTTTCCTAATAGTGTGCCATACCTAAAGATTCTAGAACTTATTTAACAGAATGAACTATTTAGTATTATCTTGGAAGTATAGCTTAAAATGTGGATCGGTATTTGAAATGAGATTACAAATATTGCTGATAGTTTTAGAATCCCTCTGTTACTGTTTACAGAGTGCTAGAGAAGAATTAATTAGGTGGGAAGAAGGGAAAAAGTGGCAAACCAAAGTAGAGGGAATGCGGAGCAAATTAAAAGAGAAAGAAGCGGAAGTCCACAGTCTGACGAAGCAACTGAATACTTTAAAGGAGCTTTTTGCCAAGTGAGTTAAATTTCATTATAAAACTAATACTATGTAAAGTTTTATCCTGAAATCATGTAGTTTATTTTACTTGATATGTGAAAAATTTGCTAGTTTATTTATGGTTCATATTGTATTGTGTTTGAAACATGGCATGATGTAACTTTAATTATGAATGGAATATCCGTGACTCTCAAATAAATTCGTACCAAGTACACTTACTGTATATGGGCATGACAACGACTGAACTGAGATTTAACAAACCAAACAGGAATTGTAAAAGATAGGTTTTTATCATTCCTTTTTAAACCCTACAGAGCTGATAAAGAGAAACTTACATTGCAGAAGAAACTGAAAACAACCGGCATGACTGTGGATCAGGTGTTAGGGGTGCGAGCTTTGGAGTCAGAGAAAGAGTTGGAAGAGTTAAAAAAGCGGAATCTGGACTTAGAAAATGACATACTATACATGAGGTAATCTGCTGCGTGGAATTAGTGTCTGAGTTGATAGAGAATGGCTGATTTGTCCACCTGGAAATAGATGTTGCTTAACCTATGGATTTTATTGGTTGTCTTTTTCATGCATATGCAGCTCATGAGTGAGCCTAGGTCATAAGGGACTCCTTGTCATTCCTACCTGGAACTTCCCATGCCAATTTTGTGATGCTTCCATCGTATCTCAACGTGGTTATTTGGATAGGACTGGGCTTTAGTTCACTTTGATGTTGAGTCCTTTAGCCACTGAACATGTGTACCTAAGCGGGCAAGAGGCAGGCAGAAAGAAGAAGTAAAGGGAATTATGCCATCCTCCAAAGTCGAGCAGTCTGAACATCTGAATTGTATTAATCAAATGCATATATTAAAGAGAGGATGGATGCGATATAGATAAATTCTTAGTAAAGATATAGAGATAAGAGTGGATTTTATTGTCTTTCCATTAAGTGTTTATTTGTTAAATGGAGAGAAATCCTAGACAATAAGGTTTCATAGATTTGTTTGTGCCAAAGTAAGGTGGGTCTTGTAGACAGGCAGTTAAGTTTTGGACTTGCTATCACAACATTTACTGAAAACAGTAGAACCTTGGGTCCTGAAGCTGTTTGGGAATGAAATAGATGGTATGCAATTACTATGTAATGTTTTTAAAAGAGTGGGCATTTTAGCTATTCTACATAGTTCTATAAATAAATAAAGGCACTTTAAAGGTGTTAATGTGTTCCTATCAGGATACACTTTCGCTGATGGTATAAAGAAGTCTTTGGTGGATCCCTCATAGGAAAGAATTATTTTTAATATAAATTATGCCCTAATTTATTTGTCAACTTTGGAAATTTAAAATTTTTAAGTTATAGTGTTGATCACATATATATTTTTTCTTTTCTGTATTACAATATAATACATTTGAGAACAAGTACGGTTTGTATAATAGTCTGATTGCTGTTCATAGGACCCACCAAGCTCTTCCAAGAGATTCTGTTGTGGAAGACTTACATTTACAAAATAGATACCTTCAAGAGAAACTTCGTACTTTAGAAAAACAACTTTCAAAGGATGCCTATTCCCAGTCTTTGGTAAATATACATCTTTCCTTTTTTCCCCTCAGTGTTAAAGGCATAAAGGATAATACAATTTTTCCATTATCTGGACAAAAACATTACATCCTCCTAATTGATATTGACACAGCACTTATATTAAATCCTATCTGATATGGCGGTGGCTAACTTTAAATACTTAACACTTTGTCTAAACCTTCATTGCAAAGATTCCTAGCACTTCCAGCTCAAGTTAGGGATGCTGCTGTGCATCATATTTTGCTACATCCTTGTTTCCTCTCTGATGTGGTTCATCTGGTTTCCATCATTGGTGTTAATGTTCACAGATATAGAAACAATGTTTTTCATAAAAATTCAACAGCAAAAAAATACCAGCAAAACTAAGATATGAACAGACAAAATGCCACATAAAACTACTCTCAGAACCAAAACAGAAACAACAAATGTCACTGATTTACAACACTGGCTATCTACAAATACTCTGCGGTATTATAGAAATGTTATAGATCCCACAGAATTAAGTATGAAACAATACCAAATAGTAAGTCAAAAAAAATTATCTCAGCTTTATGGATTTCTTTAACTTGATATATGAAAATACATCAGTTCCTAAAAGTAAGAAAATTAATAATTTTGTGAAAATGAAAATATGAAACATAAAAAGGAGAACAAGAATAGGGCGAGTAAGGATGGGAAAATAAAAGGACATGTAGACAAAAATGTCAGTCATGTAACATTGGTCCAGGTGGACCTACAGAGGATGACGATACTGCCACCATGCTGATCAGTACACAATCTACCAGAGATAGACAAACTTCAGGAAGAGAAAATGGTTTAGAAACAGAATCAAAGATTTCCATGTTTAATGGAGACCTTAAAATCATCCAAAGTGCGAACATTGTCAGCTTTGTGAATGACACGAATTGTTTTGTCGTTGACCAATGGTAGGAGAGCCTGAATACATGCTTATGCCCATCACCAAAGACGCTATCTTTTTTCTTGCCATTGCATTTATGCATATATATCCTGTGAATAAAAAAATTGGAACAGTGCTGCCTTCCTGCCAATGTTCTGTTAACTGTCTCATGAGATTCCTAGGTCTATCCAGAATGCTTTTGCCTCCTTTTTTATTTTTTAATATTTGGTCTGAGAAAATGTATGTTTATTTCAAATAAATATGTATCAGAAGTACAGAATAATGTTAATAATTTGAAGTATATTATAAAGGAAGGTATAAAGGTATTATTTTAAGCAAAATACCTGGGAGCTACTGTCTTGAAGTATATTATAAAGGAAGGTATAAAGGTATTATTTTAAGCAAAATACCTGGATGCTACTGTCTTCATAGCCCATTGTGTGGAGTAATGGTGAGAAACAGCCCAAAACACGATGATGACCTCCACGCATTTCACACTTCGCACACAACAGTCCTCAAATGTAGATGAGAGTCTAATTTTCTAGCCTACTTAGGATCATTTTCGAGATTCTTCTTTCAAAAATCATAAAATTTAGTAAAAAATAAGCATAACAACCCAGGATATCTTCATATGGGGAAAAAAATTAAATTCGGTGTTTAGTGTATTTCAGAAGACAAAACTGATAACTTTATTTCAAGAAATGAATGAGTATCTTCTGGAGAAAGAAATTGCAGTGGTTATAGACATATGCATTTTTAAGCCATACTTGACTTTGCTTTCTGTTTTAATTTTTAAAAATCACCTTTTCTGGAGGCTTTGTAAACCATCTTACTTGGTTTTGGTTGTATGTAAAATATGCTATTTTCCCCCCAACATTCCTTTTTAAAAATTCATTTTTGGCAATGTTTCCTGGCGTATGTCTCTGTGGCTTTTGTTAAATGTTGAATATACTCTAAATTTCATTTTCCAGACTTCAGAAATAGAGTCAGATGATCATTGTCAAAAAGAAGGAGAACTTCAAAGGGAAAACTTGAAGCTGTCATCTGAAAATATTGAGCTGAAATTTCAACTTGAACAAGCAAATAAAGATTTGCCAAGACTAAAGGTAAATTTAATTTCATTATGATGCCTAAGTTCACCACACACTTAAATTTACTTATGTCATTTTCTGATATGAATATTCAGATATTATTCAGAATATTCAGATATAAGATATCTTTGTGATGTTATGTTATATACATTTCCTCATTTAAGAGGCATTTGAGTCCCTACTTATAGCAGACATGCATTTAGTTAGCAGTCATTAAAAATGCAAGCATCAATAAAACGTCTTCTGATGAGGAAGATGCCAATCAACAAACAAACAAATTAGTGTGTAAAGAGCTGATGTGAGGGATCACTAAGGGAAATAGGGATCATGATTAGTAGAGAGGGGTTAGATAACGAGAGAGCTTGCATAGCAGGGCTGGTGGAGAAGTGAGGAACTGGGTCATACAGACACTAAGAATTCTACACGATAGAAGTTGTACTGATAATACGGAGCCCAGACAAATTGTGTATAAATGTTTGTTTTCATTTAATTGGACTGTTATATAAAATTAAATAAAATTAAAAAAAAAAAGAGAATTAACTGGAAAAAAAAGAAAAAAAAAAGAAGCCCAGACAATAGAAGTGTCAAGTTCATGTGATCCAAGGTAAGAAATATAAGAAATTTCTTATATCTCATTAATAATTGTAATAACTTAAATGTAATTGTTTCTTAGAAGTGTTACTTCTAAATTAGTGCTAATGTTAATCTCTGGTTTCCTACATTTTCCCCTATTATGGTGATAGCTTTTTTCTTGGCTAGCAAACTGACTTATTTTCTAATCAAGAACATTAGCATTCTGTCATTCCCAATAGCAGTGATGCTATTACACTTCATGCTTCTCGTTCTGATTTATACTCTGAGAAGAGCAGTGGGGTGGCCTCAGTCCTTTTCCTGGGGAAGTATCTGTGTGTGTGCATTATGGGACAACAACTCAGAGTTTTTAAATGATTATATGCTGTCTAGTATTTAATTTATTGAACATGTACTCACATCACAGTCCCTCAAGGGAGATCAGGGCAGGAACCTGGAAGCAGCAGCTGAGGCCAAGGAGGAGAGCTGCTTCCTGCTTGCTCCTTAGAGCTTTCTCAGCCTGCTTTCTTGTAACCCTCCAGGACCACCTGCCAAGACTGACATCACCCACAGTGAGCTGGAGTCTTCCACACCCATCTTTAATCAAGAAAACACACCACAGGCCTGTAGCCTTCCTGGTGGCATTTTCTCAGTTGGGGTTCCTTCCGCTCACGTGACTCCAGCTTGTGACCAGCTGGCAAAAACTAGCCAGTACATGTCTTACATCAAAAGTTCTTTTGAGGCACAACTGTTGAGTTTGGTCCTATAGTTGAGGTTTTTTTTTTTTTTTTTTTTTTTTTTTTTTTAATTCAGATAATTTTCTTCCTCTTTTTTTCAAGGGCTATTGTATTGTCATGACAAATTGCTGTTGTTTTCTTTTATCTTTTAGAATCAAGTAAGAGATTTGAAGGAAATGTGTGAATTTCTTAAGAAAGGAAAAATGGAAGTTGAACGGAAACTTGGTCAGGTCAGAGGGGTAAGTTTCCGTTTTTAGGAAGCCAGAGCCAAGGGTTTAAGCTGCTGTTGCTCTTGTAGAGTGGTAAACACTGAAGCACTCGTGATACAAAAGTTCATTTGGGTAATAATATTAGGACACACATGATGCATTCTGTGTGAATACTGAGAATATTAATTGACAGTCAACATTTGTTTTAAAGTGAACATGTGTAATCTTGTATGTACAATAAATATGTATGTAATTTTGTCATCTTTAAGGAGTATAAAAATTATAAAGAAAGAATATTTGACATTTTAAAAGTATATATTAAAGTTTTATATAAATGTTTTAGGATTTTTCTTTGCATATCATGAATGCCAACTAAAATTTTAGTACTTTTATTAATTCTTAGAAAATTTGGTACAATTTATTTGGATCATATTAACCTCCAACTCCTTTCCTTTACCTTCTCCCAGCCCACCCCTCTTTTCTCTGACCCTCCAACTTTGTATCCTTCTTTTTTTAAGTTAATAACCCACAGACTCCAATTTATGCTGTCCATATACTTCTAGGTGTGTGGTCATCCAATAAAGCATGGTCAACCTACCCAGAGCCATACCTTTAATGCAAAACAGACTCTCCCTTTGTAGAACTCATCAGTTATTTATAGCTCCTAAGTTTAGGGGTGCAGGTTTACTAACCTCTTCCCTACCCATGCTAGAATGTCAGTTGCCTTTATCTGCTGGTTTTGCATAGGCAACCACAGCTGTTGTGAGTTCATGACTGTAGCAGGCCTGTCCTGCCTAGAACCCAGTTCAGCGTATCCATTTACTCAGCTGTTGAAAATTAACTAAATAGTGAAATACCTTTGTCAATGTCTTCATTAGGTCATTTATTAACAAATTAAATTTTTATGTTAACAGAAATTGAATTTCTGTTAATATATGACCTATTAGAGAAAATCACCACTATAATGATTACTTATGAGCTACTTAAACTCATCATTTCACTTTTGTCATTTTATTCTGTGAAAAGACACTTTTTATGTGCCAGGTTAGTGGTTCTCATCCTTCCTGATGCTGTGACCCTTTAATACAGTTCCTCATGCTGTGGTGACCACAACTATAAAATTATTTTTGTTGCTGCTTCATGATTGCAATTTTGCAACTTTTATTTATTGTAATGTAAATATCTATGTTTTGTGATGGTCATTGGAAGCCCTGGTCAAAGTTCAACCCCCAAAAGTTATGACCCATAGGTTGAGAACCACCGTACTAGGAAGAACGCTAGCCAAAAGCTATTTACTTACTTGGATCACACATCAGATAGCATGCTTAAGCTGTTACTAACTATATGATTTAAGAAGTGGGATTTAAGTGATTGAAGGAAGATTTAAATATATTTAAGCCCTGGTTTTCTTTTATATGGAGTGAGTTTATAATTCCTATATCACTTATTTTAGAAAGCACTGAATTAGCACAATCTTTAGAATCAGAGATAAGTTGTTTTTATTCTTTGCTCTTTGGGGGCCTGCCAGTCATCTCCCAAATAAATACATGGAGATTTATTATTAATTATGAATGCCTGGCCTTAGCTTGACTTGTTTCTACCCATCTTTTCTTAAATTATCCTGTCTACTTTTTGCCTCTGGGCTTTTATATTTTTCTAATTTTGTATATCTTTTCTTTCCTTACTCTGTGGCTGGCTGTGTTGCTGGATGGCTGGGCCCTGTCATTCTACTCTCTCTTCTCCATCCTCTTCATGTATTTCTCCTTCTACTTATTCTCTGCCTGCCAGCCTTGCCTATTTCTCTCTTCTGTCTAGCTATTGACCACTCAGCTCTTAATTGGACCAATAAAGTGTTTTAGACAGGCAAAGTAACACAGCTTCACAGAGATTTTCTAGGTAAACTGGGGGTAGGAGGGTGGTAAACTCGATGAGAACATGAGGAAACAGGAAGGTTTTAGTTGGGGGAGGAATAGGGTTGGAGAGCAAGGAAAGAGATATCTCAATAGAGGGAGTCATTGTGGAGTTAGGAGAAACCTGATTCTAGGGAAATTCCCAGGAATCCATAGGATGACCCCAGCTACAACCCCTAGCATTAGTGGAGAGGATTCCTGAGCTGGCTTTCCCCTGTAATCAGATTGGTGACTACAGTAACTGTCATCATAGAACCTTCATCAAGTAACTGATAGAAGCAAAGGCAGAGATCCATAGCCAAGCACCGGGCTGAGCTAGCTACAGGAGTCCAGTCAAGGAGGGGAAGAGAAGGAATATATGAGCAAGGGGTGTCAAGATCACGACAGGGGAAACTCATACAGACAGTTGACCTGAACTGGGAGCTCATGGATTCTAGACCAACAGCTGGAGAGTTTGCAGGGGACCAAACCAGGCCTTGTGTATGTGGAGAACAGTTTTGTAGCCTGGTCTGTGTGTGGGACCCCTGGCAGTGGGACCAGCATCTACCCCCTAGTGCATGAACTGGCTTTTTGAAGGCCATTCCATATGGTGGGATGCCTTGCTCAGCCCTGATTTGGGGGTGGGGGAGCTTGGTTCTGCCTCAACTGAATGTGACAGGTTGTTGACTCCCCATGGGAGGCCTTATCCTTTCTAAAGAGTAAATGGGGGTGGGTGGGGGAAGGACAGGGGGAGAAGAGGGAGGGGAGGGAGGGGAAACTATGGTTGGTATGTAAAATGAATAAAAAAATAAAATAAGAAAAATGTAACATGAAAGGATGTAACACATCTTTGCATCATTAAACAAATATTTATAGCATTAAACAAATATTCTACAATTAAAGATATAACACAAATTTAACTAATATTCCACAACACATTAATAGATCTTTTTGACATTAGTATATTATAGTCTATAAGATACAAAGTTTGAAAAATTTGTATATTCTCTTATAGTCCGGTAGAAGTGGAAAGACAATCCCAGAGCTAGAAAAAACTATTGGGTTAATGAAGAAAGTAGTTGAAAAAGTCCAAAGAGAAAATGAACAATTGAAAAAAGTATCAGGAATACTCACTAGTGAGAAAATGGCAAATATTGAAGAAGAAAATGAAAAATTAAAGGTAATTTTTATTTGATTTTATATGAATGTTTTACTATTTTAGTTTACATTGTTTTTTAAGGGAAATGTTAAATATACAGTACACCAAATGTCATTAATGAATGCAGTTGTATTTTGAAGTCAGAACAGATTTATCGGCAAGAAATCTAAAGCTAGCTAGAGTAGCCCCCTTTAGTCTTCTTTACTATTTCTGGACCAATTGTTCTTTTCTGGTGGTAGAGTAATTATGTGTATTCATTTAGATTTGTAAAGAGGGGGACTCTGTGCGGTTCCTTGTATTTCCTTTACATCTTAACCTCATTTTAATGTACAGGCAAGGCTGGATAGGAACATTGTTATAGGCAAGTTCATTTGTGAAAAGGCTTTAATTGTAATCACATCAAGTACAATATCTAAAACTACTTACCTTGAATTAAGTTTTAGGAGTTTAAGTAACAATCTTTATTTTTTACACTTAAAAGAATTAAAATATAATTGCTTCTTGTTTCCCTACCCATTTCCTTCCCCGTCACTTCCCATTCTCCCTCCATTACTTTTCTCAAATTCATGGCCTCTTTTTTCTTATTGTTACATATAATGTGAATAAATCATAAATAAACTTGCAAAGTCCATTTAATGTTGCTTGTATGATTTCATCTAAATATTCATTTTATTGATTTTTGTTTCATTATATGTTGCTTTATCAATTACCAGACTGAATTAGAAAAGCTTAAAGCTCACTTTGGACGTCAGTTGAGTATACAATATGAATCCAAGAACAGAGGCACAGAGAGAATTATTGCTGAAAATGAACGGCTTCGGAAAGAACTTAAGAAAGTAAGACACTAATGATAGGTTACATTTATTTTCATTAAGTGACATACCTTGGCAAAATTAAAATTGATAGGTCCGTGATGCAATGTCTGTTCATAGTGCATCTTAAGAATTATAGAACTGCTACATTTATATGACAATTTAGAGCTAAGGTGGTTGTCAGGAAGAAACTGCTCAGTCTAGTTTCTGTTCCTAGTTCTGTTACTTATTGTTCCCAGCTGAATAATGTCTCTTTGTTCCTCATATATGGAGTTGGGAGTAGTAAATATACCTATATTTTAGCTGGGCATGGCATACGGCATTGAATGCCTATTTATTCCCATACTTAGGCAGTACAAGAAAGAGAGTCCAGCCTGGACTACATTGGGAACTCAGCTCAAAAGAAACATACACATAACACAGATGTCACAGGGCTGTTGAGAAGTTTAAATGAGTGTATATATGTGTGTGTGTGTGTGTGTGTGTGTGTGTGTGTGTGTGTGTGTGTGTTTGTGTGTGTGTGTGTATCTTAGAGCAATGTCCAACTTATAGAGCAAAGAACATAACTGTTTTATTAAGAATCCTTTCCATTTAAATGCTTTTTATCTTTTTTATTTTAAAATAATCTTTTCTCATTTTATGTACCAATCCAAGTTCCCGTTCCTTCCCTTCCTCCTGCTCTTCCCCCTTCCCCCCACCCCAATCTACTCCTCAAACAGGGTAAGGCTTCCCATGGGGAGTCACTTTGAGGCAGGACCAAGGCCCTCCCTCCTAGATCTAGGTTGAGCAAGGTATCCCTACAAAGAAAATGGGCTCCAAAAAGCCAGCAAGCAGTATATCTAGGTTGAGCAAGGTATCCCTACAAAGAAAATGGGCTCCAAAAAGCCAGCAAGCAGTAGGAATAAATCCTGGTCCCACTGCCAGTGGCCCAGGGACTGCCCAAGCTACACAACCATCACAAATATATCCCTTACTCCTGACAAATGGGTATTATTTTCAACAGACATTATCTAGTGAATGAGTTGGGATTATAATCCTAAAGACTTTTAAAACAGTAACTCATTGTATTGTAAAGCCAGAGCCGTGCCATCTTGAATCTTCATGTTCATTAGTGGAAATAACCTGTCACTTACACACTGTTTGTGTTAATAGCCAGGACTCTTTAAGTCAATAGAGTCAAAACAAGCATCTTTTAAGGTGTAGCAAGGTTAACTATCTCATTGTTCTGAACATTTTCCTGAGAAACAAATGACAAATTTAAAGTATCTACTAGATTCCTTAGGTAATATGTACTTGTAAATACATTTCACTGCCTTCATTTACTTGATCTTTTGTATTAAGTACTATGACTATATTGCTATTTTACAGGAATAAGAACATTTTTACAGCCCTAAAACAATATAGCTGCAGCTAATTTTATATTTCCCAGCTTATAGTGACAAATTTAAATACCCAATATCTATGAGAACAGTTCTGTTTCTTTATAATGTACTAATAAGCCTTCACTGATAGGAAATGGAAGCTTCAGAGAATCTGAGGATAGCTAAGAACAACTTAGAGCTGGTCAATGACAAGATGGCGCTTCAACTAGAAGAGACTGCAAAGAAATTGCAGTTTGCAGAAAGTAGAGGGCCACAGCTGGAAGGTGCAGACAGCGAGAGCTGGAAGTCAATTGTGGTTACAAGGTAGGATCAGAGAGTTTCAAACTTGTTCGAAGTGTAATCAACTGTAACTCTAGCATCATTGGCTTAAAAAAATATGCTCAATAACCCAGTTATTTCCTGATGAACAGTTTGGTTGTTTATCCGTGCCTCTTCATTCTGTCTTAGAATGACCAAAACTGTTTCTTCCTTAAGTGTTTAGCTAGCTTTATTGGCAGGCTACAGAACAAAGCACAGCTGAAATGGGGCTAATTTCCTGGAGCTAGGTGTGCATCATGAAGCTGCTGTCAGCCATGGCGTAGGGATGCTGCCCAGCCTTCTCCTGGACAATGCGTTTCTGCAGCTGTAGCTTCAGCTTCTTGATTTTGTTCATTTATTTCTACCACAAATATTACTACACACCTGGGCTGTTTTATCCCAATCTGTGCTGCTCTGGATCTGGAATGAGCTGCATTGCTTTAAGTTAGTTGTGTAATGGTCAATTTTCTTTACAGAGAGCTCAACAGATGAACATAGCAGTATTGTTAGTGTCTTACTGGCCTCCACTTTCTTGTCATTTTGTCCCTTCCTGGGAACACTTCTATCAGGATACTGAATGTATGCCTATGGTACTAACTGTTCTGAAAGCCAACTCTATTTTACCGTATCTGCCCAGTTACTTGCATTTATACATTCCCTGTGATGTTCTCAGAGGCCACATGTGCCCTATCTGTAATGACTTGACAGGAAACATGACACACATCGTCACTCCAACTAAAAAGAGAGCTGAAGCAATGTGAGATATCTTGTTCTCTAGGGGGCCTTATATTGCATGTACTTCTGTCAGCCAATTTTAAGGAAAACAGAAAAGGCTAAGTAGGGCATATTGGAGAGCACTCAGATAGATGGCTGTAATCCTGGAGAAGAGTGCTTTTTCCTACCCTAGACTACTAAAGTAGTCAGAGTTCAGAGTTCCCTTACAGTTCTCACTTTCCTGTCTGCAGACTGGGAACAAGAGCTCTGTGTGAATGTGAACACCCAAAAGTGTGATGGTGTGAAGGGGAGAAAAGCCCCATTGTCTTGGACCCTGTGGCCTTGGGCCAGTAGCTGTCAGTTGACTTTTAAGAGCCACTATTTTCTTATGTTGTCACATATGCTGAGTTGCTCTGAGATTTACTTCTTCCACTAATAGTCACTCAGCATCTGGTCCTGTCACATTGTGTACGTCAGGTTATTTCTAAAAAGCCCAACTCACTTAGGTGCCTTACAGAAACAGCCTCTGTAAGGAAAGTCCGGCTTTTCACGGTGACATTTCATAAATTATATCCCTTCTGTGGCTCAAGATGTTTTTAACTGTGGAGATAATAGACCCTACCCTTATTTCTCTATGGCGCTATGAGGTAACAAAAATGCTTGCTTTATTGGCATAACAAATGATTTACAGTGTTAAGACAGTTGTGGGTTGATGGCACTATTTAACCATAATTGAAGGTGATTTTACATGTAAAACATTTGTGAGTTCCTATTCTGAGAACTGCATGTAGGGAAATCTTCAGTAAACCTAAGTCCAACTTGTTTTTGAAATGCTGTTTATCCAAGCTGAGCTCAAATTCTATCTTGGTCTTCCAAGGGCTGAGTGTTCCAGTACTGAATGATGCTAGGAGGAACCGGGGACTTGTACGGGCTATTTAGATGGGGCAGTCTGATCAAGAAGGTCTTTATTCTTGGGTGGTTTTCATAGTCATTCACTGTTCTATTGCTGTGAAAAGATGCCATGACCAAGACACTTCTTATAAAACAGCATTTTACTGGGGGCTCACTTACAGTTTCAGAGGTTTAGTAGTCTATTATAATCATGGCAGGAGCATGATGGCACACAGGCAGCCATGTGTAGGGCCAGAGCAGTGTATGCTGCCATATGCTGCATTATATGCTGATCTGTAGGCAGCAGGCAGAGCAAACACTGGGCCTGGTGAGGGGCTTTTGATACCTCAAAGTCCATCCCCAGTAACATACTTCCTCCAACAAGGCCATGGCTCCTAATCCTTTCTTAGTTCTACTCTCTGGTGACTAAGCATTCAAATATATAAACTTACTTGGGGGGGGGGGGCGTGGAAGGTCATTTTCATTCAGACCACCATAGTAATGGCTTTTGAACAGAGAAGGCTTTTGAACAGAGAAATGGATGAAGGAGGAATGAACTTCAGTTACCATTGACCTTTGATATGTCTTTCGTAGTTAGGATCTGCCAAGTAAGCGTACCCTTCTAATCTGTTCGTAAGGTCTGTCCAAAATTACTTGACAGGACTTAGGTAATCATAACTGCCCTTCCTTGTGTTGTCCTTGTCAGATAATTTTTCTGAACCAGTACCATCCTTTGTTAATTTATCTATAAGACATGATACATTATTTTCCTCTGGAAAAGTTTGAATACCATAAGCACTATCTTCCTCTAAGTATATGCCTGTAAAACTACTGGGATCAATTTTTTAAAGATTTTGCTACTGGATCTCTTTAAGGCTGTTTGTCATTTCCCTACTCGTTATAAATATGTGTAGATTTATCCATCCCAGTGTGCAGTGTCCCTCACTCCTGATTTTTTCCTCCATCCCACAGTGTGCAGAGTTTCCCTCACTCCTGCTTTCTTCCTCCATCCCACAGTGTGCAGAGTCCCTCACTCCTGCTTTCTTCCTCCATCCCACAGTGTGCAGAGTTTCCCTCACTCCTGCTTTCTTCCTCCATCCCACAGTGTGCAGTGTCCCTCACTCCTGCTTTTGAACAACTTGTTCTTGCTGTAGTGCCCCTTGGGAATGTTCTACCTTAACACCTCCAGGGGTAAGGGAGGGGACTGGATATGGGGTAATATATGATAGTCTAATGAATTAGATACTTTCCTATGCCTGAAATAAGGTATCAACCTAAGAGTTTTACAGTTGCCAAAGTCAATTTCCACCTCAGATCTTAAACTCTTTACGATCATTTTAATTTTCTATTTTAATTAGCACATGTTAATTGGGATGCTTATTCATCAACACCACTTTTTTTTTTTACTGCTAAATATGCAGCCAAAGGTTTGACTAGAGTAGTATAATGTAGTCTTGAATATTTTATTGTGACTTAGGCTGAATGATGAATTAGTGAAATTACATATTAATGCCCATAGTAATTTTTCTTTATATTTTTAGAATGTATGAGACCAAGATAAAAGAGTTTGAAAGTGATATTGCCAAAAAGAATCAAAGCATTATTGACCTTAAACAGCTTGTTCGAGAAGCAACACAGAGAGAACAAAAAGCTAAGAAACACACAGAAGATCTTGAACAACAGGCATGTACATGTAATAGTCTCTAAATGATAAAACAATGTAACTTTTCTCAAGACAATCCCTGAATTGCCGAAGGTGAATCCCTGACCTCCTGACTAGTGTCTCTCCTAGGAGACTCAGCTCGTGAACAGTACTTAACTCATCCACATATGTAAACCACAAAGTGGATCGTCACAACTTGATTCTCTTACTCTTCACATCCAGTGCTCAGTGTGGAAGCCACTGCTTATAGCTTAGTTACTGTAGTCATTTCCTAACTGGTCCCTGGGCTTCCCCTTGCATCATTTCACCTGTTCTATACTACTGGTCTGTTCTCTACAGCTGTTAAATAATCCTGTAACACACAGAGCAGATTATAGTAGTGTTATTCTGAGACTCTTGTAGTAGTTCCCCATCACCCTGGAATGAAACTTGCTAACAGTTCTTTTTATAGCCTGTATCTATGAACAAGGTCTGACACTTTGCATCTTCTACCAGGTGTCCCAACATTAACCCTTTCAAGCTTTTGAACAACTGAAACTCATTTAGGCTTCAGGTCTTTATACCCACTTGGTGTCTAGAACACTCGTCACTATTCCCAATATTTCTATAACCGACTCCTGAACTTCTATCTGTGCTTAAATGGAGGCCTTCAGAGACAAGACCAGCAGTCTGTTACCCTGTTCTCCCTAGATTCTGTCCGTGGACAGCCCATGCTCCCCATCCTGCCCTGTCACATCCCATCTCATATGACAGTATTGTTTTTTTACTCTTTTTTGGGGGGCCCACCACCCAAATAAATCACACGTGGAGACTTATTCTTAGTTATGAATGCCCGGCCTTAGCTTGGCTGGTTTCTTGCCAGCTTTACTTAAATTATTCCATGTAACTTTTGCCTCTGGGCTTTTCCCTTTTCTTACTTCTGTGTGTCTTACTTCATGCTGGCTGGGTGGCTGACCCCTGATGTTCTCCTCTCCTTGTTCTCATATTCCTCCTCTTCCTTATTTCTCCTTGAATTTATCCTTTCTGCCTGCCAGCCCTGCCTGTCCTTGCTCCTCCCTCGCTATCAGCTATTCAGCTCTTTATTAGGACCCCCAGGTGTTTTAGACAGGCACAGTAATACAGCTTCGCACAGTTAAACAAACACAGCATAAACAAAAGCCACACACCTGAAGCTAGTATTCCTCCCTCAGTAAAAGTCAAAGGCCTCTCTCTGTAAGAGATCCCAGCTATTCTGTATGCTGTGTCCTCACTACCTTGGGCAGCAGTGTGCTGCTCAAGCGTTGATGGCCTGACTGCATAGACCGGAACACAGAACTGTGGCTTCATGCTTCCAAAGACCCAAATGTTATACTTTATTAAAAGTTAGTCTTTTTATAATCTCTTACTTCCGTGCCAAACTTCTATCTTCTAACTAATGGTTCTTTGTGCTCAAAGATTGAGATCCTCAAAACCCTTCCTGAAGGTGTGGAGACAGATCAAGGGCTTATCCAGGAACTCCAGCTCCTTAGGTATGGGTTAATGTGTTTAGTTAACTACTTAAGTATTTTTAACATGTTTTCTCTTTTCCTTTTGTGTGTGAGTGCATGTGCATGTGTACACATATACATGCTCGGGGTGGGATTTGGTATGTGCAAGCCATCTGTGAAGGAAGGTCAGTGGACAACTTGCAAGAGTTGGTTCTTTCCTTCCAAGAACTGAAATCAGGCCATAATCCTCACCATGCACCCTTACCCACAACCAAATTTGCCACACTTAAAGACTAGAGCTTTTCAAAGTTGATTATTATTCCATGCTTCTAATATAGTCTGGACACAGGAAAGAGGGGGAGCTCAAATCTAATATTTCCAGAATGTAACTTAAATTTTTCTAGCAGCATGGAATTAAACTGTGGTATTGCAGAAGCAAATCCTAATGAAAGAGAAACAAGTAATTCTATGCTTCTAGGAGTTTCTGCAGCCTCCTCTCATTGTAAGAGAAGCACTCTTGAAAATAACATTATGACTAAGATTAGGAAAAACTGAGAATTTGTGTTTTTGGGAATGAATCCATGAACCCTACCTAGAGAGTAAATGTTTACCTTGATGACCCTGCTGCCATCTCTCCCAGAATTAGCTGTGCCCTTGGCAAAAGACTATGTTTTGAGTACTGTATATGGCTTTATAGGAAATGCCCACATAACTTACAGACTGAACCCACTGTTTATTTTTCTAACATGCTATCATTGTGTTGTAGATTAGCCAACAGTAAGCTGGATAAAGAAAAGGCAGAACTAATCCATCAGGTAGAAGTTAACAAGGACCAAACTGGGGTTGAAAGCAGCGCACCTGGTAATGTATTTTGTCAAACGTGTTGGCTATCCCAAGTTTCTGATTTAGGGCTTGTCTTTTGTGTTTCTATAGTATCAAATCCCTGATAAGAGTATTTAGAGCTGTTCGCTCTCAGGCTGTGAAAATATTCCCATTTAACACCTTGATTGCTTGATTGCTTATACTAAGTTTTTCTCTTTGTGATCCATCTAGATGTTAGTCTTAATCATAGTATATTACCAGGCACTGGATGCTGTCGTCTGCTTCCACTTTCCAAGTGTAGCTCTTTCATTCCCTATGAATGCTTTCTTCTGAATGTTACTAATTGTTGTCATTATTCTAAAACTACCATACTATTTTTCCTATTGCAAATAAAAAGGTTCCTTTTATTCTTTTCAACCCCATTCCGATATTAGCAGTCATTTCCCTGTATAACACAGTTACTTACAAAACGTGTATTTGTGTGTACAAATAAGAGTACAGTTGATCATTTTTTGCAGATCTGTATTTGCAAATGTAACTGTTCACCACCATATGCTTACAATGTCCCAAATCAACTCAATGCTTTTGCCAACAGGCACAATGACAAATTTAAAGTCCCCCATCATCCCATCCCGGAGCCAACAAGGTAGTGCTTGGCCTTCTTGTTCCAGTTTTCCTACAGAGGTGATCTAGGATGGAGTACTAGGTACCACTGTAGCCTGATAATGGGGTTTCAATTGTAACCCTGACACTTTCAGTGGGACCGCCTCAGAAAAGTGGCTGAACACTCCCTGAGCATTTTCTTTTGAAACTCAATAAAATGTAACAGATCAGGGTGAATTGTTTGTAGGATCTAAGAGGAGAACTTGAGTATGTATGTTTATGCATGCATTTGCATTTCTCCTAGGAACTGTGGTTTGATATTCGCTAATTGTACCAAGTTCACAGGATAAAACTTTAACAATAGACCTTAATGTATATCGAGTTTTGTGCATTTTTTCCCTGAATTCACACTATACATTTCTAGCTTCTCTTACTGCTTTTATCTTAGTACAGAGATCTTTTAATACCTGTACATCATTATATTTTTTAATATGCTATTGAATGGATAGTGAGCAGTTTACCCCAGGATGGAATTTTAGTATAGTTCCAAAGCTTCTGGCATAATTACCCTGTATCTGCTAACCTGATCATGTCATTATCTGATAGTTTGATAGAAGTATCATGTTCTGCCATACAGGATTATACCAATTTATATCTGAATAATTCTAAACTATTTCATAGAGCTACTGTAGAGTCCTGATGCTACTTTGTATTAATGTGTGTATGATTTGTACAGGGCACTATGCTAAGGACATTACAACATTTTTTATTTTATTCTTATAATGTATTGTTTTTTCATTTTATTTTTTTTTAATAATAATAACCTATCCTCAAGATCACAACAAGTAGGAAGTGGCAATGGATGGTAAAACATGAATTCTATGCAAGTTTAGAACGCCTTGCCGTGCCAGGATCTTAACCACTGCGCTGCTGTGCTCTCTGATAACTAAAAATGGCATCTGTCCAGCTGGAATAGATGTGTGACTACTAGGGGACATCTTGGTGTCCTCGTAACACACAGTAGCAAAGACCTGTTAATTCTGCTGGCATTAGGCAAGTTCTCTAACTTGTCTACACCCAAGCCCTTATATTGTTTATGTCTTAAGAGAAGGGAGGAAAGCTACCAGCCACATTTCAGAGAGTACCTGCTTCAAAATTAACCTGTTTGGACATTCCTAAATCAACATTTAAAGATGGGGACATTTAAAAACCTTTGGAAGACGTTGACCATATTTTCTGGCTTCACTGGTTCACTGCCAGTCTGTATATAATGTAAAGGGACTCACTGACCATAAACTAACAGATACGTGCATACTCATGCTACTGGGACACAACTCACAGGTAGGTTAAAGGGTCAGCCTATAGGGTCAACATATATAGGATCTCGATTTATGTGTATGTGACATGAAAATAGAAGGGGACTTGCCTTCTAAGATGTAATTGGTTTTTTTTGTTTTGTTTTGTTCTGGTTTTTTTATGATTTGAGATCTCCATTATGCTTGCCCTTTGTCTTTGAGTTATAGGGGACCACCCCAGAGCACTACAATACACTTCTTGTCCTTACCATGAAACTTTGTTTTCATTTTATCCTCAAACGTTAACATTAAAACAAATGCTTTACCTTTCAATGATTGCATAGTGTAACATGGCATTTTGTATTTTAACCCTTGTGCTGCATTCCATGTGTGCCACACACCTTGCCTTGGAAGTTTACACAGTGCAAAAAGACCCACATGGAAATAGTCAAAGCTATTTGAGGTAGAAGGCATAAATGGCCCGCTTAGTTCTTTACCTGTATGTTTTGTACCCAACAAATTTTGCTGGTATTAGGATTTCTCTCTCAAAAATGGGAATTTCTCTCCTATAAAGGAATAACCTACTTTTCCAATACCTAGCAGCTACCCCTCTGTTTGCTTGCTGTGGAACGACCTCACTTACTAGTGGTAGCATGCAGATATCCCTGAGAAGTGTTCCCACCTTCCAGTGCCAGATGATCAGACTGTAGGCTTCATAAATACCCTGTTTATCCCGAAATAAACCCTCTATCTTTAACTCATTCACAGTAAAGAAAAATGTGAGTCTAATTTTCATGTCTATTTTTGGCAGATTCTGATCAACTAAAGGAAAAGGTAAATGACCTGGAGGCAGAACTCAGAAAGTCAGACCTAGACAAGGAACAGTTGAAGGTAATTCCTACTTATATCTGACTTCAGCATGGTCAGGGCTTTGTGTAAACAGCTGTGGGAAACAATGATTATGAATGTGCTGAATTCATGGATTTGATTCACACTTAATAGTACTAGGTATATAATTTGACTCATGACAACTTTTTATTAAATAGTAGTTAGCAATAACAAAAAAATCAGACAAATAGAAAGGATTAGCGAATATTTTTAAATTATAACAAATATACCTCTCAATAGTTTTTTCTCTTTTTTTTAATATTTTCTTAATTTGTGGGTCATGTTGGCAACAGTATTTTCTCAGTGCCTTTTGAAATTATGTTCAGGGATCTTTCCCTTAGAACACTTCTGTGCTCTACTTAAAGCAAGAAGCACAAGAGTGTGTACAGGAGCCCTGGCTCACCCCTGGGTTGTGTAAACACCATTGGCACTCACACCCCTCACCGGGTGCTTAACTTTTACACGCCCCAGGGTTTTCGTGATCACAAATACTATTATAAAAGTAAAAACAACCTTAAAGAAAATACTGACAACTCTTAAGACCTCAATGCAGTGAAGGGCAGAGTCCCTTTTGCTCACCTAACATCATATCTGACGCAGTTCAGAGAAAGACTCGATCTCATTATAATGTAAGCATGCATAATTTATTCATATGGTACAATGGAACCTTAGTTAAATATTTTTCTTTATATTTTACTGTTCAGGTTATGTGGGTTTTCATGTCTGTAATCAAATCTTCTAAAATTCCTGTACGTGACTTTTAGGAGGAAATTAAAAAGCTGAAGAAAGAACTGGAAAATTTTGATCCTTCATTTTTTGAAGAAATTGAAGACCTGAAGTATAATTATAAGGAAGAAGTGAAAAAAAATATTCTATTAGAAGAGAAGTTAAAAAAACTTTCTGAACAATTTGGATTTGAATTATCTAGCCCTGTTGCTGCTTCTGAAGAGCTGGAAGATGGAGAAAGTCCTAATAATTTCCCTATTTATTAAAGACCCATTTAACTGTAGTTTAAAATTATTTTGCAAGTTAAAAAACTTTCAGCTACCTGGAAATCAAGCAGTCTCTGAACTACAGAATTCACATGTCAAAATACTGTATTTTTGCTTAAAAATAAAAAATCATATTTAGTTTTAACTTGGTAGAAAAGTATATTTTTGAAGATGTGAATACTTTATGACTATACAGTACACAATGAGCTATGATAGATATTACTATTTTCATGTCTTAAATTTTCTAAAAGCATAAAGGTAAGCTTATAACAATTTACCATTTAAAATTGAAGTTTCAGGTGTAATTATAATTATTTTTGTGTTAAGATATTCAAATCCTGTGATTTTGATACAGATACATAAATACTTAGAAGTTAGTTGTAACATATTTCACCAAATAGCTAGCAAAATTAAATAGAATCTTTAGTTATTTTCACCTCTGTAAACATAGTAGACTCTTCAATATTAGAAAACTGCCATTTTATACATCAAGCACTATATCTTTAAGCCTGTCAAATTTCTGTTTATCTATTTTCAAGAACTGATTAAACAAACACTCATTATCAAAAGCACAGTCATATTTGCTGAGGTTCATGTTAACGACAACTGGTTTGGAATTCATGTAAGTATCTGGGAGTGGCCAGCATAGACCAAGATGATGGCGATGGACCTGTAAGGAGGAAAGAGTGGCATTAGCTTTAGTGTGCAAACATGAGTTTCCCTGAAGGCAGAGAATTTGTTAACTCTGTTAGTACCTGAAAAATGCCAGGCCCATAATCAAGGGCTTCTCCAAATTTGATGACTATGTAGTCTGTTGGTGAATACAGGAAAGAAAGGAAAAGGTGAGCCAGACTCTAGTGTTAGAGTTACCAAAGGGTGTAGAATGGCATAGAATGGTGGGGTGGGCGGGACCACAGTTGGCTGCCACACAGCTGTGAGGCTGTTTCCTCCACATGAAAACATCCCCTCTAGAGAGAGGCTCTGGACTCAGGAAGTAAGCAAACCTTGCCAAGTCTCAGGACAGTCCTGAAGCTATTAAGACCCCCCAAGACTCTCTGCGAGGGTACAGGAGCACTGACAATTGGAGAGAAGGCTCTCCTTCCACCAGAGAAGCTGCCAACTCTCTGCAAGATGGGCAGGGAGTCCCCAGGGTGCTGCTTTGTGAGCCTTAACTCAAGCTGAGGAGGGCTTCTTCCTGACCCTGCTGCCTCTGGGTCCTCCATGCTCACTAAGTCCCACTTGGATGGAACCCTTTCTTTCTCTGTCCTCAGCATGTTATCTGTGCCAAGTGAAAGTTTTTCATATCTCCCCAGGACTATACAGTCACACGACAGACACAGACAATCCCGTTTTCATGGATGGTAAGGAAAAGCTGTGACGGGAGTTAAGAAGGGGCCATACCATGCAAAGGCAGCCCTATACAGGAAGTAATAATGCCATCCATTCGGGAAGAATGAGCACAATGGGAGTAGAAATGAAAGAAGGATGTTTTAGGGAGGACAATCTAGTAGCAAGTCAAGCAAGACTCTTGACCTAAATTACAATTAACACCTAGCTGAGTGTAAAAAACACAGATTGCACAGATTAGACTTTTCATGAAGTCATGGGAAGAGGGCTGAAAAACAATGAATCCAGGTTTCTCATTGCAGTAAATAATGTGAGCTGGGAGTGGTAAGAACAGAATCAGTTTTGAACATTATGAATTTCGTAGACCAGTGAGAAATCAGAGAAGTTCAGGGGGAAGGTCACAAAGTATAAGCTGCTACCTGGCACTATCACTCAACAAGCTCTGTACCTAGTAAGTTAGTATAGGAGTGCTGACTTAAAGTAGGCACAGACTGCCTCAGACAACAGAGTGCCACATGAATGCCCGGGAGGGGATGTGTTATCATGCCAGTGCCAAGCCCAATACCACCATCTGTATATAGTGCTGTCTGACACTTCCCTTAAACTCAATTCCGTGTTAGCCTATAAGAACTATAGGGGATTACACTACCTGCATGCCAGAACTAATAAAGTCTATACAGAAAGTGTGAGTATCACATCTTTAGGAACAAAACCCAACATAAGCTGTTTCTGTCCTTACCTTAATTAAGCAGCCATCACCACAATGCCATACGATTCCTTCAATTTTACCCTCTCTGCAGTCTTCAAACCAGGACAGCAAGTCGTTGTGTTTCAGTGGAGGCAGATTTCTTACTTGGAATGCTCCATGAGGTATCAGAAAGTGCAATGGATATTTCTTGCTTCCTATCCCTAAATGGTAAAATTTGCCATTAACCATTTTCAGTCATATTCTTTTCAGAAAATGTACCTCCCCAAATGTATAAGTATCTAAGCATTTAGGAGTAATGTTAACAAAAAGTTTATTTGATTTTCTGTAGAGAATAATCCAAAGTGCATTACATCCTGTTCTTACTCCACTGGGAGTTGGCACACTCTGACTGTGGACCGACAGATACCTATTGTAAGGAGTTTCAATGGGATGCAGCCTTATCCATTCATATAAGTACTATGATAGCCCATCTCAAAGGTACAATTGAAAGGTTAACAAAGCTTAAGCTTGAAAATATTTATTTTAAAATATTCGTTACCAAACATTTTTACAGAAAAAAAATTGCTAGCATGTGCTATATCATCAGCTATATTCTGCTATTATTCAGTGTTTCCCTAACATCAGCTTTGATCATGCATATAAGCTGAACAACCATCAATCAACCTACTTCAATTTGTATGTGTATGTATGTTCACATCTATGTTGTGTGCATGTTTGTGCAACTACATAGTGGAAACAGGAGGTCAACATTGAGTACATTGTTCAATTGTTTCCCACCTTATATTTTGAAAAAGGGTGTGTCTCACTGTACCTGAAGCTCAGTGATTAGGCTACACTGTCTGTCCTGCAAGGCCCAGATAGCCTCTTATCTATGCCTCTCTGGCTCTGGGACTGGCATGCACCACTACTGCCCAGCTTTCAACATGGGCATTGGGGACCTGAACTTTATAGACCTCCCTACACCTTCAATCTGCTTTTGATCTCTCTAGAAATACTGGTGCTGTAGAGTCCTTATGATTCTCCTTTCGATTCTGTACCCCAGAAAGCCACTGACTTACTCAGTTCATTGTGGTATACATTCTTTACACAGTACATGCTGCCAACTCTTACTTGTACCTGTGTTTATTGATGCTATAGTAATAATGACCTAACTCACCTAAAACTTATAAAGCTATGAAGAGCTACATCTCAGTAATTGCTTTTCATGCACAGTTGTTAGAGCTGGCAAGGGAAGTTATAGGATGAAGCCAGCCTTTCGCATTAATAAATCAAAATGATTACCCATACATAAATCTTCTCTTGAACATCAGAGCTGCAAAAAAGGATGTGTTCCTAGGAAACAGATGCAAATGCATGAGTCGCTGCTTCTGTATGTTTCTCAAGTTGACCACAGGACGTTCTCTTTGTAAAACATCTTCACTTACTGTATGGATTTCCATTGATATTCGTTCCTATCAGCTCCAGGGTTTGCTCTAAAAGCTCCGACAGAGGCACGGCACTAATTTCCAAAAGTCCAGGCTCATCAGGATCGTGCCTTAGTACCAGGGCAATTCCAAACTCATAATTCACGACGGAGGAATGCCAACAATACTGCCTGCTGTTCTTTTCCACTGGTACCCAACCTGTTATTTCAATAAATGTTACTTCTGTCACACTGTTCTATTAAAAGACACAGACTTTGTCATAGATATTCCTATCTTTTACATTCCCTCTCATACAGACACTTAAAATCAGTGGGAAAGTTAAGAATCTCACTATTTTTCTTAACAGTCATAAAGGATTCATTTGCTTATTCAGTTGGGGTATTACCATGAATTAAACATATTCTTCAAAAAAAAAATTATCTTGGTTCAGGAGCAACTTAGCAATATACTGAGATAGCATTAAAACTTTTGTTTCTTAGTATTTTTTTTTAAACTGCCTACCCTCCCTCCTGCCATTTTTTTTTTTTTTTTCATTTAATAAAGCAAGTCATGTCGCATCTTTCCAGTTTCAAAGATGACAAATACGTGCAACAGGCACTCCACAGTTTACATCGTCGTTCTAATCATGCTGAACAATATCAGTTCCTTATTTGTTTTTACTTTTATTGCCAGAATAAGCTCCCTCAATAAGGAAAACTTGCTGCAAATGAGAAACACACAAGCCACTCTGACCAAACCTGAAAGGCCATTCCTTCCTATGTCTTGGATATAAACTGCTAAGAGTTTTCAATAATCTTAATTCAGAAATTTTATACTATAAATAAAATAAAAAGCTAGATTAAAACAGATTACTGATTGGACCTTTTTTTGTTTGTTTCTTATACTAAGCACAAAATGATGATGCGTTACCAGGGATGTGTCCGTTTTCATCAGGTACTGGCTTCCCATTCTGCTGTTCTATTGCCTTTGCTGGTACCCAGCACTCTGGGACAGGCTTGAAATCTTCCTCCGTGTTCCAAAGAAATGCTACAAAGAGTCAGTTCGTCTTTATGCTGTTACTTTAAGACATCAGATAGAGAACAGATGCGAAGTAGAAGTAGGAAATACAACATTGCTGTTGGATGGGAAAGGCACTCAGTTATCACTGGCACCTGCTACATCCCAGTTTAGGGTACCAACACTGTAAAACTGTCAACTCTCAGTACACTGCCACGTATGCACATTACAGGCTAAAGCAGCCAACATTCTCTGAGGGCTTATAAGTTTTTAATGTTTTTATTTTTGGGGGTGTTTCTAGAGAGGGTTTCTCTGTGTAATATTCTTTGCTATCCTGGAACTCACTCTGTAGACCAGGCTGGCCTCAAACTCTGAGATCCACCTGCCTCTGCCTCCTGAATGAGACTGTAAGTTTTCATGTATATATACATATACATATACATATGTTACATATACAAGTATAATATATATATAACAGTTATTAATGTAATAATAACTTTTTGATATTTATACTATAGCTTAGAAAATTATTTTCTTCATACAAACCAAATGAAAATGTATCTCTTATTACAATACTGTTTAATCAGAATAGATTGGTTCTAGAATGAAGTTACAGGACGACTGGGGAAATGTTTTTCATATTTTTGTGTGCATGTGCACAAGCATGCTGTGTGTGTGTGTGTATTATTTTCCCCAAGATTGATATATATATATATATATATAAAATCACAGCAATAAACCACAAATTTCAACTCTTTAAAACTGAAAAGTCTGAGGAAAAATCCACTCACCTTTTGAGCTTTCTTTTGAATGTAGAAATTTTTTAAATCTTTTGTCGGCTTGCTTGTTAGGTTTTCTGTCTAGTCGAGCCCAAAGGTATGGCTGACCTAAAAACATAATAAAAGGGGAAAATAAAATTCACCTTGCAAGACATTTGGGGGGGGGGAATCAATAAACAGTGGTCTGCTCTGTAAGAAAGCACCTAAAAGACAAATGGAACTCACAGTGCTCAGCACTGAGCTATCATCCCAGTGTGTGAGGATGTAAACTGTTAAATGAAGAGGGTGAGAAAATGCATGGTCCTTTTTATCAGAGAGTAGTCCTTTCCCAAATCCTCCAAGTGGGATCACAACCAGGGAGACTGTTCACACATCCCTTGAACCACACTGCACAGTGGGTTTAATTCCGGCACATAAGGAATGGAGCTGACCTGTCTGGCATGGCCTAGTCATTAGATCCACTGTTGATGAGGGCCACTTGTAACCCTGGGTGTGAGTGGTCTTGGGGCACTGTGCCAATATTCTGTATTGATAAAAGTGTGACTTCTGACTCAACTCTGATTGCTTTGAGACTCCTGCTTAGCTTGCTGTTGCCACTGCTTACTTGGCAGGAAGATTCCTACAGGACGAGCAAAAGCAGGAAGTTCCGCAACCAAGACTCCATCTGGAGTCCCTAATTCTGAGGTATTACCTGAACACTTCAGTGGTCCCTACCCTGAGGAAATTCATCCTGCTGTAACTATAAGCAGGACAAGGTACAGATCTCCCCTGGCGTCTCCTACCTATTGCTCTGTGAGAGTCTCACTTCTGAAATCCTTATTTTGTTAGTATGTATCCCTTTGTCATCGTTGGTCCTGTGAGCAATCTTGTGCAGCAAAGCTCCAACCCTCTAATTGCTCCCATCATGCACATCACACATAATGACTATCAGTTTTTACTATAAAGTCTGGTAAATCATACTCAAATATATAAATCAGAGGCTCAAAAATTGTCAATTATAATACCATTATATACTAGGTATCCCTAGTGATTTTTTTTTTTTTTTTGGTTTTTCAAGACAGGGTTTCTCTATGGTAGCCCTGGCTGTCCTGGCCCTGGCACTCACTCTGTAGCCCAGGCTGGACTCGAACTCACAGAGATCCACCAGGCTCTGCCTCCCGAGATAGCCTGGCTGCTATCCATACTTTTAACTAAATTAAAATTATACTGTTTCTGATTGTGGACTTTTTGTTCTTTATACTGGTAAACATACAACATAGATTCCTCTCTCACCCATTAAGATGGATATTGAACAAAAGTAATATTCCAAGTGGGGATATGGAAAACCTGGAACATCTAGAAGCTAAAACTTCTGTGTGATCATATGTATAATGGGTACTCAAATTTTCTCAATCAGAATTAACATATGATCCAGTAATCCCACGTACAGGTTCAAAACCCCCACAGAACTGGAGGCTAATTTAGCACTATTAATTGCATTATCTACGGTAACTGTAAAGGTCAGAACAACCAAAATGCCCATAAGTGAACAGATGAACAAAATGTGCTATGTGCAATATTGAGCAACTTAAAACAATTGTGTGCAATCAGATGTAATACAGCATGGTAAAACACTGAACTAAAAGCAAACCAGCCACAATGAGACAGTTATATGACTTACCTATAGTCAGAAAGCAGAATGGACTAAGAGGCCTGTGGGATGGGCTCTGTGGGGGTGGACGGGTGGGGGGTGGTTCCCAACAAGCAGTTTTAGTTCTAGAAGGTGACACTCTGGATAAGAATGGTGGTGACGCCTCCACCATGTGAATGCCCTGAATGCCACTTCACACACCATTTTTTAAAGTACAATCATGATGGCAAGTTTTACCTTTTCACCGTTGAAAGATTTTAAAGTGCATTTCAGGACATTGCTAGCTCATGTCCCTATTTTTGTTACTGGAACTGAAAGTCCCTTTTTCAGTGTACCTTTTCCCCCTTAATACCATCAATGCGAACTTCTCTTATAAGCATCTGCAGCTGATGGGAGACCTGGCCAGTGGTAATGAAAGCACAAGCTCCAGGATGCTGTAATGAGGATGAGTTTCAGGGCTGAACCACCCCAGGTTCTGGTACTGTCCGGCCATTCATTAACTGAATGGTCTTAAGACAAATTACTGAACCTGATCGAGACTCAGTTTCCTCATCAGTGATGTGGAAAGGCTTATGAAAATGAGAACATGCCAGACCTGCTTCTAGCCTTTCGCTGGAATCCCAGTGAATGTTAGTCACATGTCTTTCTTTCCCCAAGGGAAGTAAATAGAACCACTGTGATTTTTTTTTTTTTTTTTTTTTTTTTAACTTGACTGCTACAGTTAGGTCTTTAAGAGTTCACAGGTGTCCAGGATTTATACACTAATTAAGATAATACTTTTAGTAAACATGATAGTTGTAGTTTACCTTTGTAGTTAGTAACATAACAACACGTTCCATCCACTTTTTCTGTTGCAATTGCATTGTATACATCTGCATCTAATGCCTTTTCGCTTAGAGTTGCAGTTGCCAAAACTTTGAATGGCTTAAAAGAAAGAGAGAAAAAAAAAACTGGTATAAGATACATAGCCTCAGTCAGGTGGTGTAATCCCAGCACTTGGGAGGCAGAGGCAGGAGGATCTCTGTGAGTTTGAAACAGCCTGGTCTACAAAGTGTAGAGAAACGCTGTCCCAACCCCCCCCCCCAAAAAAATAATAACCTCTGCCTTCACGCACAGGCTCAGCTGCACCGTGCCTAATTTCTTTAGTTCCAAACAGCTGTCTCCACTCGCTCTGCCCAAGCTGGCCTTGAACCCAGGACCCTCTTTTGACGTAGCCTCTACTTCCAAGGTAGCTGTCCTACCACAACAGCTCTCCCACTCGCTGTAAGGCGATCACAGAAAATTTGATTTTCCATGCAGACTGTTATTTACGTGTTCTCATCCACCACAATGAAACCAGGGGCCGTGCTCTGTGCCGTGTTGCATCCTCAGCACAGGCCCAATTTGCACAATCCTAAAGTGTGTGACTACACACTAACCACGGTAGGCACTGTCCCTGACACTGGGAAGGCGGAGAGGCACCCACCTTTATTTAGTGAAACTTACACTTTGGAGGGCTATGACAAATAAAATGCTAACTGTATTACACTAATGAGTACTAAGGAGGGAAACAAGGCGGAATGGCATGGAGAAGGTACTCTGAGGAGGCAATGTCTGAGCAGATTTGACATGTGAGGGAAGGCCCACCGTCAGGACATTCTGTGTCTAAAGAAGGCAAGTCAGCCCCTGTGTTTGGAACGGAGTACCGGTAAAACTAGATCACAGATCACATGCTTACTTCACTCCAGAGTGTCCCTGCTGGTTCAGCACATGGCTTCACCAACCACAATTCTCCTTGCTCTTCAATGAGATCTTTACAAACTTTCTTTTTCAAATCACACTTGCTTCTTAGTCATAGGGAGAGTCTAGTGATGCCCTCTGTCTCGGGCCACATTTTCAGAAAACAAGAAGATGAGGATGGCTCCTAGCTTTACTCTTTAAAGGGCTCTCTTGCAAAGCTGAAATCCACATGCCTGCTTTAGATGTCCTCTAAAAGTCTCTGCGGCTCCCCGCTCAGCTATGCTTGTGAATCTTCTTTATAAAATGCATTTTCCTAGCATGTAGGCCAGCTTTCAAAGACCAAGGCCCACTGCCCTTGCCTCCTGGCTGAAACTTCCAGTAACTACTATGTAAGCCTAACCCAGGCGATCAAGAGTGGCCCGCCATCTCTCCTAAGACAGAAACACCCAGCTCTCTTCCCGGCAGAATTCATACTCAACATCTGAGGTCTATTTTGGTTTCTATGTCTACTCCTCCCAAGTTCCACTGTTTAAAAACGACCAATTACCACTTGCCTACTGTTTCCCTACCGGTTTGCTGGCTTTGCCCTCCGTCCTTACCAACAATGAGCTGTTTTCAAGTTTCATTTGATTTTGCTACTATCAGGAAGAAAAGGAAGCATCGGGGATGGAGGAAAGACTGCTTTTGAGATTCTTACACCTTCTTAGCTATAATTTTGATTCCTGCGAAAGATTACTACTTTATAGTCTAAATCTGAACATTCACTTTACAAAAGAATAAAAGAACACAAAACAAAGGGGCAATGGTAAGTCAGGCAAAATTAGGTACTAGGAAACTATACTCATTTCATTACTGATTTACTACTTTTGTGTGAGGTACATGCATGTATGTGTATGTGAACACGTACGTGTGTGTGTGTGTGTGTGTGTGTGTGTGTGTCTGAGTGAACACATGCCCGGACACGTGCATGTGAAAGCCAGAGAAAACTGGGTGTCAGACTCTCTCACTGAGCTTAGATTCAGGCAGGTAAGCTCTAGGGCTCTCTTGCATCCCCCTCTACAACTCTGAGATTACACACATGAGGGTGCTGGGTATCTGAGCTCAGGTCCTCAGGCCTGTGTAGCAGCCATCTCCCAGGTCTATGACTGATTTGTCATCCATATGTGTATGACACTGGTACCAAGAGGTATCATTCTAAGGCAAATACTAGCCTAACAGCAGAGGCGCGCGCGCGCGTGTGTGTGTGTGTGTGTGTGTGTGTGTGTGCATTTTTAAATTTATAAAATTTCGAGGAGGATTACTAAGCCCATGGAGTTGTTCCTGAGTGTGAGGTGTTCCCTCCACAGGGAGGGAACATTCTCTACTACCATTTGCTATGTACTCCCTTCACCTGTGACCAAACATTCCACTAGTGCAGAAGCAAGAACATTTGTGTATTCAAACAGGCCATGAGGATGGATAGGGTGGGGTGCCACTTCCGGACAGGCTTGACTAAGCCTGTCAAGTTCTATTAAGATCTACTGAAAAACACTGAAGGTGATTCAGGCAGAGTGGAAAGCCTGAGAAAAAGTTTAATGCACAGGGGTGTGTTGATATGATGATGAAAGACGTTGCTAGAACAAGAACTCCATATTGAGATTTTAAAACAGACTGAGCCTAATTAAAAAGAGATTTTGGGTAATTATTTGGACACTGTACTGTAAACACTACTGCAAGATATATTTTTTGTTTTGTTTTGCTTTTGCTAGTACATAGTGCTTTTAAAATTATGCTCCACTCCCAATACTCAAAGCTGAGAAACACAAAATGAACCATCAAGGTGGAAAATGTGTTGCAGTACTTGGATTTGCCATGATTTTCATTCTAAATAGACAACAATACAGACACTGAGTACAAATCTTAGGGCTTCACTAGAAAATATAGGGATACTCAGTCTGGGTAGCAGATACAACCTATTATGTAGTATTGCAATGGGAAGCAAGATGAAAAAGATCGGATGTTAAAAGGTAAGAAAACATCAAGTTGATGGAAAACTGGCACGAAGACTCGGAGTCCCCTGAATCAAAATTCGACAAATATCAATTCAGGTGCCAGTTCCTAGCAACAGGGACAAAAAAACAACAGGGCATCTTGTGTTAAAGGTCATTTAATCTAAAAGGCAAGAAAAGGGGCCCCCAAAGCGGAAAACAGAGGCACTAAAAGACTGCGAGTAATGAAGCACAAAAATGAAAGAGGTAATTGTGTGTGTGTGTGGGGGGGGGGATGCAAACTGGAGGCTTGAGGGAGGAAGACTGTTGACTGCTGAGGTCGAGAGGGAACAACACAAATTTTGTATGGAAATGCCACAGGGAAAACTTACTGTGTACTCTAATTTAAAAAAACAAAACCAGTATAGCGTTGAGGGTGCACCCTTTAATCCCAGCACTCGGGAGGCAGAGGCAGGTGGATCTCTGTGAGTTCGAGGCCAGCGTGGGACAAGAGCTAGTTCCAGGACAGGCTCCAAAGCTACACAGAGAAGCCCTGTCACGAAAAGATACAAACAAACAAAAGAAACAACAACAACAAAAAGTGGTAATGTTTAAAAAAGTGGAACTGAATTCAAATGCACACACTGACTCTGTCTGTGTTGAGGGGTTAAGAACTTTTTGCTCCACATCGAAGAACCACACGCATGCAAACTATATTAATTCACCTATGTTCCCGCAAGGCTCGGTATGTGTAAAGTGCATAACAAGATGGCTAGAAACCCTTGGGACCGGAACTCAGAGTTAGAATTAAGCAAGAAATCACACATGAGGTCTGACTTTAGGCTGTCAACACTGTCATGAGGTCCTAGGACCGGACAGGTAAGCCAAGCCTTCTCATCAGACTGACTCCAAGTACCGTGCTACCTCACTGCTCAGGCGCTGTCGTGGGAGGAAAGCCCTGAATTGCTGCATCTCCAAACCTGCCTGAGCAAGTGTGCATCACCTGCTCTGGGAGGGGGAACTTTTTACATACATACATACATACATACATACATACATACATACATACATACATAAAGGAATCCTTCCCATACAGCTAAGGAGGTGGAAGAAGCTAGAGCTCGGGGCGCACGGCACAAGCGAACTTCCCCCCAGACCTCCCGGAGGAACCTGCAGGACTCCCGGGCCGCAGCGCAGCGCTGGCCGAGCCCTCGCCCCGCAGCCCACGCCGCCGGCCGGGTACCTGATGCTCCCGCTTGGCCGAGGGCTCGGCTTTCACCTCCGTCACAAACACACACGGCATCTTCCGCTGCACGGAGCCCAGGCGGCTCATGGTGCCCACGTCCAGCGAGTGAGGAAAGCCTCAAACCCAGACAGACAGAGGCCAGAGCGCTCGCTGCCTGCAGCACCGTGATGCAAACGCCGCCTCCAAGGCCCACCCCGACGAGGGGCGGGGACATACTTCCGGAAACGAGCGCCTACTCGCGGCGCATCCTGGGAGTTGTAGTGCGGCTGTGAGGCTACATACAGAGCCGGCGTGTCTGCCCTGTATGAATCCCCTATGTTTTTTGATGACCAATTTAAGAAAGGAAAAAAAAAAAAAAAAAGGTCCGCTACCCCGATGTTGTGTTTCTTGGCCACAACTTTGTAACGATAATTTTTCTTTCTTTCTTTTTTTTTTCTTTTTCATTTTTGGAAGTTAACATCCAGTTGTAAGTGATGAATCACTTTGGGAAGCAATTTAGCACTTTTCTCTCTCTTGAAACTCACTTGTTCCCCCCCCCTTTTTTTTTAAGAAATTAAATAGATTATAAACCCGTAGAAGTTTTGAATGAACTTCCAGACATTTCCTAATGTGCAGACAGAAATCCTAGTTTTCCAGGAAGAGCAATAGAAAAACTCTACAATGAACACAACTTTTAACTTCTGTTTGAATTAACCATCATAAGGTGTATAATTTGGTTCTTGGTGTCCTTTCCAAGGAGTGTAATTTAGACAAATCCAAAACCATGGAAATATCAACAAACAGCACTGTTGGATTTCCTGGGAATCCAACAAAGGACTTGAGTTGTAGTCAATCAACTACAGAGCTGAATACTTAAGCTTGCTTTACTTACTGTCCAAAATGACATTGCATAGTAAATAATAAAACTGATGCTTATATAAGGAATAAGTAACCCTGTGTTATAGTAGTAGATCTGTCTCACTGAAGCCTAAGACTATACAGGAGAATTTTGACCTTACCATCTTAGGTAATTGGAAAAGCCAACTTTTATTTCCATAATTGTTTTTATCACTCCAATTCATATTTCTATAACTGCTTTATCAGCATGTATCCAACTGTCCAGCGTTTTACTTAAGCTTATGGAAAAAAATTAAATAACCCTTTCTCTCGGAAGTTTCTAGATATCAAGGGACTCTCAAAGAATAAAGTATTCCTGCATTCACAATGGAGGAAGAGAGTGAGGAAGAAGTTTGCCATTTCACAATCTTTCTTTTCTTGATTGATATATATATATATATATATATATATATATATATATATATATCATAGGCAAGCACACCCAATTTTATACAAAACAAAAGAAACTAGGGGATTGGGGTGGAGAGAGACTACCCACATCATCTCATGGTTCTGGCTCTGTGGTGTTGAAATCAGAAATTTCTTAGCCTTTTAAAGTCAAGTTTAATAACTTCTTTGAGTCTTCAGATGAATCCTAAGCAACAGCTTGTCTCTTGGGTCTCAGACAATCAAATGACCTTTCCAACTCTTAACTGTCACTTCCCAAACTGCCACAGAATATTCTAGATCCAACATTCTGCCATTTCTTAGAAAAGATGATCTTCCAAAACATTCTACTTGCTTTAAGCCTCTCTCTGGAAGGACCAACAGCAATATTTCGGTTCCTTCAATGCCTAGAGCAAGGCTTACCTACAGAAACAGAAGAAGCCTTACCAGGAGAACGTCCAACGGGACCAGTTTACAGGTGTAAACTGTGTCCTTACTCTGAAGGATGGCAGCCATTGGCTTCCCCTAGTTCAGATACCGGCCAGGTAGTGGGACCCCTGGCCACTGACCTTGAAGTGATACGACAGGATAATCAGAAGATTTTTCTTTGATGTGTTAGTAACCAGGAACATGCCAAAAAGAAACTCCACCTGTCTGTCTTGGCCTGCACAAGCTAGGGTTTCTGGGTCTGTTCTTGAAGACAAATTTCCTATTGCTTTTTATTATAGGGAGAATCATAGGTTTCTGTAAAAGACTAAAATGAAATCCACAACAGGAAGGAAATGAGGTGAAAGTGAAAAGTAAAACTAAGGGATAAGAAGAGAAAAGAACTATGAAAGGGAATTGGAGGGTTCTGAGCATCCCAAAGACTAACAAGACACCCACTGTGTGTTACACAATGAAAGGGATTTTTGTTTTGTTTTGTTAATCCCTTTATGATTTTGAGCTGATTTTGCTATGTGAGCCACTCAGCAGCTGTGGAGGTATAAGCAGTTTTCAGTCCTTTGTGTGAAATCACTTAATTCAGCTTTGATAGTGTTCTATACAGCATTTTATAGCTCCTAATGAAACTTCATACTCAGTCCTGAACTCATCTGGGGGGAGATGAATGCTTGAAGACACTTTAGAGGTGTGTCTCCAACTTGCCAAAAGGCAAGGCTTATGTTTATCAATAATTTGCCAAATCTTTATCTATTCTTTTACCTATAACATTGCCTCATTACTTTTATTTTAGAGTAAAAAGCAAACTAACCTTTGCCAAATTTAGTTTATTACTCTAGACCACTGGATTCAAAAAGTTCATGGCAATTTTCCCTGTTGCACTTAAAGTGGAATTCCATGTTTGTCTTGTCTGAGATTTCAGTTAAAGGTTTGTAATAATTTAAAAACATACTTTGATCCAGTGTGCTCAGTCATCTCCAGCCAACTTCTCAGTGACCGATGATGCGTTCTCTTCATTTCTGCTAGCTTCTGATTCTGCTAGAAAGGATGCTTGGATGGAGGTTTTAAAAACTGATGATTGAAATGTCTTCCTCTGGGAATCAGAGAGCTGCACTTGGTTTTCAAAAAGTTCTACAAGTTTTCAAGCATGCTGGGACCCCCTTGCTATCAGATGAAGCTTATACTCCTCTTATGATGGATGAAAATGGAATAAAATCACTGGATAAATAGGTACTGCTTATTTTCCTGTACATTTATTGCTGTTACAATCCGGTGATGATTTTTCCTAAGTTGATATATATAGAGCACCAGGCATATATTTAAATAATTGTATCTATTTTCCTGGAATATAGATAGCATATTTATGTTAGTTTCATTTCCAAACCACATATAGAAATAGCTACTTCCCCATGAAATACTTACCAATTTTAATTTTGAAAATATGAATTTGTGGTTTTTCTTTAACCATAGCACTGAAAGGTAAAATACAGTGTTAAATTTACAGATAATCTTTTTTCATTCTTTTTATATATATATATATATGAAAATATTCCCTTAGGTTGAGTAGCCTACAGTTGCATATGAGGTCATTTATGATGAGCAAACAATGGATTGTGTAACAATGGGGAAAATTCTGGAAGTCTGAGTTTGTGTGATTACTAGTAACCACTTTCAACATTTCTGCAAAGCTAGAGAAGGTATCTTCTAATTTCAATTTATTTAAGAATTATCTATTGTGTAATATACTGTCAACAGGAGGTCAGTTTTAAAGGAATACTACTGATAGCCTGAAAGACTGTGGAAAAGAACAATTTTCCCCCTTACACACTGATAGTTCTTATATTTGCGTTCCTGCAATTTATACATATTTATTAAAAAAAAACAATCATTGGATTAGCAGCGAGAGAGTGAAAATGGCAGAAGTTGGGAATGACTGCTATTTCTTTGTTAATTCCACATGCATGAAGGTAAATATTGTACAACTTACAGTACACATGCTTAAGCTTTTTAGTAGAATGAAGGAAGAAGCAGCAATAAAAACGATACCTTGATTCTGAAGTAAAAGCCTGTGTATTTTTGATATCCTGAATTTATGTGAGGAAATCTGGGTTAATTTGAAGTTATTATATATTGAAAAATATATATGAAATTATGTATATGAAAAACATAGCATAGCATATTATTTTGGTGAATTATTAAACATTTGAATTCAGATTACTATCAATGTTGTGGTATATGTTTCCTTATTTGAAACTCATTAAAACAGTGATTGCATTTTTCCTGCCAGAAGTCTGAATAACAGCAAATATTTAAATACCATGTAAAGGGAAATAGAATGTAGCATAAACAAATCATCCACAGTTAAAATGTTAAGTGGAAAAATTGAATTGGGATTAATTGGTATTAAAAATGAATAAATGTAGAAACTCATTTGCTGCTCATGCCCCAAATGAACCTAAAATGGTAGATGTCCTGTCTGGTCAATCACCTTTTAGCTCTGCTAGAAACCTGGACTCAAATTCTTTGGCCACGAGAATTCAACCCACTTTTCTTGTGTTACCTTTCAAAGAGTTCTTGGATGACGGACTTTTTGTTCCAGATTATCAGATTTTTGTCTCTTCCATTTTACCCACAAGTGATTGATGAATAGAACCTTGTAAGGAGATGATTAGACAGAATTTAGAAATCACTATACCTTACATCATATCATTTCTCAGATATGCTATGAGAGGTTTTCTTATGAGTGAAAACAAAGAAAATGAGAGTTCATTGTGAACACTGTGGTGGTAAAGCTGTGGTGTTTAATACCAGTGTGCCTGAATGAAAACTCATTATCCTGGTCTTTGAAAGTCCAAACTCAGTCTCTGAAAGGAAAAGAAAGTGAATGGAGAAATAGAAAGAAGATGTAGACTGTATGTCAAAGAGAAAGGAATACAGCGGAATGTTGTCGTCGCCATTTCCCCTGTCTATGAAAAAATGCCCTATAGTTTTGCCAACTGTGAATATGTGCATAAAAGAATATTAATATAGTGTTCAAAAGTAAAGCAATAGCAGGTCATTGACATAACCACATCTACTTTGGTTGCTATATAAAATACCTGTGTAAATATATTTAGTCAACTGTTTCTCTTTGTAGATCAAAGACATAAAACATGTATGTTGTGTGTGATGTGGAAATCCCTTCAGATTTCCTAATATCACATGGTTGAGGGGCCACTTAACTTTCTCGACATCAACACAGTTTGCAGCATCCCCACAGACTGCTACTCTTAGTGGTTGGTAGTGGTTGGTAGAACCTGTCTTCACATTCAGGACGTGGCAAGTGCCTTGGAGATACTTGCCAAGCTTTCTTCAGAAAGAGAAATAAAGTCTCCCTGTCGCTATATTGTAATCAAGGGAGTGTCTTCTCACAGCTTTCCTCTGGTGGATTCTGTGGGCTCCCTTGATTCAAAGGGCAGGATTTTGAGAGTAACTTGTGGTGAGTGGTATTGCTTGATCATGACCTTTTTTTTTTTAATATCACTTTCTCACTAAAAAGAGACCGAGATGTGACAGTTTAGTCGACCATTACAAGCCTGTATTGACAGCGTATGTTTTCATGCTTCAATTTTGACAGACTCCTTTGTTTTAATTGGTTAACATTTTGTTATCAAACAGTAACATTAATATAGTGTGTCTTCTGCTCTGTCGATCTCTTAGGGTTCCCAGTGCCGATTCCGACACTGTGAAGGAGCCCTTGGCAGTGACACTGTGTGCTCATTATGGCGAGAGAGAAAATGTTTAGATCCACTTTGCAGATTTAGACACATGGAAATGCAGGTAAAAGTGACCATTTTCACTAAAAGAACCTTCCTTCCTTCCTTCCTCGTTGCATTAAACTTTTATAACCAAATAGGGAAGAAACCGTTCTTCCCCCAAAACTTGTGTTTCTCACTTTGCTCAAACTGAACTGGTAGAAAAATAAAAGAACATTTTATCTCTTAAACAGAAAAGTGCTTAGAGGTGGCAAAATGTAGGGAACAGATGATTCTCTGTCAGCAGTTTAAGCTATTCTTGTCACATTGCATGTGTTCTAACAGCCTGCGTGTATTGTGAGTACCTAAACGTCCTATTTCCCCCCCCCACTTCCTTTTTGTAGCAAAACTGCAGCATTTCATGCTTCTGGGAAACCCAACCTCTTGGTTGTGTGAAGATCAGTTGTATCTTTTACCACAGCAAACCCCGAAATATCAATGGATTATTTTTGCCACCAAGTAGCAGTGAGTATATCTGTAATAATTGCATGTCCAGTATCATCATCTGGGGCTTGGTGTCGAAGCTTAGGGAGGCACAATTGCATACAACGAGGTGAAAAGTGCAGCAATCTCATAGGCGCAGAGAGCAAAGGCATGCTCTGGGGTACATGTCACTCTTCTGTCACAGCAACTGTTTGCAGTGACAAGAAAATGACCCTTTGTGGTGAGACTTGACATAGATTCTTCCCAGAACACGGAGGACCTAGTACTTAAGGGAACCCTGTTTGAAAAATTGCAGGTTTTAAGGTCTCCCGAATGCTGTAGCAACCTTATTCTGCTACAGTCACCATTTGTGTCTGGTGGAATAATGCTAGTCATGAGCAGAATGTGATATTAGTCCTTTAGGAATTAAAATATTAGTTCCATATAATCCCAGTAAGTGGGTAGCTAAAACTTCAGCCCTTTTTATTACGTACTTTGACCTCATAAAGCACATCTCATACGCAATGCTTTTATTACTGTTTCTCTTCCTCAGTAGACTGAAATGGAGACTGGGAAACATAATTCCTTTGCCAATGCTTTGTAATATCTAGACCATAAAGAAAATAATTATGGTAAACTGGTTGCTTAGACAAATGGGTGGGGTGTGAAGAGTTGAAAACTTACAGGGATAAAAGTACTATAGCTATATAACAGATTAACTTGGCTTTGTTAGTTTACAACAATATGGTTTTTATCCAGTGAAAAACAATCCCATGACATTATTTTTTTTTTATCTGGCAGCTTAATCCCAGGGATTTCGCTAGCTCTTTTAAGACCAGCGGGAAACAAAGACTGCTTCCTCTCAGAGCAGAGCTGCATGGGATGCCTGTGTAAATGACAATCGTTCGTCTTCCCACTGTTGAAATAAGCTCTGGGCTAGGTGCTATAGTGCTATTGGGTGGGTTGTAACTTATGTAACTCGAGCTATTAGAAGAAGTGGACACATCTCTTTCCCCCTTTCATATAATTCCTTAGCAGTTTGCAAACCTCAATACCGCCTTCATTCTGTGTCCGGTATGACTTGCCCTTGCCTCATGAATAACATCCAAGAATGTTGTTGATCCTTTTCTTCTGTCTCCTCTCTTGTAATATCATCCACTCTTTGTTTCTATTTTTAATGTTTTTTTTATCACATGTCAATTATGCATAACCATGGGTTTGTTTATATTGTCACACTTGTACATAATGGTTCTTGATCATAGTCACACCTCTTCACGATTCCGTCACCCCTCGCCACCTTTGTCCCCTGTCCTTTTCCTCACTGATAATTCTTTTAGGTTTATTTTATGTTTATTTGTGCCCTGCCCATGTCTTTGTGAATGTATATACATGTGTGTGTTCAAGTGCACTCACCTGAGTACACATGGAGCCCTGGAGAGAATGTCAGAAACCATAGAATTGGAGTTATAGGCCATCACAGAACTCTAGCTTGTCACATGGGTGCTAGGATTTGAACTCCAGTCCTCATGGCTGTATGGACATGATCTTAGCCTCTGAGCTGTCTTTCCCGCCTCAACTTTGTGGTTTCAATGATTCATACATCATTGACTCTGTTTATATACCATTCCAAACTGAGTCCTCTCCCCCCCAACCCCCGCCAACACACACCATTAGATGTCTGAACTCAGCTTCTTTATCTCTTGACTTATATGACTAATGAACATTTCACACTTTACATGTTTAAGATCGGCATCATTATTTTATTAATATTCTCTTCTTCACCATCCATTGCTTTCTGACTCATTTTGATTGCAGGCCCAGCCTTGCAGTTGCTTAAGTCATCTGACTTGTCCCCCAAATTTTTGCCATATCCCACATCTAGCCCATACAGAGACATAATTCCACCATCCAGCTATATCAGAGTCAGACTTCATCATCATCTGTGTAATCTCCACATGGATCAAGCCACCATTATTGCCTCATAACTGTATTGTTACACCAGCTCCTGGCTGCTTTCTCTATGTCTATTCAAAGGACAGTACCTGCAGTCTTATGATCAAGCAGGTTTTAATCCTCTACTCAAAATCCTCCAGTGCCTTTTCATCTAATTCAGAGAGGTCAGAGTCCTAACGAGAGCTTGAATTCGGAAAGTCATTTGATCAAGTGCTCTGCTAGCTCCCCTCCAAACTCAGATACTTCCCATTCTGCTCCAACTGTTCCCCCTGTTTGCCTTTCCTGGAGCATGTTAGTTTACGGGGCTTTGCAGGAAGTGCCCTTTCATTAATATCTTTGTGGAGAGCTACTTTATTTCTTCAAAACTTTGCTTAAATGTTGCCTATGATGAGGTGGAGGCTTGGCGCCATAATCAAAATGTAGGCTGCTGTCCCACCTCCACAATATACATTGCCAATTCTCCTCGCCCTCTCTACTTCATGTTTGCCACCCCCATTCATTTGTCAGATGCAGTATAATTTGTTTGCTCTGTGCACTGCTTATTGTCTAATGCTTCCTTGTAGAATAAAAACTCCATGAAACCAAAAATCTTCTACTTCATTTACCAATACCACACACTTAACAGAGGAGCATTGTATTACCTCTTACAATTCTACCCTGGGAAATCTTAGATATTAGTTAATCATGTTAAGCTGGAAATTCATTTATATTAAGTTTTCCTAGAGGGAAATCTCCAGAGATCCACAAGGATGACCCCCCAACTAAGAACCTAAGCAATAGTGGAAAGGCTATACCTTAAATGCCCTTCCCAGATAATGAGACCAATGACTACTTTAAATGTCATCTTAGAGCCTTCACCCAGTAGTTGATGGAAGCAGATGCAAAGATTCACAGCTAAGCACTGAGCCAAACCCCTGGAATCCAGTTGTAGAGGGATAAGCAAAGGGGTCAAGACCATGCTAGGGAAACCCACAGAGACAGCTCACAGACCCCAGCCTGACAGCTGGGGAGCCAGCATAGGACCAAACCAGGCTCCCTGATCATGACCTGGCAGTGGAACCAGTATTTATCCCTGGTGCATGAATGGGCTTTGGGAGCCCGTTCCTATGGAGCAATGCTTTCTCAGCCTAGATACACAGAGGTGGAGGGGTGGGGGGTAGGGGGGACTAGAACCTGCCCCAAATGATGAAATGATGTGACAGACTTTGATGATCCCCCAAGGTAGGCCTCATCCTCCCTGGGGAGTGGATGGGGGATTGGTGGAGGGGATAGGAGGGAGAGGGAACTGGGATTGGTATGTAAAATGAGATTGTTTTCAACTTAAATGAAAATTAATTTAAAAAAGGAAAAACAAAAGGGAAATTTGGGGCTTCTGTAATCCAAGAGATTAAGGACAGACAGGGCTGATCTCAGGTGCAGGCTTTCCTTCACTATTTCTTGGCTCCGAACTGTCTTTCCACAAACTACTGTTGCTTCAGAAACACCAAAGATCACTCACTACAGTTTACACGGGGTTGGAATCTCAGCTTGACTGACACACTTGTCAACGTAACCTTGGGCAACTCTCTGTGGCAGGGTCATCTCATCTGTAGGATGCAGCAATGGTGTCTGTGCCATGCGGTTGTTTCCAAACCTCAGCAGCTTCATACCTATTACTCAACATTGCTACCATCATAGTTACCATTGGAAGTCAATGCTAGGGAAAGCCTGATTTCCTGTGAATGAACTTTTAAAGGCAGTTCTAGAAAAGACTCGGAAGGAGTGAAGAACTGTAGGAGGAGACTTTAGAAACCACCTAAGTGGTCAAGATCGCGATGCTGAAAGAGACATGTGAGGTAAAGGGCATTCTGATACGATCCGGGACTCAAACAGGAAACATTGCAAAGACCCCAGCTGAACTGTAGGCATGCTCTAAGACAAAGGAAGGCAGATGATAAATTAGAATAGCCTGCAGAAGAAACAACTACATGCTCAAGGTACTTTAGGCTTCCTCTTGACTGTTTATTGTGGCGTACGAAAGGGGGGAAACCAATTAAAAATGGAATTTAAAACAAAAGCGAAAGCAGAAGGCGTAAGATTGCGAAGTTTTCAGACTGGCAAAGTTATGGAAGGAGGATGGAGACATTACCAGAAAGTGACTTACTGTTGTCAAAAGTTCAGAAACGGAGGAAGCAGACATGTTCACAATTACTATCGGTGATCACCACGCTCCCTCATGCATTCGAATTCAGTTCATTCTAGCCATGGAGTCTGCCAATTTTAAAGTTAGCTGACTAGCAAACTTAATTCCTTCTCCAGGATAGAGCTGATGAAGCCTTTGTTCTTTTGGACATGTATACAATTGCATTGCAGGCACTGCCTTATAGTGTTTCTCTTTGTAGTTGTTAAATGTGTTAGGCTGAGGATGGATCTTAGTAGAACAGTGCTTGCTATTCCTGCTCCCCCTAATTACCTATAACCCTAGCATTTGGGAGGAAGTGGAAGGAAAATGATTCGAGGTTTAAGGTGATCCTCAGCTGCATATACGTGAGCTTCAGGCCAACCCAGGCAGGACTGCATGTCTCAAAACTGAAACAAACTAGTAAAGTCACTCTCCTCTTACAGATCTCTTTCGTAGCTAAAAGTAACACTTGTGATCAGTTTGCACTTACAACTTCTCGGTTTCCACTAGGGGTATATCTCAATCAACCTGTCCTAAGCTGAAACTTGAGTACTCCCAACCCACCAGAGCACCTTCCTGTAGTTCCAAGTACACTGTAGACAGAGTCCTTTTTGCTTTTCCATTGTGTTGGTGACACAGATCTGTGCTCACAGGCACTGCCCGGTATCAAAGGGATTGTCCTGAGAATATTCTCATCCTGAGAGGAGATTAAAATCCAGAGCACCAAGTGTAGTTTCTGCTCAATGCCTGTCAGTTCACAGCACTGTAAATTTGAGCCACCCTAAGCCAAAGACCAAATGCATAGTGACATACCACACAAAATGTGTGAACTCATCATCCGGTTCATCACAATGACAGAGTATATAGCAAATGGCATTTTCCCCTTAGTTGCTGACAGAATGTTGCTATTAATTAAATTGGTC